GTGGGGGCGTAGTGGTATATTCTATATATGGTAGCTAGGTGGATAAATAATGGTCCGTGGGCGCTTGAGACTTGTGGCGCGGAAAAACCGTGACACTGAGGATGTTGCGGCAAACCGCCAGTCAGCATGGATTACGTAATTTACGAGCGGTGGACAGCACGTGACACCAGAATAGTACTTGTCTATATATCTGCTCCGAGTCCGCTGCAGGTCCAACCTGTATATTTGCTGCCTGTTTGTGAACAGCATAGTCGACGAGAAGTGGTGATAATGCATTTTCATGCCCAGTACGTTTTAAAAAGTGCCGCAGTGTAATGTAAATAGGCTCGTAAAATATCCCACACGTGAACCTCATTCATTAACATAATGACAACAAACCTCCGCGACCTTCCCAGCGAATACTAACTAGCCTTAGATTCGTCAGGAAGACGGAACTCCGCCTGATAGTATCCGCAGGGACTAAGTACAGTGGCCATGCCTCGATGACACTCCACCTGGAAAGGCTCAAACGGATACTCTTCCCCATCTACAGAGAAGCATCCCTTCGGCGAATATGGCTCCACGCGGTATGCCGATGCTCTGAAGTAATGTTGCTGAGAGACCGTGAGTGGTCAGCGTCGGACAAACTCCTACTTCAGAAGACCTGATGCGTACTGTGTCCAGCCAGTATTGCATGCCTTGCTCAGACTCGTCCATTGCGTCGATCATGGCTTTCCGCGTTGTCTACCGTTGCGACAAAGTCAGCTTGCAGCGCGCAGGCGATCCCGGTTTTACACTTACAATTTCTTGTGCGACAATGTCCACTAGCCCGTCGTCGGGTATGGAGACGGGGAACTGCATCAAGTCACGCGATACGTATGGGCCCTTGCCCGCGTATACATACGACAGAGGCCTGACAAACGTCGACCAGCCCTCGCTATCCGGAGGAGAGAGGGGCGAGGAAGCCTTGGGATCTGTAGGGGACAGCGGCGGGGCTGATGAAGGCGCAGTGGTGGAGTCATCATCCGCTGCTGTATCTTCAGCGGATATGGGAACTTCCGCTGGAGAAGTGCAAGCTCTGGCCTTCGCGTGATACCCGTGGAGTTTCTGAACCATTTGTTTCTTATCACTGTCCGCAACTTTGATGGACAACTTCACCGGACAACGCTTCATCTTCAACACTGGAGGATGGGAAAGAACGAGAACGATATTAGTAGCATACACTGATGGAGATCAATGAACTAGTACCTTCTATGACGAAGCCGACCACGAAACGCCTGCGTTGATGAAAAAAGATCAGCATTCCAACAAGCACGCAGAGTATCTCCTCATCACTGACGTTGATCCGAGGAAACGTAACCATTCAGTCCCGATGTCAAGGTCAGCAAAGAGACCCACGGTCTGCGACATGAATGAATAGACTGTCTTGTCTTTCTGTGTTACCGAACACAGGTCAATGTGCATGGGTTTCCCTGACGGATATCAATTCCATGCAAAAACAGATGCAAGAGATCGGTAGCAACCTTTGATAGCATTGAGGGCACCCGCACAAACATCATATCCATCCTGCACATCCAGTCAGCACCACGGACAACTGTCGCATGAGCTCGCAAACCTGCGGTCCAAGGAGGTTGAGCGGCAAACCGTTTCCGGACCCGCAGGCGACGGGCGCAATTGGGACACGGAATGCGCCTTCTGGATCGCGATGTTGGGCGAAGCCGTTGATCACCTCATGCACGAGGCCATCTCCGGACACGACCACGACCGCGTCGCATTGTTCCAGGTCGAGCTCTTTTATGAGCTCCTGTGCATGTCCCGGATAGTCAGTGACTACAGGAGACAGAACATTAGCATGCGACATTGGACTGGAGTAGTTGACGTCGTACAGGTCGGGTCCACCGCACAGCGTGCAGCTTGGAAGATAGGCTCGATTCTCTTTTTATAGTACACTATTCCATTACCCTGTAATGCGCTCTGTCTGAATACACCCAGAGCATGAAGTGCAGCGAGAACACGTACGGGCCCGCTCTTGGGATTGACGAACACCTTTAGTTTCCTCTGACGCTTCACACCTGCAGAGACAAGTGAGCGGAATTGATTGATTACACCGTCCGCACACCTACCAGCATAAGCGGCATCCATCAGGGACTCCGTGAACGCAGAAGCTAGATCTGCCTCTGCCTCTTGCACCGTGCCGGTCAAGCGCACGACAGCGAGCGGCGACGTGCTTTTCCTCCTCGCCAAGAACGATACTTCCAGCGAGTCGCCTTTGACTTCGGCCCACAGGACATGTCCGAGCGTAGTTCGGATGCGCGGCCACTTCTCTGTAGCAATGTCAGACGTGGACTGCGGTCGGCACGTGCGTTTTGGTCACCCACTCTCTCCGGGACGCGCGACGACCAGCATGCCATCTTCCACGGTGAATGTCGTAGTCCTGTTTTCGATGCCAACGATGGTCAGTTTGAGGTTCGCCGGAGAAGCCGTCATAGTTATCTGGAGCGCGCTGAGATCGCGAGGATTAAGACGCTGGATAAGAAGTACAGAAGAGTTTGCCACCGCACGGCCTGGATCAACAGGAGTACATGGCCAAGCTCTCGGAGTATGCTCTCGAGTTCTATGTTGTGGTCATGGCCAGCATCGCCGATACCGCCCACTTTCGATGTCGTTGCCGGACCACTCCCGGACCCGTCGGAGCTGCATTTTCGTTATCAGATAAGTGTTATCCGTCCTCTGAGACTTAACCCGCAATTTACCCGGACTGGTGAAATAGTCCACAAAATGATGAGCGGACCGTCGACGTCGATGGCGTACGACTTAGCACACCCCAGCCGAGGTGCCGATCCATCATGTCAGGAGGGTACCAGCTAGCGTATATATAAAAAGTGGGCTGGGGCATGACATGACTCGTACTGTATCTATTCTCCTTGCTTTCCGACGACTGTCCTCTCCCCCTGTGAGAGTAAGGTTCGCGAGCAACATGGCTGTGGTCCACGAACTTGCGAAGGCCGGCTTCGGAACGGGAACTAACGAGCTGTATGATCGGTACGTCTCAAATCGATTGGTGTTCTGCGACATTCATTCATGGCGACAACGTAGTGCGAGGCCGTCATACCAGCCTGGTGCGCTGTCCCATATCCGCAATGCAGTTCAGGCACCTCCGCCTCTGAACATCGTCGAGTAAGGCTTTAATGGATGGCAGTGGCTCCAATTTCTGGTTAAGATGTTCTCGCTAGGATCGGTTCAGGAACAGGTATCTTCACCCGGGCACTGCTCGCGCACCCAGACTGGTCTTCGAGCATCAAGCAATACAGAGCCATCGAGCCAAGCGGGGGTATGCGTGAAGTCTTTGCCAAGTCCGTGCAGGATGAGCGTGTTTCGGTGTCGGAAGGCACCTTCGACACAACCGGCGTCGAAAATGGCTGGGCCGACCTCGTCGTAATCGCGCAGGTGCCGCAGCTGTCGCTGTTGCTCGGAGTGAATTTGCTCATGCTTTTCGGATGCTACAGGCCTTCCATTGGTGCCCAGACTACGACAAGGCTTCCGCAGAGTTTGCACGCATACTGAAGCCTGACGGGATTGTTGCCTTCATTTGGAACCTGGAAGATAGGTAGGTATTGCTGGTGGCACACCGAAGGCTGACCCGAGCTCACCTATGTCACGACTGGGTAGAGATGGCGCTGCGTGGGTTGCTCAGTTACGCAACCGGATCGAGAAGCACGAGCAAGGCACGCCGCAGTTCCGTCTCGGCCTCTGGCGTGCCACATTCTCGACCCCTTCCTACAACAAGTTCTTCTCGCCACCAGAAGAGAAGAGGTGGACGTACGCGCTTCATGGCACGCGCGACATTGTCACCAACCGTGCCTTGAGCAAGAGCTACATCGCAGTGCTACCTCCTGATGAGAAGGCGCAAATTGTGCAAGACGTTGGGAAGATACTAGAGAAGGGAGATGATCTGAAGTGGATCGACAAGGAGAAAGGCATCTTTGAGTATCCTTATGGAACTCTCGTCGTGATCTGCAAGAGGAAGTAGGTCTGCTGCCGTCCGGTAGCGAGTAACGTTACGTACCTCTTAAAGGCAGACATCTGGATCTGACGGCCATGTCGATGCAAACTTCGCAAAACCCAGTGCATTTACGATAATATATATTAGCAATGGAGCGATACAATTGCTTCTGCATGCGATCGTCCCAGGAGCATTCCGAAGTGTTTGATTGAGCGCACGGACCCAGAACATTGTTCAGCGCCTCATTCAACAAACTTACTACTTTCGGGAAGCCCCTGAGGCAGTGGCCGCGCTATTTGCGACTTGACAAGGGTGACATATGGTTGACAGCACCCAAGCCGCATTCGATGAACTTTGTTCCTGGAGTATATGCTCTACATAAGAGCCGACTCAACACGATGCGCACTGCACGTACTTCCAGCGATATCCTCCCTAATAGTGTACTTGCTCGATTTCTTTCAGTAACGGAATTGCACTCAAGTCAGAGGCTCCTGTAGGTGCATCGGACGAGTGATCTAGATTCGACCGATCGACCGAGTCATGGTCTTGGGATCCCCCTAGAGTCTCGGTGTAAAACCCCTCAGCCTGATCAAACTGGTGCTCCAGGTATGAGGCCACACTGAATCACAGAGCGTTCTATTCTGACCGAATTCAAGGATGGACGCTACCGCAACGATTCCCTCGTATATGTGTTCCACTGGAAACGGTCCACGCCAACTGCTCCTGCAGCCATTGGAGAAGATGACGCTGGGACAGTTCGACGGCATGCCCGTCAAGCAGGCCCAAAGCCATATCGACGCGCAGTTGCGATACTTCAACGAGTCCGTGCGCATCCTCATCCGCGAGGGCTACCGATTGAAAGAGCTGCGAAACGCCCTCGCCCCAATCAACAGCCTCCCGGAGGAAGTGCTCATCGAGATCTTCTACATCGTCGCAAAGACGAGCATCGCTGACATCGTACGCATCAGCCGCGTCTGTCGACATTGGCGCGCTATCGCTCTGGCATCCCCGAAGCTCTGGACGAACATCACGTTGACGAAGCTACCCCGCGCAGCGACGTTCCTGCGTCGTTCCAAGAATGTCGCCCTCACGTATCATATCGAGAGGATTGAGCGCACGAACTCGCATCGGATTGATGAACGCCAGTTGAGACGTGCAGTCGCACCTGCGCGCATGAGGTGTCTCAAGGCCTCTCTCTTCGATGCGGGTGATATGGATCAACTCATCAGCACTCTCGATTCCCCCGCTCCATACCTACAGGAACTTTCCCTTCGCCTTTTGAAAGCAGACAACTATACCATAGAACTCGGGCTCGAAACCATCCAAACGTTGTTCGGCGACTCGACGCCCTCTCTACGGTCTCTGACATTGAAGCAGATTAGCATCTCCTGGACGTCCGGCCTGTATTCCAACCTCGCACATCTTTCGGTGACAGATCTGTCTCAGGAGTGGCTGCCATCCGTGGATCGCTTCCTAGAAGTCCTCGTGCAGTGTCCCTCCCTTCAGACGTTGGACATACAATGTTTGCGCGACGAGCTTCCTATAATATATGAAGGTCAGCCTGCATCCCGCGCCCAGCGGGTGCAGTTGCCCCTTCTCGAGAACTTGACATTCTCGTACGTGCCGAAGGGTTGGTTGGCGTCCGTGCTGGATGGCGTGTCACTCACGAGTCGCACCGTGATGAAACTGCTGGCTCTCCACGACACAGAGGACCGCATGCGTCCTTACACCATGCTCCCTGAGAACCGCAGTCATCTCCCACTATTTTCGAACACACGCCGATTCGAGATTTTCAGCTCCGAGGAGCGACTCGTCATACAATTGCATCAGGACGCTAGTACGCCATTCATAGAACCCTCTTGTACCATCGAGCTCCACGACATCATCCCGGAAGTCGCATTCGCGAATGCCTTCAGCTGCTTCAGCCTGAACGACGTGGAAGCTCTCGTTCTTTGTGAACCGTCGCCATCCTCAGCGATTGCTACGAAGCAACAGTGGACGTCAATGTTGCGCGAAATACCAAATTTGTCGTCAATACGCATCATAGATTTTGACTCGAACGTTCTGTCAGCCCTGCTGAAGGCGCTGCGAATGCCAGGAGAAGGCGGCCTTCGTATCTGCCCGCAGCTGAAGCACCTCGATATCGTAGGTGTCAGTGAGACCACGGATGAGCTGAAGAACGAACTGGTGGAGTGTGTTCGCTTTCTCTCTTCGGCAGGATGTCCGTTGGAGACCGTGGAACTGATGGACCTAAAGGGATGGTCTGATGAGGATGTGAACAACCTGCGCGACATTGGCGTGGATGTTGCTTTCAATGACTAATTCGTTACCATGTTGTATAGGTCGACAGACTCATCCTTACCTTATTGTAGTCATAAGGTAGCAACCGTTACAGTACCGCATCCTCTCGCTAACAATGGACATTTGCTTGCTGCTTAATTTCCGTATCCCTCTGTGTCTCAAGACGTGTTATACCATGACCTCATATGATGTACACAGGTCACTTCTCACGTCGCGTACGTTATCGATTCCTGCGCGAGGTAGCTGCTAGTCTGAGACTCAAATGACTTTCTGCAGTCGATTGCGAATAAATGAGAAATTGGTCGACTGATATACATAGCGAGTCAGAACATTACCTTTGAGTACTCTCGGCTTATGCTTATGCAACGGAATACAGCCCTCCTTAGATCAGTAGTTAAAATTGACATTGAGCAGTCAAGAGGCTGGAAGCAGGTTCCAGCGAACCTGTCTTTGCGTCACGTCGATGTATGAACGCACCCGAAAATATGATATCAATCGATCCGAGAACATAGCTTGATATTTGCTGATTCACTTTCAAGCCTCCCATCCCCATTCCTCGGGCAACGGCCCATTCGAAGCTCTTCAAATCATGCATGGTCGGTCTCGCTCCGCGGGTGCGAGAAGGGGGTGATGTGCCCCACGCACTTGACGTTTTGGAGCGCGAGCACCGTAAGGCCAATGATGCCAAAGCCACTGGCAGCTATGACAAAGTTCAATCAAGGACCGTGTATCCTTCGCTGCAACTTATCCGACCAGTTTTCAATTTCGATGGATACCGGCCTTAGGAAATTCCCCAGATTAGCATGTTGACGATGGGATTGATGTTGACGTCATCTATAAGTTCGACGCATTGTGCAGAATCTTCCCGGGGCCGAACTCTCATCCCCAGCATCATCGGAAGCAAGCGTTCGAATGGAAAAGAGACGGGCCAGTTCGTTACACAGGCTTCCGACAGAATTGCTAGAGCCAGACGTAGGGAAGCAGATACTAGTAAGACGATGAACCTTCGGGGCGATCGTAGTGCGCAGTGATATGATAATTTTTACGAGATCCATCGCAATGAAGCTGAGACCTTGCGAGGATACCAGCAATAAAGCCTTTTCGGGTGCATCCTCTGTTCGCAGACCCGGATAATCAAGCTCGAGGGAGCGCAAAGACTAAAGTGGTCGCATTTCCCGTACCATCTTTTGCCAATCCAAACCTTTCAAAAAGTTTGCTGCAGAGAGTCAGTCAGTGCAACACATTGTGTAGAGCATGAGAAATGAAGATAGTCTACCGCGAGTGAAAGAGACAATTCTTTCGAACCTCCGCAGCCTCAGGATAAAGTTATTGTCTGACGTCCGGAGCAACTCTTGCAGCAATGAAGTACTTTGTGCCGATTGGAGTCGATCGCACAGGGAGGATGTTAATCCTTCATCCTCGCATTCGAGCATGTTCCTATGATAATACCGGAAGGAAAATTGAGCCCTAGCTGCGACCAGGTCCTTTTTCCGACGGTCGATGACCAACTTAGCGTGCGTGCTTTGAAACAAAACAAGCGTGACAGATCGTGAGAGAGTCACAGAGCACGTGAGACGTTACCGGACGCGCCTCATAGATCTCAACTGTTGACAATTATAGAACGAGTACGTTTGAGCTGCCCATTCCTCTTCAACAGCAGGCAGTGTCTGAAAATATGTATCGTGGTATTCAGCATCAGATCCCAGGTATCTTTCCATTATAGTGCATAGGATATCAGACTATGATACGAGTAGAGTGAGCGTGTGTCTACCGACTGTTCGCAAATACAGAGTCCAACACAAACACAGTCCCATCGCTGCTAAAGATGCCAGTGAAGATGATATAGAGTCCATTGCAGATACTGAAGTCTATAAAACTCATGAATGCTAGTCGTGATCATGGGCGTGCTGCGAGGAGAAGAGCGACTGTCAGAGATGTTTCCGAGGCACAATCAGGAAACACTGACCAAGCTGTTCTTTGCGGTAGAACCAGAAGTAACCAACAACAATGATGAGTTGGCAGAACAACGCGATCCAGAAGACATATGCGTTGAGTGGATTGCCTGACAAAGAATTTCAGTGAAGCCGTTACGAGAAGGTTGAGAGGAATGGGTCAATTCACCTTTCAAGCCATCCGAGAAACTCCACAAGCTCATGTCGGGGAAAACTCCATCTGGACCAAGGTTGTCTGGTGCTGTTGCACGCGCTATTATCACAACAACCGCTCCTAGGATCTGCGCCATGGCCAGCGTGGCACAGACATGTAACCGAGACAGTGTCTTTTCGCGAATCGTTCAGCTTTCGCAGTCAGATCCGAGCAGCATCGAAGACATACTTGAAGAAGGATCATGCCCAAACCTACACCTTGAACAGCATCGAGAACTCCCAGCCACAGCCAGAGAACTGTGGCAACGTATGGCCCAGCTCCGCCGGCCCAAGGAATGTAAAGTGCCACGGAGGACGTGCCCCACAACATCTACACACATCGGTCAGGACTAGCTCTAATTCTTTGTGCATACTTATGCAGACCTGACACCATCGCGGCGCTCCGAGGCCCACGGCGAAGATGGGCAGAATCCACGTATGTGTTTTGCTGAGCTGTGTTAATGCTCCCATGACAATTGCCCAAACGACAACGAAAAACGCAAGGAGGAGCAGGAACGTCTGCCATTGAGGGACGTCGGCATTCCATAGGAAGCTCCAGTTACGGCCATATGGCTGTGCCAACCGACATATCAGTATTTCCTGCTCGTCCTCGTGAGTGCAATGCATGATCACTCACACCACTGAGCCAATAGTCACGCAGGACTTCCGAGACTAAGAACCAGAGCACAATCTTCCGGCGGAAAAGCGATTTGAGGAAGTGAGGTACCTTCGGTGGTGTTTGACGGTAGTAATCTAGCAACGCCAGGGGACACATCAGACGACATCCGGCACTGGACGACAAGCTGACGTACCTGGCAAGCCGTACAGCATCAAGTATGCGAACAGGAGACTGACGGCAGCGAGCGGCCAGACAATGAGAACAATCCACCAAGGCAACGTGTTTCCTGACGAGACACCGTCGAGCCTGTAGCCCCAGTACCACAAGGCTGCCACCCAAAGCTGTTGAGATCCTTGTACCACGCAAGCTCGGAACGTCCACACTTCTGTTGCCGCTCCCTAATGTCATCGCAGCACATCAGTAGACTATTTGACAAGACATCGAAGAGGTGCGCACCGCCTCTTCCCCGAAGTTGAGACCGAAGAATGCAAATCCAGCTGCAGAAGCGATCGAGTATGCCCAAGTAGCGGCGCTTGCGAGATCGTAATGATAAGCGTTTAGAGTAGAAGCGACGGATGGCAGGCCAATCAAGAAAAACGCAATTGAGAAGAACACCCAGGGTATCGAAAGCACGTAGACGGATGGTTTCAGACGGAAAAGCGGGTACCAGACTAAAGATGCGGCCAGGAAGACGCCTCCAACCACATAGAGCTGTAGATTGGATTGTGTACTTGTCCCGGAGAGCAGGGTGATCTGGAAACTTGTTGCGCTCAACATCTACATTGAGGCCCATGAGCATAGAATCTAGTAAGCAGAATGTATCCATGGACGAACCTGTCCCAGGCAGATCACGATGGCGTACAATGGCCAGCCGAAGAGTTCTCTTGACATAGCGATTTGTAATCCCGTCATGATAGGCATGTCGCCTTCATTCAGAAGAGGTCCACTGTAGTCTACCATGTTTGTCGCAAATGCATCGGGGGCGAAGGAATGAGTGCTTGGAGCTAATGTTTTGCGATGTGCGATCAGCTGATGAATTATCCGAGTGGCAGCCATTATACTCACATGAAGGACGAGAGTGATCAAATGTAGATGGAGCAGGCGTCCCCCATATCGAATCCCTTCGTGAAGACCTGATACTTGCTGCACTGGAGAGCTTTTCTCTCTTGACTTTGTCGAAGAATGCTTCTTCACTCTTCGTGAGGAACTTCTCGATCGAGAGCTCGTGTTTTGAATTGTGAGCGTTCAAGTTCTGCAACTTCTGCACGAACTCTTGTGCCACTCCTCCGTCAGCATCAGTGAACTATTCAAAGACATGCTGTCAGTTTACATCAACAGGTATACAACTTGCACAACACTTACTGAGGCAATGGCTTTGTTGAGTGGAGAGTTCTGCTTTTCATCAACGATGGACGCTATTGACTCCACGGATGAGACTCTCGAATGCGGGCCAAATGGTCTGGTCGGCGCAGCATCCAAGAATGGATCTGGGACGTGCCTTTGATCGCGAGCAATGGTACGATTCGCTCTCTCGAGGAAATTTCCGAAGTCTGGCCGGGATTCGACGCTCCCATCCTGCTGCGAGAAGTAATCATCGTTATCGGACACGTCTGTTCTGGAGGAATTCCTCCGCTCATCGCCGAGGAGTCGGGGAGGTGCAGGAGGATGTCCCTCCCCTGGCGTCAATGTCTCCTGGCTCCATTGTCCCGGGGATCCAGGAAGCCCGGGGCTGTCACTCGCGCTTCGGGTATCCCACTCTGGCTGAGATGGGTACGCCTGCTGCTCAGGGTTCCAGTCATCGGTCTCGCTGATGGCGTAAGCACCGGCAACCTCTGCGTCGGATGGTCGCCAAGCGTTTGGACCTGCCACATTGCGGCTCATCGTGATACTACGGCGGTGGAAGTCCTCCATCCTTTGTCGCCACTCCACTACCGGGAAGCGTTGTACAGCCGATCGCGCGCGAAGCATAGCTCTCTCTTCCTCCGTGGATTTCAAAGCCATCTTGATTGTCTTCGTTAACTGAGACATCATATGCTCCGTTGATGTCGACTCGACGGGGAACCACTACAAGGCATTGAATCAGCACGACACTCGTGGAAAGGTAATCAACTAAACGTACCCAACCAGGCATCAAGCCAAGACCACCAAGTCGACTGCCCACACCGAGAGCTCCCTTCCGTCCGAACTCAACGGCAACGAGACCGAACGGCTCATCACGGGATGGAATCAAGGCGAAATCAGCGCCACTGAAGAGGTAAGGAGGGAGAGCAGTGAACTCAGGTTTCGAGTAGACACGTTCAGGGTATAATTCCATCAGGCGGGCCAACTTCTCGGCTGCGAACCGGCCGTACAAATCGATGACGGGGCCAACAGCGATAAGCTGAATGGAAGGACGCTTCTCAAGTCTGATGGAGGTGGATCAGTGAACGCTGAGCACCGACTGTGTAGTGAATGCTCACAGTGATGGCATAACATCCGCAATGAGATCAACACCTTTCTGCTTGGACCAACGACCGACGAAGACGAACAAGTCAGCTTTAGGATCCTGCTTGATTCCAGCCCATTCTTGCGCTTGACGTTTGTGCTCAGGACGCTCCGCTTCCGCAACCTGATCGATCTTGATGTCCCGGACAGAGATCGGGTTCTCATCCAATGCCGCGATATCGGTGGGATCGGGGTTGGGGAGAGAGTCGACGTGCTTGAGTGTCCACAGTGCAGGATACCGAGCCCAACTGCGCTTGCCGTACTTGTCGGATACACCAGCAACACCGATGCTCTTTTGATGGACACTGATAAAAGAAGCACCTGCATGCAGCAAGTTGAACGTGTTGCCGAATTGCACATATTTCGTACAGTGCTCCTTGCTGATGTTGAACGCAGAGCAAACCTCCTTCATTTCTTCTTTCGTGCGAAGAGGCCAAAGACCCTGAAACTCGGCATTGTGGAGTGACAGACAGACAGGAATGACCTTCGGCAGAAGATAGATCGGCGCGAGTGCTCCGTGGTAGTCATTGATGTGGTAGATATCGATATCAGAGTGCCTGCGAATAGTGGCAGCGATCGCTTGGTTCCACGTTGAGTAGAAGATGGCGGAACTGAGATCGTCCATACGAGCGGGGTAGGGATCGGATTTCGTTTGAGCACGGAACACTGGACTGTCGAGAAGGACATAAGTGATGTTGTCCAAGACATGCGTCTCAACCTCGATTAAGTACGGCTCGCCGAAGATGATGACCTCGATGGGTTCAGCCGGCTCGCCAGGCGGATATTCCAGATCCTTGACCTTAGGAACAACCCACACGAGGTCGACGTCAGTCATGGCCTTACCCATAAGACTGGACATGACACCGAGACCACCGATCTTGACCTTGAGCTTCCAGTCGATGATCTCGTACTCAAGAGTTGCAATGAGCACCTTGCGACGCTTGTTCTTGTCCTCCGGCCAGCCGATAATCTCGTGCTGCTTGTGCCCAAACACCTTCTCCGTCAGAGGCGTGTGCGGCTCCGTCAGGTTAGACTTTGACTTGTTACCAAGATAGCCAATGATGGGGAAATAGTTGTTGTGGTCCTTGTTTGGCTTCACACCCCACTTGTTATACTTGATGCCATAGAACGACCACATGAAGACCGCGACAGCGACAGTACCCGTGATGATCGGGATTGTCAGAAGTAAGGCGAACACGGTCGCACCCACCGCCGATTCTCCCACAGGTTCCAGCCACCATTTAAGGGTCGCATCGTCGACAACCAGGTTCCAGGCCACATACGGGTGTGGAGGAGCAGACATGTTCAGATAGTTAGGCGATAGCGTGTTTGGTGGCAGCCGGTCCAAGACACCATCTCCGTCGACATCTCCATAGAAGTAATTGTCGAAACCGAAAACGTTCAACTGCACGTATGAAGGCCAGATGTAAGCAATCTCCATCTCCCAGTATCCGCTGTCGGCGTTCTGAGCCATCTCGTAATTGAGGCCCTTGTCGTAGCCCCACGTGTTGTACTCGCCGCGGACAAGGAATTGCGGTACTCGACGGGGTGTATTGCAGTCATGGTCGGAGTGCACGACTACACTCGACGTCTGTGCCAGATAGCTCCAATCTGATGGGATCAAATTCAGCAATATACACGACAGTGCTGACCATCGACTTACATTGTACCATGATGTGCTGGCCCTCCCACCAGTTCTCCGAGCTATCAAATAGATCCGCGTCGATAGTCGTTGTATCCTCCCACGACTGCCACTTGGTCCAGTTCTGGGCGAAGTTCCAAGAGTACCGGAACATGTCCGCACCTAGCGCCTTGTGCGTGAAGGTATACTTCCCATTGTCGTATTGCAGACCGCCGGAGTCGTAAGTAGCATCTGCGTTGACGAGAATGTTGTTGGATGCACCCTTGCGCAGCAGCAGGTGGTCCGTGGCCTGTAGAGCTGTTATAAGTACCCACAAGTTTGGGAGGAATCAAAACATCGACAACTTACGTTTGTAGAAGCTGTGCCATCATTCGTAGAAGGGTCATCGATGGTGATCTCAAGAATGCCATCGGGCACATCCTGAAGCGTTGCTGACCATTTCCACTGTGAGAGTGCAACACCCTGCACCTCAACCGGCTGTGTGCCAGTCATTGCGCCGCATGAGATAGAGGACGTGACGATCGACGGTGTCGTTCCGTTCCCAGAAGTAGACATATTAAGCGAGATGGACTTTGTTACGCTATCGCAATCCATCTCCAGCGTGAACTCGAGCGAAATGTCGATCGACGAATTGGCCGAAATTGAGTTTGCAATTATACGCGCATCGTGGCCCGGCGTAAAACCTGACAGCGCAGGGAGCGGCGAGACCCAGTCCTCTTCCAGAACGTATGCCTTGTACCCGAACGGCGGCATGGTAATGTTAGGCAGACACCCGAAATACGGGGATTTGCTGTCATTGTAATAGGAAAAAGATGAATCTTCGAGGTCGACCGTATCATACGGGTAGAACAGGTTCTTCACCGTCTTGCCACCCTCGTACGGAGACGCAAGGTACAGGTCGCTGGAACAATCGTAGCTCCATGTTCTCGTGCTGTTCTCATTAGAGTAGAGAAGCCACACTTCTCCCGCGTGGTCCCCAGTGAGATTCTGGTAGTCTGGCAAGCCCGCACGCGAGACTGACCAGAGACCCATCTCAGTGGCGGTGCCGTTCGAGCCAGGACGCTCGATGTAATAAGTCCACTTCCCGCGCGCGACGAGATACCAACCGTCCTGAAGGGCAGCATATTGAGTGCGCAAGTACAGGAACTGCGAGAAGAGACGGCGCGTGGCAGTCGTAGGGTCAAAGTGGTCCAGTGCGTTCCAGTCATCGTGGCAGCCAAGGAGAGACCGTCCAAGAGGCATATAGTAGTATTGCGAAGAACCGAGCGTGTAGCACCCATGTCGTTTCCACGCAGTGTTGCTGAACATGGCTTGACGACTGCCCCATTCACTAACGTCAACAATGTTCTGCACGAGCAGCTGCTCCTTCTACTCACCCGTAGAGATAGTTGTTGGCAGTGTTATCGTACAAATAGAAGTTCTGTTCTTCCCCGTAAAATAACTGGATATCCATGAGCATCGTCGATCATGGAATAATGCTAATGGACTTACCAATGGTACACCCGGCATAAGTAAGTTAGCGATGAATGAGCCCAAGACTTGGCGCTCCGTGCCATTCTCCAGACTCGGCCAGCGGAAGATATCGAAGTTGCTGACACCAAACAGATGCCTCGGGTCGAACTCGCCCGTGTTCGGGTTCAGCATGTCGTCGTTGACAAACATCTGATCCCATGCGTCGACGAATTCCATCGAGAGATCGTAAGCATCCTCCAAGTCACCGTCCATGCCGAGGAAGCGCGTGAGATCACGATAGATAGAGTACATGAATGCCGCGCCGTCGATGCCCTCCTCGCCTTGCTCACGGACGAAGTACTGGTTGTCATCTTCCGTCAGGTTGGCAGCGATATCGATGTTTGCGGGACGCTCGGTAGGAGTTCGTCCACGGCCGCTATTGACCGGTCAGGGAGATCTCACATCAATGTCGCCAAGTCACTCACTAGTAGAGCGCCCCGAAATAGTCGCCACCGGTCACCTCGCCGTAGATCATGAAGTTGTCCTTGCCCAGCTTCCTCGCACACTCGCGCGTCGTTGATGTCCAAGATGCCAGTCCAGATACAGTCATCTGGGTCGACTTATCGATACGAATGGCATCGAAATCCAACGCGGTGAGTGCCATACACGAGAAAGTCGTCAGCTTAGCCATGACGTCCGGATTCCATTCTCTAAGACGGTCCTGCACTGAAGCGAACTTGGAGAGCTGACGCTGCCAGTTGGGGTGAACACCGAAGGCCTCCATGTCTCCGTACTGGTCGAATTCCGATGCATAACAACCTCCGTCCCAGTCGATGTCGTCGATTGTTCCCTCCTCTCCCCAGAACACGGGCATGACACAGGAGTCATTGTACTTGTTATCGAACTGCGATAATGTTATCAATATGCAGCGCATATAGGTGGGTGTACCGCGCTCACCGAGAAGTCGACATAACGTTCGAAACCCCATGGCGAGTAGTCCGGATCTAACCAAACAGCCTCGTATTCCTCAATGTTAAACGGCGCAGACACGTTCTCGTAGCTGCGCATCACAATGTCAGCGCTCGGGCGCAGCATCCCATACAGGGTAAACTACTTACCCTTTGAAACCGACGACATTCGACATGGTTCCAACCGTGAAGTCTAACATTATATACATGCCACGGTCATGAATGTCCTGAATCGCGTCTTGCCAGTCGGCGATGGTACCATAATGTGGATCGATGACGGAAAAATCGAGAGGAGAATAGCCTGAGTGATAGTGCGCGGGTGATAGCGCATGAGAAACCACTTAGGATATCACAATGCGCAGCACTCACTGTCCGCTTCCCAGATCATGTTTAGCCACGGCGTCCCGGATATGTAAATCGCCTTCACGCCCATACCCTGCAGGTAGTCCAGCCGGGCGCGCATGCCTGCAAGATCGCCGCCGGCACGCAACTGCGTTTCCCTCCAATCCCACTCGTACATGGTACCGAAGTAGTCATTGTTTGCTGGGTCTCCGTCTGCGAACTTGTCCAGTAGGATGGTGTAGAACGGAAGCGCGCGCCAGTTGGAGGGCGAGGCAGTGTACTTGTCGCGGGTTGGATACGAGTAATGGATAACGGCAGTGGCGGTTTTGTTGGTGTTGACGTTGTAGTCGATGAGATCCTCCCTGTATGGCGAGGCTGCGCCAAGGACGGCGAAGAGGAGGAGCGTCGCGAGTGCAGTGTGCACCCACATGACGCGCGAACCTGAACTGAGAGCGGGATCAATCTACACGGCTATGAGAGGAGAGGGGAGGGGAAGGGCTGGAATATAGTCCAGTACGTGAACGAAGGGAGGATGAAAAGGAACGAAGAGGAACTGAGTCCGGGTAGAAGGTATTACGGGCGGGAGACAGGAGGAGAAGAAGGGAAGGATGTTGGACACGAAGCGTGCAAGCGCTGGAAAACTCAGAAATTGGCTTGCTCGTTTTATTAGGGCGTTATTGCGCCGGCTTCGAGCCGCCGGGCCCGGCACGCTCCCTCTCGGCCTTCTCCTCGCCTCCGCAAACATCCCCCAATCGTCGCCCATGCTCGCGTGCACGTCTCGCGGCCTGCTCGCGATAGCAGCGTCGACGGCGACGAGCTTGCTCGTTGGGATTGGGATTCGCGGTCGCAGGGCCGGCCCAGGAGTGCACATACGGCAACTCCGGTGGCGGCGGAGTGAGTCGGAGGTTGAAATTGTGCTGGACCTGGCGTCCCTGATCGAGTCGGCTAGCAACTGTCCTTGCAATTGACTGCGCCGAGCATTCATGGACGATCAATCATTTCAGCGCCCCGTCCAGCGCGGTGGCGGAGGGTGCGCACTCGACAGCAAACCGTGCGCCGCGCAGACCGCTGCTCGACTCGCACGCGCGGGCATAGGCCGTCACGGTCTCAGCACAGCGTACGCCGTGTCCCGGGGATGAGGATGATCCGTAAACTTGAGGATTCTGAATTTCCGTGATGGCGGCCTCGAGTATCTCAATACAAGCGCGCTCCGGCATCCTCGTCGAGGCACCCTGGAAAGGACAGACGAGCTGACAACCTGTGCATACGTGCAAGCAGCTGGAATGCTCAACATTGTGCGCTCAACGTCGGCATCGCCCCCTTCTGCTCTCATGCGCTTCGAAGATCCTGCGAGTGCTGCCGTGTAGCACACAAAGCTAACCTAGTCGGGTCCGCGAGAAGGCTGCACACGCTATCCGAAGCTCGAGCGAGGTGCGCGTTAAAGCTTCAGACGCGCCCGTAGCTGCTATCCGCCGTGCGCCATAGGGTGCAAGTCTCATACCGAGCGGTACGGCCAGAAAAGCCCGCGGAGACTGTCCCGATTGATGAGACGGCGAGCTTTAGCAGGCCTTAGCATGGATACCACTACCACGGCTGCCGAGATAGCGTTGCTCCCGCTGTAAAAGGAATGCACTCGCCTGTCCTTCGACAATCCTGCGAGTTTGTACATAGTACCAACAAACCTATCAGAACGGCTTTAGTAAGGAAGAGATGAGCACAGCGACGCGATGAGACGTCCTGCCGTCTTTGGAAGATATCCGGCCGCCGTGCCCATCAGTTCGTTGCACGACATGTTGGCATGAGCCGAAGTCGTACACACCGCCTCCACAGTCGACCGGAGCGCTGCTAAAGAAGTGAGCGCCACGAGTCATAAATTCGGGCGCGGACGTATCCGTATTAGTATGCAGCGATTCTACTCAAGCTGTGGATCGAACAAGCTTTGAAGCACCCGCAGAGTTCCTCTCTTGCGTCAACCTCATCGACGAGTGTGAAGAGCAAGGTTAGGACGGAATCACAGCGTGCAAATCAAACAATCAGACACAGGCCGCCAATGGGGGGAAAGAGCAACTCTCACGCGAACCCCGGCGTCGCGCTCTGCTACACTCGACGTCTTGTTTCCTTGTCTTCTACGCATTGACCTCGCGCAGCTCACATTCCCGACTCAAAACCGTACCTCTTCTCGCGTTTGATATCTTGCAATGAACTGCTAGTCTGCAACTCTGAACAACGCTGTAGCTGCTGCGCCACGCCGGTTCTCACCACTGCGCGATAGCTTTGCGCGGGCATCCAAGCCGACGCTTCTCTTTTCCCGCCTAAATCTTCTGTATATCGCGGATAAGACTTGCGCCAGTGCCTTCGACGCTCAACATGACGGCCGTTGTCGCCAATAATGGCAGCCTGCAGCCCATCGACGACCAGCCCGCCTCACAGGCCTCATCCCCGACCTCCCCGACCCTTTCCTCCTACAGCCAGTCGCGCGCACCCACTACAAATGGCTCTGTCTCTGGCAATGCCAATGGATTCCAGGTTGGTGCCCCGGCCCTCGAGCCGCCCTTGGGTATGACCTTCGCAGAGTTCCTTCGTGTGTGGTCCGACGCGCACGTTGCGCGCTGGCTGGCCGACATCAAGTGTGCACACCATGCGAGTACATTCAGGGAACACGACATCCGTGGGGACGTCCTGCTGGAGCTTGACCAGCTCACGCTGAAGGAGATGGGCATCGCGAGCGTCGGGGACAGACTTCGCATCCTGAATGCAGTCAAGACCCTTCGACAGCGCTGCTCATCCGCCAATGTGGCCCTCACGTCAATCATGAACTACCCCAGGGCGTCAGACCATGCGCGTACGTCGAGCATGAACGGTGACATCAATAGCGCCCGTGCGCACTCGCGTCGTCTCGAGAGCGGTCGCCCTGCACCTCTTCATCTGGCGCCTGCAGGAGGTTCTCCGGACCTACCTCGCATCATTCGCGATGGACAGGACGCATCCCGGCACCATAACGGTGTCCGGCCACTGCCCCAGCCTGGAAGCTCGTCCTCACATTCTACGCCGACGACCGCACATAGCGTCCGGCCGAACCTCCCGCCTCTGCCTCCCCCTCCCCGTGGCCAACCTCCACTTCCACCCAACCCACGTACACCTCATACGCTCCTGCCGAGCGGGCTCTCTGGCAGGCGTACACCTGTGCAAGCAGAAGCATCACCTTACTCTCCTCTCCCATTCCCTACCATCCAGTCAGGACGAAGCACACCTCCAAATGCAAATCCTGCGCACAACAGAAGCGGATCCTATCCTGCGCAGCCAAATCCTCATATCAAACTGCCACCACGTCCTTCAACTGGTACTTCTTCTCATCCCTATGCGCAGAGTTCACAGCAGAACCTTCTCTCACCCATCGAGGAATCATCCAAGTCTCAACGCAATGTGATGCCTCTGACCCCGTCTTTGCAACCCGCAGGTGCCTCGGTTCGGAATAGTCCCGCTTCAAACACCCGGCCTACCACACCTTCGTCACATACACCCTCACTCGACGACCTTAAGCGGAAGCTGGTCAAGTTCACGCTTCCGGGCGAAGGCAAGTCGGTCACAATCAATGTCACTGATTGTGCTGGTGGAGTCGAGGTGTTAGTGAGAGCATTGAAGAAGTTCAACAAACTCACGTCACGAGGCGACTCAGAAGGTGCAGAGCGTGTCGAGACGGAAGATGGTGGCCTAAGTGTCGACGGTTGGGGTGTCTACCTGCATGGGCAAGACGGCGCCCCGGGTGAGTTGTTTTACGTAGCCTATGATGCGCATATAGTGACCCCCAACATGATAGGATCCCCTCTTACTGAAGCCCAACTCCTCTCCATCTGCCATGCTCCGCCAGACGATCCTTCACGCGAGAATGGGCTCACACTTCGTAAGATTGACAGGACAAGGCGTTCCCCAGAGCGTACTCCAAGCCCGGGCAGCTTCATAAACCAAGAACGCGACCCAGAGGAGGACACGCTCTCGTCAGAGGGCGCTCTTGCCTCCGCGCAAACAAAGGCTACGAAACGTGCCAGTTCGATCAGCGTCCTCAGCGGACTGGGTGTGCCTATTCCCGAGAAGCTCGCTAAGCTCGAGGCGTCCGTATCCCCGCCCAATCTCAGTGCGGCTCAGGCGGCGAGCCAGAAGCGACCCTCAAAGCTGCGGAACTTCTTCGGCCAACGACCGCCAAGCGAGCTCATCACGACGCATCTGGCGGAATACTTCCCGAACGCGGAGAAAAAGGTGCTCGAGCGGACGCGTCGGCAGAGCATGATGCGCGCAGGTGGGGCCCCTGGGAAGCGCGACAGCTCCGTGTCGTGGAATTTTCCGGCGCGTTCAAGATTTAGTGTCAGTACTATGGGCTCGAATCGGGGATCGTCCAGATTGTCCGTGGCGTCGACTTCCACAATATTTCCCGAGAGACCGGCATCACCGCCACCGCCGTTGCCCTCCGCTCCTGGTGTCCTGCAGACAAGCACAAGCAGTCCGCCGCGCCTATCAGTGTTCACTGAGGATGGACAGTCTGTGGACCTGTCGGGACCAGAAAACGCGGACGGCACAGATGATACTGAGAAGGAAAAGGAACCTGATGAATCATATAAGCGGCTATCGAGTCCGCATATACTTCCTCCTGTTGCTTTCCCATCGGAGTCGCTGTCAGAGTCGCTGAACCTGGACACGGATAAGCTCAGCTCGAAGCGCAATTCTAGGACCTTGTCTACGTCTTCAAGACGGATGAGTTACATGACAGAATTGCGGAGTAGGCGCGACCGATCGGATACTGCCAGCTTGATGACGGTTGATGAGATCACTGCGAATGTCGAGAGTAGGCGAGAGAGCGGTTTGAGGTCCGATTCGAGCGAGTCGGATGAGTGGACGAAAGTAGATGCAGAGACTGACGCTGACAAGCAAAGTATCCTGGAGGAAGAGTATACTGAGGACGAGGATGAGGAGGACGAAGACGAAGACGAAGACTACGAGGAAGACGACGAAGAGGAGGACGAGGAGACCGTTGTTGATCACGAAGAGCCTGGAAAAACCATCACGTCCGCAGGACGTACGTTGTCAGCATTGGTGGTGTCTGTGTGCGGACTAATTTCCTGCATGTAGGTGAGAGGACCATCAAGTGGATCAAGGGTGCCCTAATTGGTGCAGGGTCGTTTGGCAAAGTCTACCTTGGAATGGATACCTCGACCGGTTTGTTGATGGCAGTTAAGCAAGTCGAGTTGCCCACTGGCTCTGCGCCGAATGAAGAACGCAAGAAGAGCATGCTCAGTGCTCTAGAGCACGAGATTGAGCTGCTGAGGGAGCTGCAGCACGAGAACATTGTGCAGTATCTATGTATGTCTTGAAGTTTGTTGCGACATGTTGCGCTAATGGTCTGACTACTTCCTTTAGCTTCTTGCATCGACAACGATCACTTGAACATCTTCTTGGAGTACGTTCCCGGTGGGTCCGTCACCTCGCTGTTGAACAGCTACGGTGCTTTCGAGGAGCCTCTCGTGCGGAACTGGGTCCGACAGATCCTGCTGGGCCTCAACTATCTGCATGAGCGAGACATAATTCATCGTGATATAAAGGGTGCCAACATGCTGGTCGACAACAAAGGTGGTATCAAGATCTCCGACTTTGGCATTTCCAAGAAAGTCGAGGACAGTAAGTTGTGGCAACTTTGCTGATGCAGCAATCAATTGCTCACGTTGGCATGGTAGATCTGCTACATGGCCACCGGGCTCATCGGCCATCGCTACAGGGATCAGTCTTCTGGATGGCACCTGAGGTTGTCAGGCAGACGGTATATACTCAGAAGGCGGACATCTGGAGCGTTGGCTGTCTGGTTGTTGAGATGCTCACAGGCGAGCACCCTTGGGCACAACTCAACCAGATGCAGGCTATTTTCAAGGTGCAAGAGATGATGGTGTTCCTTTGACGCATCGGCTGACCATTCCTCGCACAGATTGGCTCATCAGCAAAACCAGCCATTCCAGCAGATATCTCTCCAGAGGCTGAAAACTTCCTTCAGCTCACATTTGACCTCGACCACGAAGCGAGGCCGTCAGCGGCCGAGCTGCTCAAACATCCTTGGATTGCAAACCAGCCCATGCCACTAGGTCGTTAGCTCACAGTCCGTACAATACTCATTCGCACTTTTGTTTATACGCTTTATTTTTGCACATATACCAGCGGGTTTCCATCGGGACAAATTTTCGACCGGAGATACTACATAATCCCCTTACATTCGTCGTTACATTGTACACCGGGTATCTTCACACCTCGTCCTCTTCCCTTTTTCTCTTTCCGGACCCGGCCTTCTTTCCGGGCCCCCAGTGCGGAGTTGGATTGGCCTGATAGCGGACCAGTTTCACCTTCGAGGAAGGTGTCACGGACTGCGGATGCCGTGAGAAATTTGCTTCCGCTCTGAAAATAGCTGTGAGCAGGAAGGCACCGATCGCTACGTCACTGCCGCGAACGCACTTTGGTTCCTTGCTGAGAAGATGATGTGTCGGTGATGTCTCTGAGACTCTTTCCATCCGCACCGGATGCGTCTTGACCCAGCAACGAAACACATCATGGACGTCCGCGCGAGTGGCAGTGGTCTTCAGTGAGCCAGCACAGGCGTGCGATCTGGAAACCTGGTGTCCCGCATGTAGCAGCGCTGAGCTGAAAATCATCACGGAATTAGACCCACAGCATTAGACAAATGCAGCACAAAAATAGCACTCACGCTACCTCATCCAGGGCTGGGCATATGCAGTGGAAGGTGCCAGCTATTTTTGCAGGTGTGAAGTAGAACGGCGTATCCAGTTCCTGTAGGGAATGAGAGCAAGTCTCGCTGAGGTTGCTCGGTACCCACCTCTTTTGCGATGGTCAGCATACCTTTCATGCGTGCCGAAGTGCCATACTTATCATTGCTGGCTTCGACGTGTTCCAATACTTTCGAGATAAAAGCAGGATCATGAACTGACCCCGACCACATCGGTCCAGCGATCTGGGAAAGGATGAGGAACGAGCGAGAACCTGTAGCAACGAGGTGCATACATGCAGCGTGGAATTGCACTCTGGGCATTTGCTAGGCACTATCGGTCCAGCATGTGGCTTGAAGTGATAATTGACATTTCCGCTCGGTTCATGTACGTTGTGGGTCATCCGGCCGAAGGGTTGCTCATAGAACGACTGGCAGCCGCTGCATATGTAGTAAATGGATGTCTTGCTGTCGGAGGCGGTTAGCTTTGAGCACCGCGTGCTGATGGAGCAAAAACTCGCCTGAAAGCCTTTTTGACCTCATTCGCCGATGTGTATATACGGACAAACAGACGGACGTAGAAGTCGATTGAGAGGGAAAGGAGTGGCTGGATGTATCGACCATACCTCGCGGCGGACGTCGATATTGTATGCAGCACGAGACGAAGGGCCTGTAATTCGTTATCAGACGCCTGTCATAAAAATGCTTAAAAGTCTTGTACCGCTTCGTGGCAATACTCTGCCTTTACAGGCACGCCTCCATAATTGGAGAAGCTGCGAAGCATCTTGATATACCAGAGGATTAAAAGGCGTAGAGGAGTGCGCACCATTTTTCAGGATAATTTAATGTCGCTAGCACCGAAAGGTCTGTGCATGTTACGCACAACAATCCTAGCTCACGAGAGAGTTATCACAACACTAGAACGTGAATGGATAGGCAGCTGACCTCCATCATTCACGCACTGGACAGCAGCGTCGATAAACGGTGCTGCTGTCCCATACGGATCCAGATCGACGACGTCGACACGTGCTCGTTCTGTCCGATGATTGTACATCAATGCACTTGGATGATGCTCAGTTCATTTGTGCCACCGCTTGTTCGGGAGGACCTACCAAGCGTCCCCTTCGTTCACTCTGACTTTTGGTGGCGTGGGCTTACGGCCCTGACCTTTTTGAGTCTCTGATGAGCCTGTCTCGATTGTTCCGGTGTCGTCCACGAGTCCGTTGATCTCGACGTTCCTTCGCATTGCTTCGACGGCGGCAGGAGAATAGTCATTCGCGATGACATACCTGCAAACGCAAATGTAAATCGAACGAACGACATGCGCGTGCGCATATATGCGTACCTGACCAAAGGAATTTCCTTCGCGTAACGAATTGAACGCAAGCCTGTCGCAGAGAGAGCCTCCAGGATCACGCTCTTGTATGGGTGCTACAGTGCGACACCAATTCATATCTACGAGTATAAACGATATGCATAGGATGTTTCGCACCTCTTTCTGCTTCTGTGAGCTTGTTCCAACGACCGACTCGGAAGATGCAGCCTCCTTCGCCTCAGATGATCCTTCGCCAGCCTGGCCAGAGGCCGTGTCAGCACCCACAGTCCCCTCTGTAGCAATAACGGAAGCCGTCGTCTCATTCCCAACTGCTCAAATACGTTAGACAAGTTCCATCACCCTTCTTGGACACTCACTCTTCGCCCGCTTGGGCTTCGGTCCGCGCCCGTTCTCCTTCTTCTTAGCTCGCCTTTCCTGAGACTGCCGCCACTTTGCCTGCTTCTCTTCGTTCAGCAGCTCACTCCAGGTACGGATACATGCCACGCTCAGGTCTCGGTTGAACTCCTGGACGGGATTCAGGAACGCTTGGTTGTCCGGCGGCAAGAGGATGTAGGAGGTGTTTTCTGTGTGCAGGGTGTATCCCTCGGGGGTCGTGATGGGTGGAGGCTCTGCGGTCTCTGAGGCCATTGCTTTGATAGAGTGATGTCGTAGACGATTCACTGTCCTCTGGCGCAGAGGCCGGATGAGACTTAGTATGGACAGCAACGTGAACAAGCTCAGCGCCCAGTAGTACGCTTCGACTAGACGAGACGGAGCGTTTTCGAAGTGAGACGCGCTCTGACCTGACGCGGTCGACTTGACCGCGCGCACTTAGCTGGTAGGCTACATCCAGATGCTATACAATGTCCTGCGCCTACATTGAGACTCGGCAGAAAGCACCTATTACAGCTGCCTACAAATAACGGTATCTGAGTGATGGTAAAGGTATAGTACGATACTAATGTTCTGCGAACGCAAAGCTCATCTGAGACGCGCTGTCACGAAACCGACAGAGCTTGTTAGGCTGTGAAAAGTCATCAAAAGAAAGCTGGATCAATAAAAGATCAGTATTCGAAATCCTCAGACACCAGCGTGATGGAGCCGCTTAGGTCTCCCCGTCGTATTCGTTCGAGGTTGATCTGCGACGCGATGGCCTTGCGCACGACGGCGTTCAGTGACAATGGGCCGCAACCTGATAGATTTCGGATCAGTGTCTGCCGTGTCAAGATACAAGAAACAGTACTGCTCACATCCAACCACGATAGGCCCCTGGGCCAGCTGTACCTCGTCTGCGACAATTCTATCCAACCGCGGCTTCCCAGGACGGGCATGTTCCGCGACGACACCCACATCCCGCAGCTCCTGCTCGTCAAGCTCTAGCCGCAGATGTTCCCCGCTCTTTCCGACGTCTACCTCCGATACCAGCGCCGCGAGGCTCCCAGCCTCGGACCACCCACTCGCCTGCGAACCAGGCGAGAATGGCCGCGATGCGGCGCTCGTGGGTGACGAAGGGGACATACTTGCTCTTGCCTTGCCCTTCGGCGATTGCGGGGAGTCAGAGAGGAGGAACGTTGAAGTGGATGTCGCGGAGTCAGGCACGAGCGTAGAGTGTGGTGAGGTGGGTGATAGAGGTATCGCACGTCGCGTCGGCGAGCAGGAAGAGTCGGGGGAGTCGGGCGATAGCACGTTAGATGGTCCGTCTTCAGAATGCTCTACGATCGACCACACGGGATCAACATTCTCCCTCTGGGCGACCAGTCGCACTGACGATGTATTGAAATCATGGTCCAGGCCATTATCCTTCTCATCGTCCCCCTCCTGATGTCGCTTGCGCTTCCCAGACAACAGCGCGGCCTGCGACGCAGCCCTGCGTAACCTCCCCTCTCTCTTCACCGAGTTCCCGAATTGCTTCTCACCAGGCATCGCTGTGTCGTCATCACCCTCGAAATTAGTCAGGTCCAGGACATGCTCCTCGTGCCCCAGTTCGCTTCCCCGCTCGACATAGTCGTCCTGGTGATAATGCGGATCAAAAACGTCGTCCACCTCCCCGTCAGCGGAGGAGATGGACCCCAAACGAGTGTGTTCTTCTTCCGTCTTCACATGATCCTGCCGCGCAAAGAGCGGTGTTGGAGGAAGGAGAGTGTCTGTTGAAGGTGCGTGCAGCATCGTTGCTAAAGAAGGTTCTTGGATCATTTTGACATTCGTCACGAATATGTCCACCTGCAGCTCCGAGCTTGAGATCATCGACATACATCGGCGCAAGATCGTGGCACACCACTGTATATGGCCTAAGAAGACCATGAGCCCTGAAGACCCGTAGATTCCGACGTTGCCACTCACTGAACTCGCGTACCAGCCAAACAAGGCGAACACGTCTGACGTTGAAACCGGGCTTCCCCCATCCACCTCGCTTCCCGCCAAGAGACGAGCCATCCCTGCCGGCGAGACATAGGCACACATACTGCAGCACGGACAGGCCAAAGCTAATACCTGAGCCGCCAGCAATAATGAGCACAGTCGAGTACGCTCCCCACCGGGCGCGCACCGCCGAGCCAAACGGCCCGTCCACATACGTGCGCATCACGACGCCTCGAGCGGGGAGCTCCCAGCCCGCAGGCGGGCGCTCGCCTGAGCAGTGGTGCCTCCCACTGACAATCGTGCACGCAACAGTGTCCCACAAACGCTTCGTCCACCCGTTCTTCGCACGGATCAGAAAAACGAGCTCCCGACCCTCGTCCGTTGGCGCTTCTTGATCGCATACGGTGGCCACGGTGAATGGATGCGTGGCGAGCTGCGATATAGCGGGAATTCTCAGGAGGAAATGCTGCCCAGGCGCCCAGGGCAGGTAGCCCGGCGTTATGAGGCGTAGCCGTATCGTTCGTCCCGGAAGGAGCTCCGCATATGCAAAGCCCGGCGGTGGAACGTAACTGCCAGAGGCACCTAACGTGATCTTGCCTGATATGCGCGCGATATGGACGTCCACGTTCAGTTTGGATGTTGTCGGTGAGCTAGGAGGAATGTAGAGCTTCTTCAGCGCACGAGGGGAGGACATCGGCTCCATCTCCCACGACTCCGGGGAAGCAGAAGCGTTCAACGCTGGTCCCTTCTGTGAATTCTTCGGAGCCGGCGATGGAAACGCTCTGTCAAAATAGCCGTTGGTATTCAACCACCATATTGATCGCCATATGCGCTCTCCAATCCATAGCGCAAGGGCTGCCCAGCACCACCATCCCACGGATGAATGGTGCAGGGCGGAGAAGATGAGTGTTAGCGGCACCAGCATGACGTGTAGGAAGTAGAAGATCTCATAGTGAAGCCGCCGGATGGGGCGGAGAGAAAGAACCACCAGGACTGTCATGAAGCCGAAAGCCTGTCGAGCTGGTCAGAGCTATGGATGAACCGCATCCAGGTCTGTATACCCACAATCCATCCATAAATGAAGTTGATATAATCCCAGGGGTAGGTGTAGAGCACCTTCCCGGTGCTGCTTCTCCGCTCTATGGCGAGCTGTACGCTCCAGAAGATGACATGCAGCGCAGAGAAGAACCAGATGAGACGACCGATCCACCTGTGCAGCCAGGCGAGTTTGTCGAAATGCAGCTGAATGACGAAGGGCAGGGCTAGCACTGCGAACGGCGGTGCTTTCAGCGCCAGGAGCACGCACAGAGGAAAGAGGGCGAAGGCAATGAGACCCGTTCTGTTGCCTGATGTCCACCAGGCTTTGCCAATCGTGTAGTCAGGCACGTACTGGGTCAACGCGGAGACATTGACTGAACGTTTCGTAAGTGGCACACTGGAGGTATTCTGCGCATTAGAAGCCGTGGACTCCGGCGCAATGTAGTCTGGCCCAGCGAACGCGAGTATGAGCGTCACAATTACGATGGATGTCAAGGTGATAATCTGGGCGTTAGAGGGGAGGGGTAACGGCTGCTGGTGAGGGTATCCTCTTCGCATGGCGACCTTGAGCGCATGCTTCTTCCTCCATGTCCTCCGGCGGACGGCCCATTTGCTCCAGAGCGCACCGAGATAACCGCCTCTGAGGCCGACCAGGTGAAAGGCAGCGAAGAGCACTAAGGTCACGGCAATGACTGCCCACAAAATATACGTGTAGATGTAGCTCGGAGTGCTTTGCGCGTGTATTTCCAGATAGGCGGTGATATAGTCGACGTCATTTGCGTAGTAAGGAGCGGTCGGATAAGCGGTTAGGGCGGTCGTGGTCGTCGAGTTCCGCGAGGCCATGAATGAGTGCAAGCCCTGTCGTGTCGTATATCCAGTCAAAGTGAAGGTCGTGAAGAAAAGTTGGTGCTCCCACAAACTCTGCAACGCCAAGCGGGATTCCACTGCAGCGACAAGTCTAGACAAAATGCGAGATCGGCCCACACGCGCAGCGGAGGCGGGTGTCGCTGTATGAAAGGAAAGAGTGGATCGGTGGATTATATGGGATTGCGGTGCCGGAGAAGGGCATGAAGGGGCAAAAGAAGAGAAGAGGGTGAGGAGAAGCCGAGGCGGACATATCGTGTGTAGAGGTCCTGCCAGGAGTAAACGGCACAACCATGCGGGCGCTCGCCTCCCTTCCGAGATCGGCAACTGCGATTCCCTTTTCCGCTCACCTCGTCGACTTTGATGTCGCCGTCGTCGACATTGTCAATTTGCTCGACCCCGGACTGGAGACGGCTTTCCTCACGCACGATGCCACACATGCGGACATCTCATGGTCATCATATGCATATTCATATCCTACATACTCGTCACACACCGAGGCACGATATCGCCGCTAGCCACAGCCAGCACCTCAGCCACAAACCTGCTCATTCCACCGTCTGCCCGGAGCGCACCTGTGCCAGAGAGAATATACATAATCGTGAGCTCGCACCGCAGCAGACTAGTCAGCTCGCACACGCACCTCCTTGCCCGTCTTCTTGATCTTCTCCAGCAACGTGTCATACGGGATCGACCCCTTCACGATGACCTCCTGCTTTTCCAAGCTTACATCGTAGGAGTCTACACCTAGTGTCCGCGGAGGCCCGTTCAGCACCACGCTCTCGCTACTCCGGGCCAGGGACTTACCGTCAGCTTGTGCCTTCTTCAATGCGCGTTCAATGGCGCCGGAGCAGCCGCTGCAGGTCATCTGGACATCATGAGCTGCGCAGCGGCAGCCGTGACAAATATAGAGGCGTACCTTGACGTCGAACTTGTAGGTGTGGGTAGCCTACATAGCATATCAGTTCTCTCCGCGCAAGCTGCACCGTGTGGATGCACCCACCATAGCGAACAGCGCTATAACGGCACCGTCACGTTAGTTGCCACCCTATCCTAGGAGGAGTGCACATACCGCGGATAAACGTAGATAACGGTAGGGGTAGAGATAGTATGCGAGGTAAATGTGAGACCTGCTCCGCGGGCTGAACGCGTCTTATGCGTGTCTCCAATTAATGGCGCAAGCACAGCTGAGTAAGCCCGTAATCAGCCCACCACTCAGCATTCCATTTCCGGCTGTTTGTGCTACGTGTATGAGCTCGGAGCTCGGGCCCCGATGATTCCTATTCGCCGCCACGGTTCTCTCTCAACGGCCCACAGCCAGATGTTTCAGCGCAGCAGCTGCAAATATTCTCCAAAATAGACAGCTCTAATCTAAGGTATCAGTGCACACGCCAGGGCGTTACAACCGCGCGGAATTCCACGCAAGACCCGGCAGATAGCATCCGCTCTTGTCGATGGTATCAAAGTTCATCTAATATATCATGAATGAAATGACCCGCTGGTCTCATTCATCTCGACCTGCTCGTCGCCCTCGGTAGCTACAGCTTGCCATCCATTGGTCTGCCACGTATACGTGCGAAACAGTTCGCAAACACCGCTAATGGATGTGCTTGCTCAGCATCGGTGATCTCAAACACAACTGAGAGCTTACACATGATGCCAGAAGGCGATGCGTTTCGCCTCCTTTGAGTGACATAATACACTGGGATACCCACAAGGACGAAGCCTATCAATCCAATTAGGTTCAGCAAAAATCGCGCAGAAGGTTCAAGAGGAAATTCCTCAGCTCATCGAGAACCGCCATCGCCTCGAGCGATGCCGTGTCATCCTCCGTTAACCACGGACCACGTACAGCGCAGAATATCAGAGGCGTGGTAATCCAAGTCTCGTAAGGGCTGTTTTAACTGTCAGGGCAGCGAGAATGATGCCAACCGCGCTGCATGGGCTCAATGGTCTCCTTATAGACACAGATGAGGCGTGCACTGGTAAATGACGAGCCTGACAGAAAGTCAGCCTCGATTCTGGCGGGCGAAGAACCTACATACCGTTCTATTGGTTCAACCAGGTTCTCAATATTTGTGACGGCGGTCTCCGTGGTGAGCTTGTTGCTTGTCGACATGCTGAGGACGGTGCTTGTCGAGATCAGTCCGCCGGTCTTCAGCATTCTCAACGCGCTTATCGGTTTGTTGTTCCACCCCGAGACTGCCGGACAGACGATTGAAAGCATCGGCGACCTCTTCCGGTACGATGACCTATCCGAGAAGCAAGTCGATCTGCTTGCATGCATGCAGTGGTCGATGGTCCCGAAGGCGGCAAAGACGATGGCGCGGCGTTTAAAGAAGGACAAGGGGGGCACACGCCTCGGCGGTCGCGGGGGAAGATGGGCCGACGAGGAGGAATCAGAGCGAGGAGTCGCTGAGTGTCGAGGAGGAAAAGAATTTGGAGGAGCAGCAAGTCGGGAGCATCGCGTCATGATCTACACTGAATTCCCTCTTGAATCAGCTGGTGCGGTTACCTCTAGAAGAACGCTGATGCATTGCCTGTAGCTATAGTTCTGTATTTGTTAGTAGCTGTTTGCATCGCTTTTGCACATCGCGCAAAATAGACGGATCTACTTGGAGCTCTGTTACTGTCATATGATGGATACTCGTTCTTGGTTTCAATCCGTGTTATGGAAATGCCAATTCTCGCTTAACACAGCGAACCGACGACAATCCCTGAGTAGGCAAGGCCTACGACAATTCCAGAGTAGGCAAGGCCTACTCAGGGGGGTTTACAGACGACATCAAAACACAGGAAGACACTCTTCCGTCTGGGCATTGATAGCCGAAAGCAAATGCGTCTTCAATCCTCGCAACCCATAGTCGTACAATGTCACAATACATTCGCGAGCTCGAGATTATGCAAAATGGAAACGCAACTAGACGCATCTATACGTATGTTACCGAGAGCATCTATTCAGGTGGTAAATAGACTCACTACTCAGAAACCTTGATGTTGCTAAACATTCATTTGTATGGAGTCAGCTTTCGAGCGAGATCTTGCGCGTATCCACACACAGTTAACGTGGGATTCCTAAATGGGAGGTTGTTAACCTGAACATGAATGCCGAGATACAGTCACTCACCAGGATCCCGCGGTTGGGAAAATCGCTGATCCAGTGACATACTAAAAGTCGTGCAATGTCATGTCTAACTCGCGGTCGACATTGAGACACTTACAACGTTGGTTGTTCCTTTGACTCTATAATCCGTATCAATGCAGTAGTCATCGCCTTCTCCAAGAGGTAAAGACGACGCTTCGTGAACAATACCCTCCATCCTGATAGTTTCCTTCTTGGGGAGCTCGCGACTCCAGTGACCCGGTTTGTCCCAGGGTTTTGGCTGGTGCCACCATTCGAGCGGTTCAAGTTTCTGGAGACCGGCCATAATTTGGATCGCGGCGAACGTCTCAGCATCCATCGCGTCCCAGAGCCGTTCGTCCTTTTCGCTAAGCAAGACCTGCAGTACACAATTGGCCGTCGGATCATCCGTCAAGGTTTGATTCGGAATGCGGAAGAAGTTTTGCGCATTGTCCTCACTCAGCTCCCCGAGCGTCGCACATACTGAGCAATGTCAGAGCATGCCTGTGGTGTAGAAACGAGAGAATCGTACCAAAGATAACGTATTCTTCCGAGCCGCGTAGTTGTTCTTCCGTTGCTGAAGCAGCATAGTCCTGTTCGTGACGCCCCTACCATGAGCAAATGCCCTAAATTTCTGCCTATTTACTGCTCACCGGACAGAAGCGCGCGGCATCTTCAACGTCTTGCCCTGGATCAGGAGATGCAACTGCGGTAATCTGAATGTGATATTGCAACTTTGTATCCGGGTGCTGCCCTGCCACATATTCTGCACCTATGTCAATGCTTTTTTCGTTCAAGTCGGCGAATGCGCTTCTTTTGATGCGAGCGACAACATGCGAAAGAAAGTGACCAGTCACTCTGGACCCCGCGTTTTTTTTGATGCGGGGTTCGTCGGGGAAGCTGTTAAGGAGGAGGGTGGTATTGGGAAATGCTCCAGCACAAAGAATCACTTTGGCAGGCTCTTGTCCCAGCCTGAGTGGAAGATCTCCACGAGATGTGCGCACAAATTTGACATCTTTATCTTTCTTGACGTTGTGAGGTGGGGGAAAGCCGACGTTAATTCCTAAGTATTGCGCAGCTGCGTTGGTGGCGATCAACAGTGGCGCACCGGTGTTGTCACGCGCATGCTTCTGCTGCAGGTCATAAAGGGACAGGAGCGGGCCCGGAGTCGAGAACTTTGTGAAGCGTACTGTTGCCGTCTTTGCAATGGAAGAAACCGCCAGCGGAGCAGGATACACTTCAAGTTTGAGGTGCTGATTGACTGACTTCAATGCGGACAATCGTTCGTGAATCTGTTTCTGGAGCTGAGCATATGGCGGCCCTATCTCCGTCGACTTTGTGACTCTTAGAAGCTCGCTGGCACGACCGAAGAACTGGGGCTCTCTTGCCGTGTCTAGCAAAGACTTCGGCCAGTTGCGCATGAGCTCAGGTGCGGGGCTCGGGGACCAGGCAGACCAAAATATCGATCGTCCGCCAAAAAATGGAGTGTATCCATGCACAAATTTGACGTCGCTCTGGTATGTTTCTCTGGACAGTGAGAACGGGAATGTCTCACTCGGCCCACCAAGAATATATTTGAATGGAATGGGCAAGTTCTGGAAGTGATCTGGAAGCCAAAAATCTGCGAGTGCGCGGGTGTCACAACGGTCAAATTAGAACAATATAGATTTAACGAAAGATCACGGACCTCCTCTTTCAATACAAAGTATTTTCTTATGCGGATCCCGCTTCAACGTTTCATCAATAAATGCGAGCGCAGTGAACTGGTACAGGAACATGAACGTGAATATTCAATGCTTATCGATGTGGAGAGCGGAACGTACACCTGAACCGATGACAATAAAGTCGAGATCAGAGTGATCGCAAATGTCTCTCCATGTCTTGTCTGATACAAAGAAGTCTTTTCCAGCCGCCTGAGCGGCGGTGGGGGACTGAGCGAGGAAGATATCAATGTTTAACATCTTGCTGCAAATATGCGATGCGACAGACCTGAACACCCGGTTCTGGGAACCCGTAATTATTCGAGGGTTGCGTATTGAACTCGCAGAATACATGTTGATAGGACAGAGGACGCTCGCGACGTAGATACTTGGTATCCTGGGTCGGGGAAGGTTGATATGGGAGAGCAGGCATCGTGTTCGAGGTCGAGATGGGACATCGTATGTTCACAATGCTGACTTATATCCGCAGAATTGCCTTCTGATTGCGTAAGGCCACTGACCATCTCCGAGGTGCTTCTAAAATCGGTGCTAAAACAATGCCAGCAACAGGTGATCAACCATGCTAGTCTCGAAGCCAGCCACGTTGAAGTAGTCCGAACTAGATGCCATTGTCGCATGCAGTCGCAGTCTTCGATTGCGAATGTAGCTGACACTCACAGGCAAGATGATACGGAGAGATGCTTCCGTTATCGGTGCTACAACAGCAGGTGATCGCCCATCCTAGTCTCGACTCTCGAAGCCAGCCACGTTGAAGTATGTAGTCCGAAATCGATGCCATACCGTGTTGCCGAGAAGGATCGTGCCTATTCGACGCCAGGTTACCTGTGCTGGAATCTGGTCTGTTTCAAATTACCACCCTCACAGTGGGATTTATGAAAACATTTTTCATCTCCGAAACGCGACGCGTTTCGGATCTCACATGACATGGCTGAGGCTCACTGTACATGTAGCATATGCCCACTGGATATGCCCTTCTCTCTCATAGTCTACTTGTACTTCTGCTCCTTCTACTCTGCTCATACGGCCAAACTATGTGCAAGCACCTCTCCAAAATCATTCACACTAAATTCACCCCAAGGTCACGCTTTGCTACGGGATATACTGGCACATAGTCTACCCCACGACCCACACGACTACCAGCTTGAAGGAATAGCAAACCCTTGCAGTCTCAAGGTAAAACAGACAGCTCTAATCTAAGGTATCAGTGCACATGCCAAGGCGTTACAACCGCGCGGAATTCCACGCAAGACCCGGCAGATAGCATCCGCTCTTGGTCGATGGTATCAAAGTTCATCTAATATATCATGAATGAAATGACCCGCTGGTCTCATTCATCTCGACCTGCTCGTCGCCCTCGGTAGCTACAGCTTGCCATCCAGCGCCCGGGGTTGGTCTGCCACGTATTCGTGCGAAACAGTTCGCAAACACCGCTAATGGATGTGCTTGCTCAGCATCGGTGATCTCAGATACGATTGAGAGCTTACACATGATGCCGGAAGACGATGCGTTTCGCCTCCTTTGAGTGAGGTAATACACTGGGATACCCACAAGGACGAAGCCTATCATTCCAATTAGGTTCAGCAAAAATCGCGCAGAAGGTTGAGAGAATTCCTCAGCTCACCGAGAATCGCCATCGCCTCGAGCGGTGCCGCAATGACGGGCATGCACAGCAAAAATACGCAGACCTGAGGGAACATCAATTGTCATCCTCCGTTGAGCACGGACCACGCACCGCGCAAAATATCAGAGGTGTGGTAATCCAAGTCTTGTAAGGGCTGTTCTAGCTGTCAGGACAACGAGAATATGCAATCCGCACTGCATAGACTTACCGCTCCAGCGTGGGCTCCTTGACACGTAACACTACCACTCCAAGTACCTACCAGAGCGATCTCAGCACGATGACAGCTTTCGACTTTAACAACTCACGGTCAGGAAATAGAACGCCCACGATGCAACAACAGCGAAGTTGATGAGCGACCGAAACCCTCCTCCAATGACGATGAACGCAACGGTCAAGGCTGCATGGAGACACATCGCGTTCAGTGGTGTTTTGAGAGATTGGTTCATTCTCCCGAACAACGCAGGAAGATAGCCCTCGCGGCCTGCGACGTAGATGAGGCGTGCACTGGTGAACGATGAGCCTGACAGGAAGTCAGCCTCGATTCTTGGGGGGGAGAACCTAGCTACCATTCAGCGCGCCAAAGCACGAAATGGCGACCATCAATGCAAATACGATCCCGCCAACAGGGCCGAACAATGCACGGCCAAAGTCAAGAGCGACCGTATTACTCCTCCCTACTGTTACCTAAGACAAATCTATCATGACATATTTCAATGATAATGGCATCGTGCTCCATGACTTACCTTGTCGAGCACAGTGAAGTACGCCAAGTTAGCGAGCATAAACAGTACCTGCGAAAAGAGATCAGCTTATTTCATTAAATACGCACGGTGCCGATACGTACCATGACAATTGCCATACTAGAGTGGATGGCGCGAGGAATATTCTTCTGTGCATTCTTCATCTCGCCACCGACATAGTTCGCTTGATCCCAACCGTCATACGCCCAAAGGCCGGAATACAAGGCCAACGCATAGGAAGATGGGCTAGTACTGGACCCACTAAACAGAGACTCCGTGAGCGATGTCGATGCATGACCTCTGGCTAGCTGGACGAGACCAAGGATGGTGATAGATATCTGTAACCATTACAATGTTAACAACAATCCCAGCCCGATCTTGTGTGTACGCACCAATGCAACAATCTGTGAAATGAGATCAGCTCAACATTGCACCGGCACACTGTACAGCGGACGAGTCTTACTTTCGCCGTGGTGAAGACCACAGCCATCCGCGGGCCCAACATTGGCGTGGCCACGCAAATTGTGGAGACCACGAGGACTGCCGCAACCGCAGTGAGTTTGATTGCCCACTGTGGAATATCATCCGGCGATACCTCAGCGTTTGTACTGTGCCAGAAGAGCCGGTTGAGGTATTCTGCAAAAATGAGGCTGATGACAGCGTTTCCTCCTGCAAATAGCAATTGGGTTACACACATACGAGGTCTTGGGGAGCGGTGGGACTCACCTGGTTTCAGTGCGGAGATAGCTGTCCAGGCAAACAGGTACGAGACGAGGGGACCATATGCATATTGGAGGTACGCCTGCGCACCTCCGTTTACCGGTATCGATGACCCCAACTCTGCAAAGCTGCTCGCGCCTGTCCATGCCAACAGTCCCGCCACGAACCACACAGACAGACTTGCTCCAACACTCTCGGTGTTTGCCACTACTACGCCAGGTGAAGAGCTGCAACAGAATGAACGCCTGTTGCACAACAATCGTATATCTGTACTCACAATATACCCGACCCAATCTGCAACCCGATGATTAGGGCAATGCCTGAGCACTCCTTCAGTCATGACAGTGCCCCATATGAGGTATCATTCACATACCATGGAGCAGGCTTATATTCTTCGCATGTGCCGCTACCTGGATGCTCTCAGGTTCACTCAAGCTCGCGGTCAGCGGTAGTAGATCCTGCTGGAAGTCAAAGCCGGAGATCGAATATGAACGCGTCCGCGTAGTGCTCGGTCCATCGGCGAGTAATGGTCCGTCGGACAGCTCCAAATCCCGTAACGAGTCGACTGAGTCGCGAGAGACCGTTGGTGAGCGGTAGTCTTCGATGGGAGTGAGAGGGCTGAGAGGAGACTTCGATGCATCGAACAGGACCTTTGATGAGGTGGACACGGATGTCATAGAGTGCTGTGGCTAAATTCGATGCCGATGACCGTGCCTAATAGAACCAGGAAGACAACCCTCGTCGCCAGTGCGAACAGTGCTGTCCAAGTTCAAGGTATGGAGATGCTGCCTAGTAGGTAACCGCGTTGGTGGCATTCTTACAGTCGAGCGTTCTGATGATCGCCACGTGTCCGAGAATCACTGACATCAAAAAGGACCATATAATTACGATGGCTTGCGCTGCGCGGTGGCCGCTGACATGATGTAAAATTGCACCGCACTGAGCTTTTATGCCGTGTGCAGCTACAGCGAACAAATCCCTGCAGCAGGACCCCTTCCTCCGAGGATCAAATAACCTGAGCACTCTCCAGCAAAGCCTGAGCTACTACAGCGTGGATGTCCGTGCACCTTTCCTCGCACGCTTCCATACACTATGAGCGGGTATCGTCAGCCTCTCAAACAATAATCAAAAAGTTCCCGTCGCACCAGAAAAGCTTGTTCCTGCGTCATATTACCGGATTGCCATATGCTGGTAATTGTTCGCAGTGCCGGCATCCCAGCGTAGACCAGACTTCCCGATCCCGCTAAGGCTTCTTTCTCTGTGGGGTCCAGCCAGATCTCTTTGCCTACAGTCGCCTGTGAGGGCAATCAGCTGCATCCCAAGGACCCGAGGACAAAAGGCGACCGGCTTACTGCGGCACATGACATTACAAGCCCGAGCATCTCTATACCAGCATCGGCAAGTGCAACACTGGCAGCAACTGAACCAGCAGCGATACATCCTTCAACGCCATCGTTTTCAATGACAGTGATGAAAATGTCGATGGTCGACTTTGGCAGAAGCTCCAATCTGACTGATGGCAGGATCGCTTGCTGTATCTGCATGGCGACAGATCTATCTTCTGCATCCTGTGTGACATGATTGTTAGAAGAGTTTCTGTACGGCTTGTATCAATGGCGTACCCTCATTGGGGCCCTTCTACGCGTACATGAAAACGGGGCGAACTTGACTTCGACATTAAGTCGCCCATTCTCACTGTATACAGTGGTCTTGGATTGCCGAGGACCATAGCTGCAGATCGGTCGTAGCTTGGACACAATTCGGAGGACGAGAGTAGGTGAAGACCGACACTGCACAAGCAATCTTTGTCCGTTCGGTTTCTATGTATGCAGAGCCATTTGCTTGGCTTATCAGTCCAGGCTTGAGAACTATACGTGCCAGATGTGAGTACATCGGATGTGACGAAAGAGATAAGCGGCGAACAAATGGGTCGTATATCGCCTGCAGTGCGCCCTCCTGATCGTTGAAGAGGTACAGACTGTTCCGCGTCATCGAAATCAAAGGTTGGCGGATGACTCTCTTCGGGACCGTTGATGCGACGACGGTCGAAATTGCTTTGAGCCATACGAGTGTTCAAAGGTTAGAAATGTTAACGACGTACGAGCGCGAAACTGACAATGTGACCGCTCCGTCTACGGCGCTTGTGTGACGCGGCCACGTGACTTTAATTAGCCCACTGGGAGGACGCGTTTAGAGACGCGACTTGGATGAAGTTGGCGCAGCAGCACCGGTTCCAAATAACAGATCAGATGAGGGGCACAGGATACATCAGAAGCACGTGAATTACACAATGTCCTGGAAATAGTCATCTATCTCTTGCCTGCCACAAAACGCGACAGAGCCTCTAGTACAGTTAGTTCTACAGCATGCGTCCACCAATCGCCACGCCACGTATACCAGCTCCATTCACGGGACACCGCGATGTTTCATCAAAGATGAGTCGAAGGCCAGAATCTTCGAAGGTGCAATGTTCCCTCCAGCAGTAGTGTCAGTGACGAGGCGAGCCCGAATCCCATGCGGCTATTGTATGTCCGAAGCTATGCGAAGGCATAGCCTCGTGAGTCGGCATGCGTCAGTCTGCGGTACACTCCAAGCTCCAGAACTTCCTTGTGCAGTGTAATCCCCATCGACGGAAGACAAGTCCGGGGCTCGTCAAGACGAGACTGTCAGTGCCAACCGCATTCATCAACAGGTCTGACCGGAAAAAGCATCGCGGTCAGAGTCACCAGAGTCGGCACGGCTGACATTAATTCGACGTTATTGTGGGCGTTTATGAAACGTGCCATGCACGATCGAGTCGATTCCTTCGTTTAGCCACCGGGTAGGAGTCATCCGATCAGAATATTGAGAGGCTGTAAGTCAACTCGGATGTATCGCGAGGGCTGCGTGGCAGTGGGCACGCTCATGCACTATCACGATCTACACATGCGTGCCGATATATTATCCAGCGGAAGCCTAGCCAAGGATACGAAATGTGCAGCTCAGTGGCACAATGGCCACTCGGCCACGTAAGTTCGCACCATCCAGCGTCGCTGAGTTGAACTACAGTCATAGCGGCTAAGCGTGGCCGTGCCACCCTCCTCTGTGCTCAATATATAAAGGCCATGTTCTTGCCTTCACTGCTGGCAGCAACATCTGGCCTCCCTCTCTCGGCAGACATTCGTAAAGACGAGGCCCCTCCCACTTTGCTCTTCACCCTTCAGCGTGGGCTCCACTTTGTTCCCCATCTCAACGCGTCTTCATGTCTCTCCAGCCGCGTTCACTTTCACTCAAGTCCTTCAACGCTCAAGGGTTCCCCAAGCTTCCACTGGAATTGACTGACCATATCATTGACAACCTTCACGTCGACTTCGTTTCCCTCAAGAACATTGCTCTGGTCTGTCACGCTTGGGTGGCTTCGGCCCGCAAACATATCTTCTTCTCTGTGACCCTAACCGGCTATAGAAAGGCGCATGCGTTCCTCGCAGCCCTTCAATCCTCCAAAGACATTGGTCGCTACGTCAAACAGCTGGACATGCGTATTAACACTGATTACGACGACCCCTCTCCATTCGAGGATGTCATGAAGCACCTCAGCTCTGTTCGCAGTTTCGAGCTAAACGCAAACGAAGTACCTCTTAATCTTGAAATAATCAAGAGCATTGGGCCAGTGGAGGAGTTCACGATGGAACTGGGCGAGTGGGAGGAGCTGGACTTGAAGGGTGCCCTTTTCGCGTTTCCTAAGCTATCAAGTCTGGTTTTGCACACCTCTCCCGGCTCCGGTATTTGCGATGTTGCGAGCGACTCGCCTATGTTCCCTGTGAGGAAGCTGAAAACCACGGCCTTCGTTCCGAGCTCAACATATCCTGAAGCTCCTAATCTTGTCTTATCAACGTTGCTTCAGCATAAGCTGCCCTTGATAGAGGCCTTGACATTAGCCATTGTTGCTGACAGAGATTTGTTCGCTCTGCGCGAATTTCTGCGCACACACGAAGGCAACATCAAGCTTCTCGATCTGAGCTTCAAGTACAGTGTAGATGGTGCGTCACCTATCGTGGTCTCTGAAGAAAACTTCTCAATCGCGTCCTCTTAGACTCCGCTGCATCCTCACTCGCGGACGTGCTTCGTGAGAGGTGCATGGACATCAGAAATGTCCATCTCAAATCTGAGAACATAGGTTCAACATTTTTGTTACAGCTAGTCTCTGCTTTCAAGTCCTCCAAGGTAGAGCGCGTCGTCGTCATCATCCATCCTTTCGCAAGCCTGAGGTGGTATGATGTCTTACGTTCCCTGTTGTCATACTTTGACGTTGGATTCACTGCGGCGTCTTCCCTCATTGTCAACATTCCTCTGAATCTTAGACACAGAGATGCACGCGAGATCTTGGAGGATGAACTAGCTCGACTCGAGGCGAAGTGGCCCACGTTGTTTGCGAGAGGCATTTTGAAGATCGATTGTGAGTGTAGCTCACATTCCCACACAACATGCCTCTGACACGCAATGCATTCAGGGTATGATAATAAACACAAGATCTAGCAACGGGGATGATCTCGTTCGATTGCGGGCTATATTGCAAGATAATTTGTCGGGACGCACGATTTGCAATATTATACGTATATAGCTATAGAGTTACCCAGATTTTGCGGATTCTTCTATTAATGTCACAGTTCATTTCTCGACCCGATGTTCTGACAGGAAACGTGGTTAAAGCGGCCTCAGCGTCCGACAGGCTGGTGATATAGATGCTGAGAGTAGTACATATAGTGTGACAGAGCAGTAAGAGTAGCAGTTCATTCACATCTAAATCGAAACAAATAGACACAAAGCTGTTGCTTGAGCATTCTGACAGTGGTTTCGGATACTTTATCACATCACCACGACTTAACGCTCCTCGCGATCTAACCTCCTAGTCCCTCTTTTCAGCGGCAAAAGAAATCAAAAACGTAAGGCTAAGATCAGAAGAAATCGATAGGTGCGTCCTCATCCGCTAGTCGTGCACGATAGCCAACATTATTCTGATTGGCGGAGGGAACGCGGACTCCGGTCGTCGAGCTTCTTCACATCCAGTACTGGTTCTGCACGATATTGAAGATAGCATGGATACGGCGAGCTCGAGATAGGGTGGAGAGGGAAGGCCGCAAAACGGCTTGGCCGCTGAAGAGCACCAGCGTACCTTCGAATTCGAGCAGCACGCAGGTGTCGAAGATGTAGCCGACAGGCGATTGAGGCAATAGCTTCTGTACACATTGGTGTTGTGCATCAGAACGAAAGGCGGCTTTGAGGACCACCGGGTAATCCAGGTATGCAATCATTCACTGCAGTGAACTTCCGCGCATAACTTTCCAAGCTCGTGGATCTCCGCCTCCGTCCATCCATTAGCGTCGATCAGCTCTACGGATTTGATGGGCGAAAGCGTCCGCGAACGAACGCGTAGGTAGCCTTGCAACGCCTTTCGCAGTGACTGTCGTTTCATATCCGAGGAGACAATTTCAAGATGCTGCATGGCAGGGAAGAGAAACTCCTCTTCAGCAGGACCTGCATCCGCGGACAACGATGAAGTCAGCAGAGAAAATATCGCCTGCAGGTCCTCAGCAGAAAGCTCGACAAGACGGAGCGTATGAAGCTGAGGCATCGAGTGCAGGAGGGAGAGATACGATCGCTTTTCTTCCGCGACGTGAGGACTGCCAAGAGTCAAGACCGAAACGTCAGAGAGGTCGAATAACAGCATCGCGTCTTCAAGAGCGGATCGCAGCTCCATGTCCGAGACACCGTAAGTGAAAGGCGGTTCGTTAATCGAGGCCGATGCAACATTGTTGGCATGTACGACGAGCCCCTTTTTTTCGTCGAAGTAAAGTTCGAACCTTCGGATGCTCGCAAGCATGGGGAAGAAGTCAAGGCTGCTATCGGTCCACAGTGGGTCAAAGCAGTCGGAAGTCCAATCTTCTTCGCCGATCATACGAACTGTGACGCGTGCGGTAGAGGGAATAGATATTCGTGCCAGGATGTTTCCGATCCAGTCAGGGGGCAAAAACATAATTTGCAGAACTTCCAAGTGCTCGAGGGAGATCCGCGAGAAGGGTTCAAACGATCCAACCGCGGGGGCTTCCAGCGACGCCGTTTCACATTCCACCTTCAACTCTTGAAGATCGGGACATGCCTGCAGGATGCGTAGGAACTGTCGAATAGAGGGTAATGAATGCGGGTGACCGATGGGGAGTTGACCGACGAGCGAGAGCTTCGTCAGGTTACTAAAAATACTTGATGTCCAGTTGAACGAATGTTGCGCAAGAGTTAAAGAGCGCAATTTCGGCGTGTGTCCATGGAATGGATTGGATCCCAAAAAGCAATGCTGCCCCCATTCCCAGCACAATGTTAGCTCTTCTAATTGAGGGACGTGCATCAAGAGTAGACTTTGCATTGGCATGATCGCCTCTGTCTTAAATGAATGCACGGTGAGACTTCGAATTCTGCAAGATTCTGTTTTGAGCATTGCGATGAAGTCGTACGTGTCGGAATCAGATGAGAAATTGTCAATGTAGACATCCACAAGCCGACGTTTTGAGCGACGCAGGAACTCGCATGCTTTAGAGTGACTCGGAATGTGTATAGTTGTCCACAATCTGGCGTCCGAAAGCGCCATCTCACGCCAAAGGCTACAGACGTGACTGATAGCAACGATATCGTCGCTGTGGGCTCCCGCACGAGCTGCAAGCCGGAAGATTATCGTGAGCAGCTCTTGAGGTAGACGATGAATCGGCGAGGCTGTATTCCTGCGTTTCCGCAGGTTATTGAGAGTGAGAGAAATGCGTCCAGCAACAGCGGTCAATTGTTGACCCTGCGTATCAATATCATGGAAGAACTTGGCGCGAGCTTTAGGAGACATTCGACGCGAAGCCGATGGCGGGGAAGCAGCCGGGTTTAGCGGAGATATGTCCTTTGGATTGTAGTACATTGTGCCCTGATTGTCTCGTTGACAGCACCTGCAGTCAAACGGCATGCAATCACGTAAGCGATAGAGATCCTAATGAGCCTTAACACGACGGGAAGCGCACCGTTTTATACAATTTGATGACGACTGAACTCCTGAGAACATCACACAGAATCGCAATTGGATCCTTAGAGTCGACAAGATTGTCCGCCGACGCTTTCGCTAAGAATCCGCTGGAACGACGCAAATCCGCCCGACTTAATTCCAAGGATACTCTGAAGCAGTCCGATCATTAACGACCTTGTGTCCATAGCAGTGACAGATGTCAGTCACATACTCTGTGGCCACGCGTATCCCGTACAGTTCGGACGGCAGGTTCACAAATCAACCTTTGCAGAAGAAGCGGTCGCAGGGAGTTGGCGAAGAGCTACGACGCCGCGATACAACCTTGTGGGCGCTAATTAGTGCCCAGGGTGTTTAGCGAGGTTTAGCGCCAACCACTGCTCGCTGAATCACCATTTGCCTACATACCTACAATACTCACTTGTAGCGTGCTTCTCAACCAGGCATCATAACGTCCGGCATGAAAGTCTCATTCTCTCTCGCCAAAAGCAAAGCCAAAGCGGCGAAACCTGTTGGTGACGCTCCATCCCTCAAGCGGTCCGCGGCCTTCGCCTCGTTAGATGACGACGAGCCAGTTGATGCCGCTCCCACTGCGTCGCAGAGCAGCAAGACAGAGTTGAACAAGAAACTGGTTGCTCAGAAAGTGGAGATATCTAAGACGACGAAGAAACGCATGGAGGAAGAGATGAAGATCGACGCCACTGTGTTTGAGTACGATGAGGTCTGGGACCGAATGCAGGAGGCGAAACAAAGACAAAAAGAGGCGAAGGAGACAGATGTTAAGCAGCGTAAGGTGTGTAAAATGCTATGTCGTGGTTCTTCTGCGCGAACACTGATTGACTGAAGGCTGCACTAGCCCAAATACATCAGTAACCTCCTCTCCTCTGCTGTTACGCGTAGGCTCGACCATCTACGGGCGGAACAGAAGATGATTCAGCGCGAACGTGAAATGGAAGGCGATGAGTTCACGGACAAGGAAGCGTTCGTGACGCAAGGTTACAAGGATCAGATTGCGGAGATGCGGAGAGCAGAAGAAGAGGAGAAATTACAGGAAGGTGAGTCCCCCGCCTGCATTTTACGCTATCGTTCTGTCCTCATCGTCTTTCATTATAGAGCTTGAGAAAAAGAAGAATAAAGGCCTCGGCACTGGGATGACGCACTTCTACCGCAAGCTACTAGAGGAGTCTGAGCAACAACACGAAGAGGCTGTTGCTGCCACAACATCCGTCCTGTCAAAACCAGTTGTTGGTCCACAAGGCCTGACACCCAACCTCACGATTACGAAGCCACCGGACTTCACACCGAAGTCTGACCTGGAACTGGCTCGAGTCGCGAAGGAGCAGGGTAAGGAGGTGGAGCTGAATGATGACAACCTGATTGTGGACAAACGAGAACTCTTATCCGCTGGCCTCAACTTGTCGGCTCCGAACACGCGGCGGTTGGGTCTGCAGCTTTCAGTGAAGGAGAGCTCCCAACAGGAAGTGTCAGTACACCGGGCTGTTGGGACTGCTGCAAGTAGGCGAGAGATCAACGAGCGGCGCGCCCGCGAGGTTGCCAGACAGATGGAGGAGGAACGAGATCGGCTACTGAAAGAGAAGGAGAGAGAGGAGCATGAAAGTGTGCAGCGCGTAGTGGCTAAGCGCAATACCGAAGAGTCGGTGAAGAGCGCGCGGGAGCGATACCTCGAGCGGAAGCGGCGGAAATTGGAGGAGGTCGCTGTAGTAGAAGGTGATCAAGAGGGCGCCGAACCAAGTTCGTTAGGGTCATGAGAATGTCTACCTCAAGGAGTTGAACATTTGGCTTCTATGTTGTTTGTATTAATATGGATTTCGGTATACTAATGTACTGCTCTTTACATTGTGCAGATGCCAACGAGGAGAGACAAATGCGGACACGTATGTAGTGATGATACTCATGACGGGGTGCAGCCATCCAGCTGACTGTCTTCTATCGTGCGCATCAAACCGTTGAAGGTAATCAGTGCCTCTGCTATGGTAGGCCGGGATTCAGGGTCTACCGCTAACATTGGCCTAAGTATGTGGGAAAGCTCCGGGATGTTATGACCTGTCAACTGCTGTCGATGTAAACATCGGTTGGAGCATTATGAGAGACGAATTGCTTACGTTTGCTGCTCGGAGCATGAGGATGCCAGAGGCATAAACATCGATCTTATACGGATCACACCAATCGCTCGTTTCGACCTCCGGAGGAGTCTCAGCAGCATGATGTCGAAAGACACGGGGACTGGACGCTTTATCGAAGCGGCGACTTGTCTCGAAATCAATGCAGGCGTAGCGTGTGTGGTTGTCGGTCAACATGTTTCGCAAAGATATGTCGAGGTGGGCAATATGGTGCGCGTGCATAAAGGTGATATGCTGAACGGAACAACAGATGAGTAGAATTCGCAAGATCTTACCAAACGAATGCACTTGCCTCTAAATGTTGACGCAGAGTACCCAAAAAACTTCTGAGAATGTAAGGCGGGTCTGTGACCAGATGTGGGGACCATTCCTCCATGACAATGAACGCAATCCGATCTTCCGGAACATCGATTATGTTCAAAACAGCTGCACAGTTGATCAGTACCATGTAGACATACAATATAATATAAACGCACGAATACAGTGATTCATGGGATGATCTCGCACAGGAGGGGTAGATAGATATCGCACAATATCGTACTCGCGACTATGCGTATGAACAGCCTTGATTACCACTTTGAGATCGTCAGAGCAGCGAGTTCCGCGAAATAGATTATCCGGCTATGAATCCCACATAAAGTTAACCTACCAAGAAGGACATGATACATGAATCACCTACTAGACCCACGTCTTTACATAGCTCGTCATCGCCTCCTCCGTTACATGCTCGAAGATATCCAGGCCAATCCCGAGGAACGTCGCAGCCTTGAGCGACCAGACCTTCCCAGTAACGCTGGTAAAATTGTTTCACATCGCTACACGTATCAAGTCGGAATCCTCGACGGCCTATGATGTGGCGATAATGACACCAGTTTGGGGCCAATCGAGTGTTCACATCCTCTTCATCAACTGAAGAGGTGGCGGATGCAATGGATTCTGAGTCAGATTCTCCAGAGGAAACTTTAGGCATTGTATCTAAAATCCAAGAACGCGCATAGAGAGCCTGAGACATAGGTCAAGAGATGGGCGGGATGAGCGTCCTAACCAAAGTACCGGTGAACTCGTTAGGATGCGAGGATTCGAGACAAATGAGTTGGCTTAACCGTATATGAAAGCTCCTGCGCCAGAAGAGATTGATTTATAGGGAAGCAGAACTTCCGACCACCGTCGAAGGAAGGCAATCAGTACATTGGGCTGACGGCGAAATCTCCTTCCGGATGTCCGTTCGCATACTTTTCAGAGCCAAGGAGGCAAGCGGCTTAGGCCGTTACAGCACAAGCGACAAGAATTTGTTGCCGGATCAGGATCCTAGCTCAACTTGAATAGCACAGAAAGGCAGCCGACTCCCATGCCACATACAGGAAAGGGCGCGATATGAACATGACGCAAGGGACGACATCGACATGAAAGGCCAGCTTGGAGACTAACGCAGGCAAGCTTGTCCACAAAGGGTGCATAGTCTCCCACCAGACGGTACGAGGGCGATAAAAATTTGGAGTAGAGAGCACCCACGGGGTGAGCGAGGGATGATCTTTCCCAAAAAGAGGTCATCTTATGGGAATTCGCACCCATGAAAGGCTTGTGCTGTCGACATCGACATGCATATGGGCGGCCGAAGGTGATGCAGCAGCATCTCGGTTACAATACAGTCAGGCGAGCAGCAAGTGCCAGCGCAATAATTTGGAGAGACGCTGATGTCGAGGACAAAGTTGAATAAACATCGATAATTCCGCCGTCCGAGTTAGTTCTGAGTTGAGATGATCTTACTAGATGATCTGAGATCAAGGTCAAGAGACCGTGTGGCGCACGTGGCTCCGTAATCGAACTTCGTGCTCGAACTCCCATGCTCATTGAGTGATGGAAGAAGGGACTAGGACGAAGAAGACAATCTTCGTAGGCGGCATCGGAGACGATGTAGACGAGAGGATCCTGCTGGAGTCCTTTTCGACATTTGGTGCGTTGTTTGTGTTTTTACAAAAAGAGTAGCGTCGACTGAACACGCTCTACCAGGCGACATCATAGATGTGCAACTCCCTCCGGCGGCCACCAATCCTTCTCAGCAAACTGGTGGGACACACAGTTAAATTCATTCGGTGCCAGTTCGTTTTAACAACGTTGCATACCAGAGGCGAAACATAGGGGATTCGGCTTTGTGACATTCTCGTCGCCTGCAGACGCGCAGGATGCCATCGACAACATGGACCTTAACGAGCTAAACGGGCGCGTGCTGAAGGTTAACCTCGCACGCCAGTTCAAGGGTCCCACACAGGGTCTCGGAAACCGAGCCAGTAAGCCGCTTCATACATCGTTGTTCCCATGCGTATCTCATATCTGTCCCCCAATCAGTCTGGGAATCGGAAGATTGGCTCCAGCAATACGCTAAACCGCTCAATCAGAGTGGAGGTACGTGGATCAGTACGAGCTGTCGGCGTCCGTGCTTCACAACTGCTCTCACCAGGTGCCGCACTGCGTGCGAAGGGTAGGGAAGGTTCGAAGGGTGCTGAGGATGTAGAGGACGCGGAAAAGGATGAGGACGAAGACGCCATGAAAGTGTGACCCTCTATCGTAGTGTATGTATGTATTCTGTTACATGAGATGTTGAACTCATTGTACCTTCAGCTACTCGGCACCATAACCAAGGTGATAGTTTCGCCCGCCATATATGAATGGAACATGACAGAATCGCACGACGAAACGGAACAAATCACCAAATATGTCAGGCACCTTTACCTTTTTCGGACCCCACCGCACTCCTACTGTCATCTGCAAAGCTCGGCCTGAGGGTAGTAGCTTCAGAAGCATTGTCGGATGTTTGTATGCCAGACCCAGGAACCGTGAGCAGTACGTCCGCCTTGAGTTCCTCTTCTGCGCCGCCCTTATCTCCAAAGACTTCTCCAAGCTCTTCCAAGGTGCGATGTGCCGTCTCAGGGTAGACAAAGTACACGAAGATGCCGGAGATGACACACAGGCCTAGCAAGATGAAGTAAAATCCGCCGTGGATAGCCGCGAAGAGCGGAGGCGTGACAAACGCGATGATGAAGTTGCAGAGCCAATTGGACGTTGTGGAGAGTGCCACTCCCTTCGCTCTGGCACGCATGGGGAAAATTTCCGCTCCCAGGAGATAGGGCGCTGGGCCCCAGCTTACGTTCGATGTCAGCGAAGTCATCATCAGGAGCTATAACGGGACGACTTACGTTGCACCGAAGAAGAAGAGATAGACGCAGATCGCTGTATTGACGGTGAGACAATGGTACGAGACAACAGACGCTTAGGGTGCATACCTGCAAAAATGCCGTCGGCGTACGGTATCCGTGCGTTCCCTACAGGCAGACTGCGACTCTTGAACTGCAGGCCGCCGACGACCCCAAGACACGCCGCCAGTCCGAAGCTTCCAACGATAAAGAACGGCCGCCTGCCCCACCTGTCGATGAGAAACATCGTCGGAATCGTGCCCAGGCAATACACGATCGCAGATACGCCGGAGTACAGGAGAGCCTTTGAGATAGAGAATCCAGCCCTCGTGAGGTTTGAAGGAAGGAAATACAGAATTGCGTTGATCCCGTTGAACTGCGCGAACATCTGGCATGTGATGCCCATGATCGTGCGCCGGGTGTAGTCCGTAAAGAGTTCGCGCCAGCTGGCTTGTTGCAGGTGTCTGTCGCGCTCTACGGCGGCACGGATCTCCTTGAAGGATATCTGGACCTTCTCATCCTGCTCGTTACCAGCCGCGTGGAGGTCGGCCAGAACACGGAGCCCTTCTTCCTCGAAGCCGTTGCTGATCAAGAAGCGCGGTGTCTCCGGAAGCACAAAGGACCATGCGATGAGAATTACGGCTAGGGCGGCCTGGATGATGTATGGCCCTCTCCACGATATCTCCGAGGGTAATGCGAAGAAAAAGCCGTACCCAACCCATGAAGAGAGGAGATATCCAAAATTGAGGCAGAGATACTCGATGGAGATGAAGAGCCCGCGGGAATGACCCGGTGCGATCTCACATTGGAGGATGGGGACTGTCATTGAGAGCATACCTACGGCGACGCCCTGAATCAAGCGACCGACGATGAAGACGGCCAGGTTGGACGCGAAGATCTGGAAGAAGGAAGCAATGAGGTAGATGATGCCGCCGATCCGGACGGACATGCGTCTGCCCAGCACGTCGCAGACATACGCCGCGCCGAGCGCCGCCACGAGGGCGCTGAGATTCAGGCAAGACACTGTAATAGCTATTGGCAATGTTGCTCAGCCTTTTCATTTAGAGACAGATAGGCGCATCGAGAGCCCTCACCTTGAAGTTCTGGGTTGACGCCAGTATCGCCAATTCTGATTTGCTCCATCGTCACGTCCCTCCCAAAGAATCGCTTGATGAAGGGAGGCTGAACTTGCACGGCGGCGATGGCACCTTGGCTATAGCCGAACATGGCATCCCCCAAAGACGCAAGAGCGGAGGACATGATCAACAGCGGCTTGCCTACCAACCATCTTGGATAGGAGGGCTTGAAGGATTTGGGGCGTAGTCGATCCATGTCCATGTATGCTTCCGCAGGTGTGGGATGCAGAAGGATGAAGCGATTCGTCAGCCGCGGATGTCAGTCTACAGCTGGAGGAGGCTGACAGTTTGCCACGTCGATGCCCTTTGTTCTACGTATACATTGTGATCGTGGCCGTTAAGCAAGTGAAGTGAAGCGCGAGTAAATCCTGGGACATTGACGGCCAAACACGTCGGCGGAATGGCTGAAAAAGCGTTCCGGATCAGGATGATTGGCACTGTCCGAGCGGCTCACTACCGGGCAACTCTCATGTTTGAGGATTACAGAAGCGAAGCGTACGCCATTCGCTGGCAGAACATGTCAGAGTGATTGTTACAACTCGGAATGAATTCATACCGTAGAACCTTGTCAACCTTTGTCAATATAGAGCAAACGCTGTTCATGTTGTCGCATAGGTTCACGAAAACATATGGCGACCGTGTATGAGGTCGACCAGAGTAAGCACGTATCGAACTGCAGAGAACTGAAGTACACCATCTTATTGTCGTCATACCAATACATTATACAGATGCGAGGTCGTTATCGGTCATGTCTGGAAGGAGCCACCTTGTGGCACCTCTGATTCGTCGAACTCTGCACGAGCGCGTTTGATATCTTCTTGCATGAAGAGAAGCTCTTCCATCCTAGCAAGCTTCTTTGCGTCAGCAGGCCGTGATAATGCCCGCCGTAGCTCTTCAATCGACAATCGTGTCTTGCCCTTTCCCGAAGCAGATGCGGTTTGACACTTCAGTTCGGAAACATTTAGCAGCAGTCCGGTTTTCATTCTTAGTTGCAATACGCACCACATCTACTATGTATTCCACCAAGATCTCCTCCATGACATTGACCGTATCGTTTGCGGGGTTGCGGTCATCTCCGAATCCGTACATGAGGTTGCGAACTTTGAATGATCTAATTGAGCCCAACTTCGGTGACCAGTGAAAGCATGATACGTACGCTCTTTCGAGAAGAGACCTTTGAACGTCGGTTGCTTTCTTCCAGACCTGCCCGATGTTCCTGCAGCGGCTGAAATAGGAGTGTAGGACGGCGTGAAAGTGTATGTTGTCGGAGCGGGTCTTTGCCGTTGGGTTGCAGCAACGTTCGTCAGCGCTGGTGCAGCGGCCGTTGAAGTAGAGGGGACTGCAGGCTTAGGAGCAGTTGAAGCACCAGGTTGTTGGGCCTGTTGATGTTGAGGATAGTAGCTGTATGGATAGGGCCATGTTGCGCCGTAACCCGCGACTGCGGTTGGAGGGTATGCAGTCTGGTATGGGTATGCGCCAGCTGTCTGCGGATAATTTCCGTACGAGCTGTAGGGATATGTGGTACCAGATTGCGATGGGTAGTAAGACATAATTTTGGACCAGCGGTGTAATCAACGTGTTGGTTGAGGTCGACGTTGTGGCCGACAGCGACGCGGAGATCTCGAGAGTCGAGATGATTTCTGCACGTGGATCGGGCGCCTATTGTGTGCCTCGACGCGGGGAGCGGCTCCCTCCTCCGCACTGAGCGTGGCAATCGTCAACAGGCTCGCTTTGTCTCGACGTCCTCTCGATTCTACAAGAGTACTCTGCGGAGCTTCGTACCAATACTATCTCATACACCGTGTCATAACCGCCTCATAGACTGGCTGCGCATGCGCTAGAGTGACCGGGATGAGACACGGAAGATTTAATTGGATGTGGACGGCGATTTCGTGGAGGACGCCAGTATCAGCCGTGCGTCACCGTTGGTCCAGATGAATTACCCGCACGAGTGCTCGCCAAGAACCCAGAACGCTGTGCTCACATTCATTGCCGAACGGCAGATCCAGTCTCGGTGTCGCGTAGGCGCGGTATCACCCACGGCGCACTGTGAGTGCGCACGACGATATAACGTCGCATTTGATAAATGTCCGAGCACAATCTTGCAGTTCGACTGCAAACTTATCGTTTCCGGTTACAATGTTCCGCTGCTCTACATCTCGCTCTGCGTTACACCGGATAGCCGCTGCGCTACACCCAACTACTCGTGATGAACCAACCCTCCACGAAAAGAAAAGTCCTTATCATGAGGAGAGTTCGCCCTGCACAGGGGACGACAACCACCAACCTGCGCCGTTCCGTTGCGCACAGGAGCAATTTGACTCTGGCGCGAGCACTCCTACAGTCACAGATCATGGCACGCCGAAACTCGACACCGCCAGCATTGATATCCCAGACGGAGGCTTGGACGCGTGGTTGACAGTCGTTGGAGGGTAAGTCGTTGTACGCGATCACTCTCTGTTTACCAAGCAATAAATTGTCATCAGATGGCTCTTTACCTTTTGTACCTTCGGTTATGCCAGTTCCTTCGGTGTCTATCAAGACTACTATAAGGCGACGGGTAAGAACTCCTCGTCTGACATCAGCTGGATAGGCTCTTTGCAGGTGCATACTGTACTGTCGTGGAGTGCTGAAATTGGGCTGATAATTTGTCCGTCAGCTTGCGTTCATGTTCTTTACCGGCCTGCCTGCTGGCCAGCTGTTCGATATGGGATATTTTCGCTATACATCAATCATCGGCACTCTTTTGTATTCATTCTGGTGGGTTGCATTATTTTAGGCACATTAAATGTCACCCACTATCTCTTCAACCATGGCCTGACGAACCGTAAATTAGCATTTTCATGCTGTCCCTCGCTGATACGAACCGTTATTATGAACTTGTGCTGTCTCAAGGGATCGGCATGGGATTGGGCGGCGGGCTTCTCCTCGTGCCTGCCCTTTCTGTACAAGCGCATCACTGGCGAAAACGACGAGCGTTTGCGATGGGAATTGCACTGACTGGTGAGTGTTCTATGTCGACTCCTTCGCGTCTTTTCCTGACGACTATGCAGGTACCTCAGTGGGGGGTATCATATATCCCATCATGCTCAACAAGTTGTTTTACAGTTCAGTGGGCTATGCTTGGGGCGTCCGGGCTTCCGCGTTCCTGACGCTCGGCTTGCTCACCATTGCAAATTTTATCACCAAGACGCGATTACCCAGTGCAAAGGACCGTCCCAAGCAGCATGTCAGTTTTAAGTTGTTGAAGGAGCTTGGCGGAGACGTGCCGTACATGTTGGCAGTGGGAGGGTGAGCTTACTTTGTCTCGCTGGGATCTCATGATCACTCACAACGGGCGTAGGGCATTTCTAGTGCTGTGGGGACTCTTCTTTCCATGTGAGCATCTCATCTCTAGCTCACAGAGCCGTGCATATTATTCATACTCTCATCGCTAGATTTCTACTTGCAAGTATGGGGAAATAGTCACGGCCTTTCAAAGACGCTCGATTTCTACACCGTACGTCGACATCCATGATCTCACGGTGCCGACATTAAACAATGGCTTCAATAGCTTGCGATTCTGAATGCAGCGTCTATCTTTGGGCGAACGATCCCGAATCTGCTTGCTGATATCTTTGGTATCTTCAATCTGGGGGTTCCCTTTGCGTTTATCAGCAGCGCGCTCATCTTTGCAATGTTTGGAATGAAGAGCAATGGCGCTGAAATTGCGTTCTCTATCTTGTACGGTTTTTGGTCAGGAGGATGTAAGCCTATTTTATCTTTGTTCCAATAAGACCGATGATTTATCCGCCGCCAACTTGTAGACATCGCACTGTTTCCACCGATGATGGCCGGCTTCTCGAGAAATATGGAGGAAGTAGGGTGCGTGTTCCAGGCTCGTTCGTTGAAATACAAATTAATCATAATTAAATGCTTTAGCATAAGAATAGGCGTTGCTTACTTTCTGTGTGCCTTCGCGTTGTTGACAGGAACACCTATCACCGGTGCATTGTTAGGCCCTAGCGACCATTGGGCTAAACCCATTGTCTTCAGCGGAGTACGCGCATCGTGTATGTTGCACAAAGTTATGTACTTATCTTTATGTTGTAGGTTGTATGCCTCGCAGGCTCATGCGTACTGCTCTTCTCTCGACATCTGCTGGCAATCCGCAAGGATACCTGGCGTTTATGAGTCCCTGGTCCGGTGAACCTCGTACACCAGGCCGCTCTCCATTCTCCTCTTCGAACTTCGATGACAACTTGTGATGCACACAAGTGACGTGCTTCGTTTCTGGCAAGTCATTGTTCGGACGTAGAGGTTTGCCGTCGGGGCAGACCACATTGACGATTTTGGGTTTCGGTCTTGCTACTGTAACCACGGATATAGTTTATTTCTGGCTATCGCACATTGTCTGCATCATAATTGTCTCGACTCCGTTGCTATCCCGTAGTGTAGATGCATACCGAGATCGTGTAGATCCCTCGTTTAGATACCGTAGATTCTCCCTCTCTGTAAAGCTGTACTTACTCATGATCTGGAAATGGAACTTCCTCGTCCAAGCTCAATCGGTTTGAGATTGGATGGAGCGATCATACTAGTGTACACGGGCAGAGCTCAAGCGAAGGAAATTGCGATGCTAGGACGTACAAGTTCACCTCAAGCTATATGTATCATTCGTCTGCGTCAGTCGATGTCATCGTCGCCTTTTCTGGCTTTCATCTCAAGGTTTCTGGCCTCCTCCATCATATCATTGACTCTTTTCCACTCAATGTTGATTATTTCCCGTTCATCGAGCCAGTCCATGATAGCGTCTGCATCGGACAGGTCGTCAGGAGGCTTCCTGCCTCCCGCAAATGCGACCCGGACGAACCCATGGGAGTCATCGTTTCGAAGCAAATCCACCTCTTCCAACAGGCTCGTGAACAGCGCGTACTACGAAGCAGGTCAGACGTATAAGCCAGAGCGTACTTTAGCAGCGCACCGCTGCTCACCTCCCAGTGTGTGAACTTGTGAAAAACACGAGTCCTGGCAGCGCAAAACCTACCGAGGTGGAACTCTTTCTTCAGCGGTTCTGGATGCTCGTCATCGCTGCTGTCAGAGTCATCGTGTTCTGACAATGGCTGTGGAAGCAGGATCATCGTTAACGCAGGTCTCAGAGATTTGAAACGCGGGACATGTACCTCGAAGGAGACTTTGTCGTATGGCTTTCCGCTCAGCCTACCGAGAATGGTGGACATACGACCACCAAGATGACAAGCATCGCACATAGGTACAGCGAATTCCATCCGTACCGTCTCAAGGATTGGATATGTCTCAAGAGAGTTCTTGAGTTCCGGCCGCCACACTGAAGATGTAACGAGCGAATCCCTCATGCCCATGATTTTTCGGCGAGTGATTTGAAGAGGGACAGAGAAGTACGTGTCTGTGAAGTTGTCTATGAACTGTCAGGGACCAAATCATCGGTAGACTTACTGCGCAGCAACTGCTCCATGGCAGGCCGTCGGTTTGATGCCTCCTGAACCGCGAGATGAACTAAGAGCTGGCATATGATCTTGAAGTGGTGGTTCAGGTCCTGGTACGTATTCATGCTGAACTCTGGAGGAAGCTCTGGGGCCACGTTATCGTCGTCCTCAACAATAAAGGCGTCCAAATCTTGCTCTGCATCGTCGGTCTCACCATCGAATGACTGTGATACATTCGAGCTGCGGTCCGGTTTGGCATGGTCAAAAGGCATGAAATCTGGCTCAAGCTCCTCTTCTTCGCTAGAAGGACTCAACTGACGTCGGCCTTGCTTCCGCCCTTATGAGACGCAAAATATGAACATACGTTCAACGGAGCGGTATAAAACAAGCCGACTTTTGAGCTTCTCAAGGCTCTTTTGATATTCGGATCTCTTGCCTCGCGTTCGGAGGCGAGACTCGACGATTTCTGAACAATCATAATATTGTTGTAGTAGTAAGATGAGAACTGAACTACGCTGCTTACTATCCTCATCAACTTCGTCCAAGAGATCGACTTCATTCTCCTCTGGTGAAGCTGGTCTTACTCCTTTGACGAGCTTTCGTTTCCGGAGAGGCTGCTCTTCTTCATCAGAATCTCCCAGAATCAGTGTCTGCTTCCTCTTGCCCTTTCTAACATTGCCTCTCCAAGTCACCGGCGATTCCGCCTCATCTTCACTCGTGGCCTGGCTCGCAACATTGTTTTCATCATCGCTGGTCACGCTTCTCATACGTCTCCTAAGCCTCTGTGTCTTGGGTCGGCGAGGTGATTCATCCTCGTTATCCCCAGCGACGTCGGGCGCTTGAGGTTCGAAATGAATATCGCCAACGTCGCTGCTTTGGCTTCCCTCTTCGTCTGTGAGCCTCTCATGAGATTGTTCAGCCTGAATGGGTTTTGAACGTCTGACTCGACTCTTTTTCTTGCCGTGAAAGCGAGAGCTCGGTTCGATCTGAAGCGATTCGCTAGGACGAGGTGGAGAACTGGATCCGATGAAGGCGTCCAGAGTACGTTGATTCATGCGTGTCGAGGACCCAGACTTGACACTTTTTCGCGGCATTCCGGATCAAACAACTTCGAAGAGAAAGACAGAGTGACTGAGCGCAGATCAAACCAGAATTGAGCACCGAGCGAAGGAGGAAGAATGGTCAGCGCGTGTGGCCAGGTGTGGCCTGAACGCCTACGACCGGCCCAGGTAAGCGCCCGTAAGTACTACTTGTCTCTGTTTCTCCAGCTGTTTGTAAAGAATTTTCCATTATATAAGGTCATGGCCAACCCAACTCTGCGCATTGATACCAGCTATCTAGAAGTATCCGTCGATGCTCCAACAAGTCCGATCTCACCTAGGAACCGCAACCGCGCAAGGAGTCTCTCGCAATCTGTGTTCCCCACCTTCCTCCTACCCACTTCTCCGACATCAGAAAAGTCGCCAAGTGAGTTAACTAGCCTCATCGCGTCCCATGGAAGTGTGAAAGCGCGTGACGAGTCGCGTAAGCTTCTCGCGCATCTGCTTTCGCAATTGCAGCACAGGCCTCTACCTCCTGCAAGCTTTGACCAATCAACAGCCAATACCTACCAGGCGGACAAGGGTTTCAACGCAGTAATACAGTCAGTAAAAGGGGCAGCGAAACATAGACGCGGAAGATCGGACCACGTACCTAGCACCGCAGAAGACAACAGCAGCGACGACGACGATGGTCCACAGTTCAGCACGGATGTCACTTTAGACCTCATGATACAGCTGAGGGACGTTTTGAAGATATCTACGGATCAGAAATGGAATATCCTTGACGACAGGTCAGCAGCTTGCAAATGAGATGGTTCTCTCTGAAACATCACCTTTGCAGTTATTCCCCAGCCGAGATGCATAAGAAAGGCGAGAAGACGTCCGAGTCGTCAAAGTCCAAGTGGTCTGCCCAGTCCAAAGGGAAGCGATCTCGTTTGCATGGCCGTTCCCCATCCGTCAACTCTGGGCAAGATGGCGTGCAAGCAACTCCTCTTATATCACAATGTATATCCGTGCTATCTTCAGTCATCGTCGACGATTGTCGGTTCAGAACCTCGTCAGCTCGCCTATATCGGCCCCCATACGCGTTGCAGGCTGTCACTCTAGATGTAGCACGGTCATTGGTTTTCGCGCACCGTCACAATGCTAATATCCTCTGTCAAATCGGCTTCGCGGTCATTCCGGCATTCTATGCTTTTCCACCTGTACTACACACGCGCCTTCTCACATTCTTCGACGAAGGAATTTTTGGCGTCATTCTGGACGCGATTGCGGGTATGCAGAGGTTCAGCGGAAATCCGACATCAGCAAGTATCTCAGGGAGTATGATACCACCATCAAATTTCATACGACTCATCACTGATGCTCCTAACAGATGAGCCCTCTGCTTTAATGCAAAAAGAGGAGCCTTCTGGAGTGTCGATAACGGTTGAAGCAGCGGAAGAGACGAACTCGTCCTTTAGCTCCGAATCGATTTGGCGCAAATGGTCGAAATCAAACACACCTAACGGTGTCAAGCTGCATTCTACTCATGCACCTGGTCGAGAGATAGCTATATATCAACTCTCGTCTTTGGTTTCTCCACTATTGGCCGTGATTTTTGAAAACATCAACGTTTCCTCCGATCAGCTCCCACTGTTGCATCGCTTCCATCAGTTGATGATCAGAATCATCGATACTAAGCCGGATGCATACTTGGACGTTCTGGCTGTCATTGCTTACCATCCTCCTGCGGGGCGTTCTCCCGCACTCGCACTCTTGATGTCCTACTGGCCGAGAGGTATCGGGCATCTGATCGTCAACAAAGCATTTCCGGTCGTATCCTACTCCACATCTCTCATCCATGCGTCTCAAGGTCCGAACGTTACTCGGCGGCTGCACGATAATCCTCATGTCCATCAATTTGTTCCATGGCGATTCACAGCCAGCTCGGCCCCAGTACTATTGCGAGAAACGTCACCGGACCAATGTTGCGTATGCGACAACGGCATAGACGGATTCGGCCTTTTCTGCCCTTTCTGTATGTGTGCTGTGCATTTCGACTGTTACGATTATCCTGAAGGGTGCTTCTTTACGGAGTACAATTTGGCATCTGAAGCAGACAAGCAGAAGATTGTCCTCTATCGCTTTTGTCATGTGCTGCCCCCCAGGCGGGGACCTCTGCCGACAACTATCATCCAAGACCAGCACACCTTCCGTTTGGTAAACCTCTTCAGCCTCACCCTCTGTCTCATCTGTCGACGTCCGCTATGGGGCCCGGTCATGCAGGGATTGAGGTGTATTTCGTGCAAGCAATTCGCCCATCATTCTTGTCTGACACAATCCGGAGTCTTGCATGAAGCCCCTCGATGCCGCTCGATTTCAGTTGATGAAACCTATCTGACCATCGAGTGGCCTGTAATGCGAGCATCCTTCGTGGAACATTTTCGGGATATTCTTCTTCCAGAAGTCGAATTGTACCAGAAGACGTTTGAAGAAATCTCAACATTCTTCGCTGTTCTGTGGACACAGTTACAACTCTTCCAACACGGGGTCGCTCTAGGGTCCATCATTGTGTCCCAAGCTGAAGCGCCGTCTAATTCAGGACAGTCCTTCGAATTCGAGCTGCACCATTCCGTCAAACTGTACGAGAGCATCTTGCTATCCAGCAAGCTCTTGGTGTCGGACGAACTGAACGAACATCTTCTGGATAACAATATTCGACCTTCAGATTTGCTGTTTCCTTTCAACTGGAGAGTTCTGACACTCGTGGCTAGCAGTATGAAAATGTCTGTGGCTTCCTCTGGCATGACTCCGTCCGACTCCGCTGCTTTACTCGGCGTCAGTCAACCATATCTAGCAGAAGAGTCCCTCGGCGATGAATCATCGCTCGCTCATGAAGTTCTGCCACTTGCTCATCTCCGAGACCAGTTGGGCTATCGGTTTGGTATTCATACCGATTCGGCTGCCCGATATCTGCTTGTGCATCTGTCACATCTCGGATTCTTCCAAAGGCTTGATGGCGAAGAGGTTAATTTCGACTTTATTGCAGACCCAGAGGAGGTGCTGTGCTCATTCCCTCTCCCTACTGGTTTGGAAGGCTCGAACGCTGTAGAAATTTTGATATGCGCGGTTGAGTCCTGCTTGTCGGACCTGGATGTATCGGTGAACGAAGCTGGTCTTCTCCTGCTCGTGAGGAAACTTTGGCCAGATGGTATGCTTACGGATTATGCAGAACGCAGATTGTGTGCAGCAGTTCTAGGTTGGATTCTAGCGGAAGTATGAATGTCTCTTCACTGAATTTCTCTGAACTGACGAGAATGCTGTCCAGGATCAGCATCTAGCAATCATCTTACGCGATTATGTTGCCAAGGGAAGAAGCCTCCCTGGTGTGCGTTCTGGCACCGATGTTCAGTCCTGGCCGTCGCATATGCAGCCAAGAGCGAAGGCAGCAAATGCGGCCAATAATGGCGGGGATTACATTGCCAGTAGACGAGCCCTTCTTACCTTATATGCGTCACGGTGGATGTATGCGCTACACAGCCTCAACGTTGATGACTATGCGAGAATTGTTTTCGATCTGCTTCTGGCGTTCGCCGAGGAAGATGTCGTGAAGGATGACTTTTTCTTAGGCAAGGAAACAGAAGAGCTGCAGATGGTAGGGAAAATGCTGGCCCATTTAAACAACGTTGCTTATCGCCGTGCAGAAAGGACGATTCCACGTCGTTGACAAGATGCTGAAGTCCATCACCAAACTAGTACAAGCAGAACTTGCATTTACAGCCTTCGATGACCTATTCAAGAACTGGCTACAGCTAGCTCTGAGTGCCCCCCTGGGCCATCAGGTGAGTTGCGAGATGACGCTTTGTTTTGCAAGTCTGACCTATTCACCAGCCATTATCCTCCCTCTCACGCTTGTTTACACGCGAGGTGGAAACAAGCCATCGTTTTACTGCGGCGCTAAGCCCGAGGTCATCAACGACGGATTCATCTCAGCTAGATGCTGACAATGCTTTGCGTGTGCTGATCAACGTCGCTGCCGGATCGCGGGAGGGGTTCCAACATACCGCACATTGGTTATGCCTGTTCGTGCGATCCGGTGTTGACATCTCTCCAGCAACCTATACGCATCTCGCATCTTTGGCACGCCGCTTTAACGCCACACTTGACGACTGTGCTCTCCTGGTGAAGTCGGCCTTATGGAGCGCTTGGCTAAGATCCGTCGGGCGTCAAGAACTGCAAGCAACAGTGTCTTCTATGCACATCCTTCTATCGTCCACGATTGTTGACCTACTCCGATCACGTAAGGAGGTTCAGAAGATGTAAGCCCACGTCTCCTCAAGAGCAAAATACTCATAAATGCGCACTCACAGATCTGCCTTTATCCGAGAGTCTCTGGCATTGTGTCTCCTCCTGTATGGCTGCGAAAGAAAGCTCATCACAGATCTCGGGCTGGTGCAGCAGGACGACATTTCCGGATTGCCTTCCAGGTGCGCTGATAAGTGACAGAGGCTTCAACTGTCTCATGGCGGAATACAGGCGCATATTACACGTCAGATCTTCGACCATGGACGACCCTATAATTGTCGACGTAGCCTTGATGCAACAATTGAAATGTTATGTTGATGCCGAGGTCGAAGAAGTGTCGTGTATTATCACTAAATTCCTCAATGCTGTCGTCCACGATGCGTCCTTAATTGAATCATACGAGGTGGACAATTTCATACTCCGTAACAGTTCGGTGCTGTGTGGCTGGTACGCTCTGCCGATTTAACTCTACAACATGTAACTTACGCCTCACGTTTTGCCTCAGTATCTGGCAGTTCTATGGGATCCAGAACTCCGAGGTCACAACGATTCGGCCTGCACTTCTACTGCGGATTCTTGTAGTCGATAACCATCCCTTTCAAGCCCTACTTGATGATCTCCTCAGTCCATCCCGTCCCTGGGAGATGCGGTACGTACACCCATGAAAGTCATACCCACGACGTACTGAGCCAGATCAGCATGGAGACAGTCCTGCGTCTCTTCCATATTGTACTGGATATCACAAATCCTTCGTTCAACGTTGGAGGACGACAATGGAGACCAAGAGTAACTCCCATCTTCAACCGGTTTTTCTCTATGATGTGGATGGATGACAAGGTAGTATTTTCGGTCGATGTTACGCGTTCATTAATAATATCATCCTCTCTAGGAAGAAGTCAGGCTCGCTGTTGATACATGGTCAAAGACTCTACTCGATGTCCATTTTGACGCAATAGCTCTTTGCTACAACGAGTCATTAGCCAATTCTCCTATATCTGACAAAATCAAATTGACAACCTTCTTAAATCAACTACACCCTCATTTTCCTAAGTGGCAGGGTAAGGCTTGCCATTCTCACAGCCGTGCTTCAAGATTGCTGACCATTAAACCGTAGTCTTGTCATGGAGGTCCATAACGGACAGTCTACTCGCAAATGGAATTGGACGCGAAGGAGCTGATCCCCTCGCAGATCACTTTGTTAGACAGACAATCCACCGTATCAAGTTCTTCTGTACTAATTTCTGGCTCTACAGGAATTGTACGGGATTGAGTCAACAAAGTCTTTGAAGGAAATGGACGATGCGGATCCCGAAGTGACTCGGTCGAAAGTATGTAAATATCCATTATCAATGACAGTAAGCTATGCTCAACGTCAGCATTGAAGGCTTCTCTCATTTCGCTTGCCTTGCATATGATTGTAGATGGCGTGCCGATTGATCCAATCTATCTGGTCAAACTCAAAGGCGACGTGGTGCGTCTTCTCGGCTTCGAGGAGGTGTCGATGATTCCTACCGCTACTGGCCGAAGCTTTCACGTTCGTTTCGGTGGTTTGGATGACATTCCCGATCATGCAGAATCATGCATCAGTGACCTGATGTTAATCGTCGACTCGCCGCAGACCTATGATGTCTCGCCCTCAATGATTGGCGGACCACTCGCCGAAGATGAGATCTCTTGTCCATTGTTAATCGGCGCCGTCTTCGTAGACACCATATTGGACCTCATTGTTGAAGCAGACGAGATCAGCGCAATATCGTTCATCACTTTGAAGAATCTGCTGAAGTCGTTGCTGATCATACTTTACAAGCATGATTTTGACAGCAAACCATTGAAACATCTACACAACAAATTGCGCCGAGCTGTCCGCCGCGTACTCGAGCTCCTTCTCACAGACCGAAGCCATGAGTTGCGACAACTAGCTTTAACCTCATGCCAGGCCTTCGTGCAAAGGTGGTCCGCTCTTGTACCTGGCAACTTCGTAATGCGAGTATTCCGTTCTCTGAGACAGCCTCAATCTCTCATTTTGACCACACCTTTAGCGAATGTATTGATATCTGTGTCCGAGCGATGGTCGCGCTGAGATATGACCGTAATGGAGATGATCCTCTACTTGACCAGATCAAGGCATTTCTGGCCATGATGCTTTCAAGGTGAGCTTGTTCTCTTCAATGTTCGGCTGTCAAATCTTGTCCCTCACGCTGTGCAAGTTTCGCGACAGCAGCCATTCTAAATACTTTATGCAAGGTAGTGTCAGGAAGCTATACGTTGACCTTCTATGTAGCCACTGATTCACTGTCCAGCGGCCGTTGACGTCGGACTTCTTCGCGGTCATACAACTCGTTACCGTACCGGACCCCAAAATTTCTCGCAGCCCAACAATGCAGGAGCCTCTGCGGGATAACCTATTGCGCCATGCGCTAATCAAATCCCTGGAGAATGAACCCGATGTGTTCCAATCAGTTATTGAGAACATAGCTACATATGTGGAAGTGGTACATCATGCGGGTTATACCACAGAGATGTTACAAGGTACTTCCACATTCGAAATCTCAATGACATATATCTCAAGATCTGCACAGCGGTTGGGCTGTGGATGACCGCCATTATGCGGCGCACAGCTGAATGGGCACCAGGCGCCTTTGACCCCAGCTCCCTATTGATGCTTGCCTGTATGCTGATTGAACAGAACAGGGCACAAAGTCGGGTACGTAGAGTTGAGATGATTGCGTTAATGATGGTTTTGACGCGCCGTGGTCAGGATATACTTGGGTATATGGAGACCTTGCTTCGTGCAGGATTGATACGCTGCAATGTCTCCGCCGAGAGCCTGGGACGAGTAATTCAAGTCACTGCGTCAATCTATCGGAAGGGCAATGTCATAACGAGTGTCGACAGCTCAGTGACCAATCCCATGGTGCTCGCGATGTTGGAAATTCTGACGGACTGCGCGCGGGGAAGAGCACGCATCCCGCCGGCGACGATCACTGCGCTGTTCAAGGTCTATCAGCTTTGTTCTCGCACTCGCATAGGGCTGACGCAGAGCAGGCTATTACAGCGACGATAATAGCAAAGACTGGCAGCGACAGAGATGCAATCCTTCCGTCAGATTATCTCCTCACAATCGCAGACGATGCGCTATTGTTCCTCTATGGCGAGAGCCTTCCAGAGAATTTCTCGCAGGCGAATCTCGATGCATCACAAGCTGCGGCTGTGCTTGTACTCGACGTCGCCCGACAACATCCCAGGATCCTCGAGAGACTATCGGTGAGCCAACAACATATATGTTCAGTGTCACTCTGCTCACACTTCACACTGTTTGATAGAGGATCCCGGCATCTCTGCGCGTGTGGAACATCCTAGTGCTAGCTGCGTTGCAAACGCCGATCGGGGCTCATACCTTCGCGTTTTGGGGTTACTTTCCGGACTTCTCGCTCGCATTTTGCCAGTCTCTCGGTGCCTATCAGCAACCACAGCACACCACAGGATTCGATCCGCACGCTCCGGCACATGGTGAAGTCAGCAGTGCCTATGCCGCCATAAAGCTGTGGCTGCTCTTAGCTCGGAAGATAGCTCAGCAGAACTCACATGATGGCATCTCTGGAGGTCTCAAACGTGTCAGCAAAGATGGAGAGCTGCAGAGCATCAAGATGGTCTGGAATGATCTATGGCCTCCTTTTGAGCGCATGATGGGTGTGTTTGAAGTCGATGCCCACGCAGGAGACACCTCGGTATGCCGTCAATTCCCGCATAGGTCGTGTTTCTCAGCTCACACTACTAAACAGCCGCTTGCTTCTACCGTGTGGGCTTCTGTCGCGGACATGCTGCTGTTCCTCCATCAGGCGCACTTTACGGTATTGGACCCTGTCTCAGAGACAGATATTATGGAACGTTTGCGTATCGTCAGCCGAGGAGAGACCAAGGTCGGTGCTTCGTCTCCGTTGCATGAGCTCTCTGGTCTGACTGAGAGGCGTCATAAGCTCGCGCGGCTCGCGCGCACCATGGCAGAGCCAGCAGCTGATATTCCGTTGCAATGGTTTGTAGACCAGGTGACTACGGAGATCCAAGCCGAGGAGAGGCTATATGCGGCAAAACGTCAGGAGACTGCGTCGGACAGGAGTCGGAGGGTAGTGAGCTAGAGTCGTGTAGCGGCCGACGTTGTCCAAGTCATTCCCTCGCAGATCATGGGATTTACTATCAGTTGTTATTGAGATTTCTCTCGTGGCGAGTCAGATCGCTGGCGCGTCTTGAAGCCCCTCTCTACGTGCGTATGAATTATGCTGATTCCCAAGAAGAGACCGATGGCAGATAGGCCGAGTACCACAATGAATGCTGGAATGCGAATTGCCCATTCCCTGGAGGGAAAGTAACCGTGGATAGGACTAGAAGCGTCGAAAAATGGCTGGCAGACGTTATCAGGACCTATATTTGATGCATTGATAAAAATACGAACTAGAAGGACAGCCCAAGTGGTATAATATACGAAGATGACAGCAGCGGCGAAGAGCATCGCACTTCCAGCCGCTCTGTCGCTGATTGCCTGGCAGCAGAATCGTCAGATGGACTTTGATATAGTCGGAATGATGTGGCAACATTCAGTACGCACCATGCTGGTCGCACGCTAGCAACACAGGAAGGAGACGCAGAACTGGAGCAGGATCCGAACTCGATTGATAGATAATCGTTTGTTCGTATCAGCATAGTATGAGCAGCAACGTAATTGCTCAAGTGAACCGTATCTCGTTCAGCACTGCTACTTCCAGTGCTCGCATGGACTACTCTTGATTGACCAAGAAGTCCATTGTCCAGACTATATTCCAGCCATTGAACTCTGGTTAAGTTGCACAAGTCACTGAATCACATGGTGCCTATGAACGCGTCGCGATGTGCCATAGCCAGCAGCTTTCGCGCCGGGATCTAAGAGGTGGCCACTGTGGGCCGGTGCATCCAACTCATTCCACCGTCTCTCTCGCCCCAGGTCTTCACGGAGGTCAGCGCACTGTCGAAACTTCTCATTATTGCCCTTCCTTCGAAGTGATCCTGGCGAATGCGTCTTTCATGGTAACAGCAGCAGGGCAACGATGGAATCCCAAACATTCGCTTCGCTCGCTCATGTTCGTATACTACTTCTCCCTTTCGGAGACATACGCCGGTCTACCTACGACAAGTGGGCTTCAGAGATAAGAAGCTTTGAGAGCATACCATTAGGTGACATACCCGCCGACACCAGGGATGAAAGAGGTGCGCCCATAGTACATCGATCAGCAGCACCGGCACTAAGTCATATTGAACCTGATAGCCCGCTTCATGCCCGGACCACTCGCTAGCGGCCATATACACCTGAGCTTCTCGTCTCATCTTCCTCCACCGACTCGCGGTGCCCTTGCCCTGTTTCGTCCGTCTGACCTGCCCCTCGGTGTCATTGGCATCGCATCTTGCTCGCACTCTGACGCGTTACCATCTACACTCTCTTCATTCACAAACACATTGCGCGAGCTGTCTAGCAATGGGACATCATTTGAAACCCCTGGTAGATGTCTTGTATTCGAAGAGAGCGATGCCAATCTCGATGTCGGTGATGGTTTCCCTGGGCTGGTGGTGATCCCGTCAGTCATGGGACATAAGCGAATGTATATTGGCACATTGCTCGCTGAACTTTGCTCGGATATTCTCGGGGAATTTGCAGTACTGGTCAGTGTGCTGTATTTATCACCTTTGCTGCTAACACAAATGATCGCAGATGCAATCGCTGGAGACTCCTCTTGGGAATGAGTATTTGAATGCTTCCCTATTTCCTTTGCTCCCTCCTCCCTCAGAACTGCCAAGGTCACTCGATCCTGAGTTTGATCGCCATGATTCTTTGCCCCCACTTCCATCTCAGCACAGCCAGCCAGAGTTGAGTTTACTGAATGGCTCTACACGGTCAAAGACCCCACTATCTAGGCGCATTTCCACTGGGCCAGGACTATTCCAAACTCGCCATGCAAGCCTCCCAACGAGTCCAGCGCCAATGAAGAAACGACCCGCGGCGATCGGTGCAGTCTCCTCCCATGGTAGACTCTTCAAGGTTTTAGCGGATTTATTCCTGCTAGCTGGTCGACACGCGGACTCTCTCATCTGGTGCGATCATTTCACAATATGCCTGCACCAGCGGCTGAGCCTTACGAGGCGGCCAGGTATACCGAAGCAATCGCCTTATTCAAGGGACCACAGGATGCAATATGGCATGCCTCTGCATTGGAGGGTCTGGCTACTATTCCAGTGGTGCAAGCGTGGTCATCGTCACAGGCAGCCGTCAGTGCATGAGACTTCCTGTCAACGTTGTATTGATGCAACTCTCGCAAGGTAGACGCTCCCCGCGGGTGATAAAGACCCATGGCAAGACATTAACGACAAGCTGGTGCAAGCCATCGCTCTGTATTTCAAGACGCCACCCCAATCCGACCACGAACGTACATATCCTTTACAGGCCTATTTGTACATCCAAGCTGTCCTCCGTCAGACAACTCTCCTTTTGACGACATGGTGCGCTAAAGGATGGGGACCGCAGACCTACGCAAGGCTCGTGCATCCAGGGCCACACCCCTATACCCTGCCTGTCTCGGCCGACACGAGCACCAATGCAGATGGTGTCACCATTACCGTGAAGGCTCCTCCGAGGGAACTGAGCTACGCAGACATGGAACGTCTGACAACCATATCCGGCATTTCCCGTTCGCAGATTGCATCCGTACTTGCGCAGATACATGGTCCTTGGCTGCTCCATCTGGACGCACGTGAACGTATCAATACACTCCAAACTGTTGCTGGCATGTTTGGCGTGCTCGGGTATCTTCGTAAGGAGGCCTATATTCTACGGGAGTTATTGGGATCGGTCATGGACCTCATTGTTTGTGGACGCGATGAAGGCGGACGCACATCGAATCCGGGCCTGGGTATCCAAAGAAATGGGTCCGAGGATCATACATCGAACCACGCTACCGTTGGGGTCAGGGAGAACCAGAGGGACGAAGGGAATGATGCTATGCTCAGAATTGTCAAGCATGTATGCAGAGTGCATGGCGTCGACCTTGAGGCTGTCAAGCTCGTCGATATCTCTGCCCGACATTCCCAGCCCGGCGTGGAAGAACAGGATGTCAGCGACGAGATTGCAGAACAGGAGGAAGAACAGTCGGTGGATGATCCATTTGGTTGGCCTGAGCTACAGATTGGCATCGTTCGTGAGGCTATAGCCGTTGCGGAAGCATTGCCCGGTAGGCATTGTCGCTGTCGACATTGGCGAACACTACTGAGTCTATTATACAGATTATCCGTCCGTCGCCCAATTCTCACTTTCGTCGTTAAAGATGCTGCATCCTGTCATGAGCCAGAGTGATCAGTTCCATTTGTACCATACTGCTACTCGAGCTATGGCAACAGCGATCCGCAGAGGTGATAGGCGGTTGGTGGAATATTGGGCAGGACGTCCCTTGACTAGCATAGAGGTCCTACCGTGAGTCAAAGCTTGGACGTTTCGGTTCTGCTTATCGACTGTCGAAAATTAGGCTGCCGCTCATTCGCATGCCAGTTGAGAAGCCAATGTCCCTCTTAACACAGTCACAGCAACCTTCCAGTACCAACCCCCTCTTCGTCGGAGTAAAGGACCCGTTCTTGTACAACCCTAGGAAGCTGATGTCAGAACAGGTCACCCCCATTTGTCCATCTCCGCTATGCGTTCTGACTATCCATTGCTAACAGGTGCAAAGTGTCCTGGTGCAAAATGAACGCTTCGAGGCGGTTGTGACGTTGCGCAATCCCTTCGTCTTTGATCTACAGCTCGAAAGCGTGGCACTCAGGTACGACGCTTGCACTGATACGCAAGAACCCAGACTGAGAATAAACTTGCATTCTTCAGCACATCCGGAGTGCGCGTAGAATCGGAGGCTATGGCTGTGATTGTGCCCGCGAACACATACCATCCGATCACAATCTCGGGCAAAGCACTCGAGGCTGGCACTCTTGTGATCCGAGGATGCGTGGTCCAAGCGCCTGGAGGCGCCCCGCGGGAATATGTTCTCCCACTGTCGACGGAAGAAGAGGAAGACCGGCGGCTGCGAAGACGCAGTGCGGTAGAGTTTGATGCAGGTCGATCAAAACGCACGGGTCTTGATTCGCGTCCATGGAAGCGGGCAAATACACGATTGAGCAAACAAAACGCTGCGACATTTTCCGGTCCTCCTACCGTGCGTTTTCTCGAATGCAAGGTGGTACCGGAACAGCCGCTCCTGCAGATTAAGAGGACCTCACTCACACACGGGGCTGTCATGCTGTATGAGGGGGAAACGTACGTGCACGCTGCTCAATGTGCAGTTTCGATGCTAATGTTCATGTGGCCTATGCACAGATCTATCATCCGGCTTACGCTTGAGAATGTATCCGCGCTATCTGTTGACTTCATCAGACTATCATTCGATGATTCTACAATGGCTCCAGCTCAGGAAGCTCTAGCGGACGGAGAACTGTCTGTGTCCGAAACCTACGAAACAGAATATGATCTCATTCACAGACCAGTCTTCACATGGGATAGCACACGGGATGTTGCCAGGGTAGACCCAGGTGAAAAAGCTACGATAGTCGTGAAATGTTTCGGGAAAGTAGGATGGTACGTGCTTGTTTCTTGATCTCATGCTGAACTTGATTTCTTTGCTCTCACTCAGCGTGAATGGTGCCATCCATGTCTCATATGGATATGCACGGCGAGATACTGCACCTGAAAAGCCTGCAAACGTCTTCCACACGCGGCAACTATCGTACCCAGTCACCGTCACTGTCTATCAGATGCTAGAATGCCATTCGATGGACATCCTGCCGTATTCCGAGATCATTGCGTTTGCATCGAAATCGGCTGATGAAGAGTCCTCTGCGACGAAGGTCAGGAAGGCACTGCTGAACGTGGACGATGTAGAAGACTGGTGTCTTTTCTCCGTCGAGGTCCGGAATACGTACGGTTCGCCGTTCGAGGTCACATTTGTACGGACTGAACCAGGTAAGCCATTTACCTCAGCAGCATTGAATCAAGAGTTCTCACATGCCATGTTGGAAGACACTGCATCAACAACTACTCTGGTTGCACCCGGTTCAACTGCAAGGTATGTGAGCACATGACCCTACGAGGTAGTCGTTGCGACCGAGCATCACAGATTGGTCATTCCCATCAAAAAGATCCATCTATCCGAGGAAGACATTGCAAAACCAATACCGACATTGTCTGACCGGCAGTTCGTCGTCACCAAGTCCAATCTATCATCAGCAGAGGTGAAGGCGCAACGTGAATTGTTCTGGTACCGAGAGGAGCTGTTCAAAGTCATTCATGGGCGATGGAGAGAGGTGAAGCTCTATCTCTACTCGGCAACAGTCTGTAAGCTGAATACTGGACGATCTCGTAGACCGGCGGTACACGTGTGGGCGATCTCTCATTGCGACAACAGCGAATAACATTGCCGATGCTGGAGGTCCTGCGGACGGAAACCGCAAGAGTGAAGATGTCGCTACATTGCTTTGATGAAGATGATGCTCTCCAGCCTGTTGCCGTGGATCCATCAGGATCCAAATACCTTCCTCCCCCGAATGGGTTCGTCTACTTGCGGACGAAGGTCATAAACCTTTCCCGTACGTCTGTCTTCCGAATATCGGACGAACACGGCCTGACCATCCACGTAGCCACTGACATGATCCTGTCGGTGAGTCTCTCCATGGAGCCTGCGCAGTATGTCATTTCCCAAGGAGTCCTAGTGGACATACCACTTGGACGCGTAGCACATGGAGAGTCCCACGAGATCGAGATCCCTGTTGCTTTCGTTTCCAGGGGGCGTTTCAACCTTTCGGCGGAAGTGCTCGCCCTTGGCCAGCCTGCAAGTGCAGGCCCTGTTGGTCGGGGGCAGTTGACTGCGGTTGTCGAGGATGACTTCACATAGCATATCGACTATTGAAGACTGCTCTGGTATCCTCAGACTTTGCATACAAGCTGGACGAACCCTGTGGATGCCACTGGGTAAAGCACGCCCGATTATGCACGACAGGATGTATAGCAAAGACATTTGGCTGATAGGACTCGATAGGATATAGTTGACATACAGCAGTAGGGGCTTGTCCCAATGATACACTTAATCGAACTCAGAAGAATCGTCCTGCCTGAATGTAGCACTGTACGCCAGAATTGTTCCGTACACCAAACTGAGAGGGCCATAAATAAGAGCTCGAGACTCAGAAAGGGGGATACACTCACGCTCCACCGACGATGGACATTGCACATGCTCCAGGGTAGATCACCTCGGAGTGCGCCAGCACCAGAGGAAATGCGAACCCGGTGACTACAATTGTCGCAGTAATGAACCGAGCGAGATCTCCGCGCCCTGGCCCATCGTAGTCGGCGGTGAACTCGTCACCCCCACAACTTGCGGACAGTGCGTTCGGTAGAGGCGCAAGCACAAACGTCAACGCTGCAGTATCTCTTTAGCAGAAGCCCACCAGCAGAAGCGATGGTTGTGCTCACCGACAAGGAGAGGGAGCCAATTCGACCACAGAGCACAAGACAGAATGATGAGCAGGAACCCGACGGCAAGTACAAACGACAGGAGAATGACCGCTTGCGCATGGAATGTCACTAAGTGTCCAAGTTCAGTCGTGTGGAGAAAAGACATACTCTTGATTCCTGCGTGGGCCATGGCTGATGATGGTATAGGATGGTGTTTGGTTGAAGTAGACACCGCCCGAGAGGATGTTGCCGCTGTACCCCGCAGTCTCACGCCACGCCATGAGGCTATCCGGGGTCTGGTAACGCGGTTGTGGCGCGAGGTTGATGCACACGCCGTGCATCCAAGCTACAACATTCAGACTATGCAAGTAGTATTACTACAGGTATCGCAGTCCAATATCCACTGAAAATACAAAGTAAATAATCTTACTACCAACGCAAGGCAAAACTCTCCCCCAAGCTATCACCGCTGAAATCTCTTCGTTCTCGACAGTTGTATCAAGTTGGCCGGTCGTTCGGTCAATTTCCCCATCGCCGGAATCGCCGACTTACGCGTCAGCCTGTTCGGGGCTCTCTTGGTCGCAACAGCAGGCGGTGGAGTGGGTACTGAAGATGCCGATGACGTCGAGGAAGACATGGACTTCAGAGACGGCGGTGGATCGGAAAGCGGTAGGTTCTCCTCCTCCTCCTCCTCTCCCATCTTTTCAGGCTCATCGTCCACTGCTACCTCGTCCACCAGCATTTCATCCACCGTGGCCGCATTGTCTTGTTCTGGAGGCGAGATATGCTCTTCCATGGCAGCCTCCAGCCTTACAGGTGAGACATAGCCGCGAGCTTTCCGCTCCTTCAGAAGTGCTTCCCTATTCTTCGTCAGTTGCCACTTATCGACGTAATCCCAGCTGCGTTTCCGGGGCGTCGTAGTCGTGGGTCTGTCTTCCCGCATACCATCTTCCGTCAGCTTCTGTGTCGTCTGGCTCAACTCGGCGATATGGCCCGTAGCAGCATGACTGAATGCCTTGCTTGCCGAAGACAAGCTCGACGATTCGGATATGATGCGCGTGAACGTAGCATCGACGTGCTTCGACGTCGACGCGATGTTGTGACATACGTATTGGTAGCCAGACTCGGCCTCTGTCGCCATGTTGTCCGTGTTCTCGATCCGCGCCCGCTTTGCATGAGACGCGTTCTCGAGCTCTGCATGTCGGATTCGTCGGTGAGCGTAAGAACATACCATTAAAAAATAATACAGAACACTAACCATCATTGCACGTCATGCTGAACCTCTGAGTGTGCAGCTGCAGCTCAGCGACGAAGGATGAAGCAGAGCTGACGGTGGCAGCTTGGACGTTGGAGGTGCTGTTGCGAATGGCCGTCCGTGTTTCTTCTAGGGCCTATGAATACCCATCAGGCACGACAATAATGACTTCATTTAGTCAGACACGTACCTTGAACCCGCCATCCCTGGTCCTCTTGGCTTCTCTACCTCGTTTCTTCAAATCAATGTTCCATTTCTGGCCGCGGGCCGTCGCCTTCTCAAGCTGCTGCCCTTGTTCCTGCGCTGCTTGCTTCAACTCTCCTTCCGCCGTTTCATTGCTCTTCGTCAGCGTGGTCAACGTATCCCTCAGGCTACGGTCACGTCCTCCAGTGAAGTCTGCTAGAAGGCTCGAGATACGCTTGATAAGTTCGTCCTTCGCGCCTTCCGATCTCTGCTTCTCAGACTCGACCAGGTGCTGCAGCATGGCATTCTGCTCCTGCAGGCGCTGGATCTCTGCGTTGGTTGTGGCCTCCGCTTGATCCTTCGCTTCCTGCAGTACTTCAAGCTCCTTCGCGATATATTTCTGTGCCTCCTGCAGAATAGTCTCGGCGAAGTCTCCCAATGACCTGAACGCCGTCTCCACCTAAGTACCACAGCATGAGCTAGACCAGGCAACACGCAGAAAAGTACCTACGTTAGCACAGTTGGTCAAACAAGTGCTTTCTGCCTCCCGGCAGGTCTTCTCGCAGTGAATTTGTAACTGCCCTGTCCATGTAGTGAAGCCCTTAGCGATGCTGTCTTGGGTCTCTTGTACCGCATCCTGGATGGCGTTCACAGCTTTGTCAGATTCCTCTTCGTGGGCATGAATAGTCTGGATGGCGTCACGGATCTTCTCGAGCTGCTGAGAGATGCGCTGTGAGATTGTATTCAGCGCCTTACACTCCTTGGCTTGGAATTCCTCCGCCTCAGTCCGTATCTTCTGCACGTGTTCGTTTGACGTCTTGATGAATGTGTTCAGTTTGGACGACAACGCTTCCGTCTCTGTCGAGAGGACACTGCTGCTTGTAGCCACGGTGTTAACATTGGAATTAAAGACCGCTGTCTTCCGTTCTGTACAGGCATAATGAGCAGAGACACTGTGAAGAGGGCGTGAAGCTCACCCAGCTTGCTGTGCAACCGCCCGAGATCGCCCAGACTTTCATATGTAACCTTCTTCAAACCGGTAGCCACACCATCTAGCCTCCCTTCAGCGTCCTGGTAAGCTTCCCGCACGAAAACTTCATCTTCCAGTGCATCCTTCACAGCCATCAGTTGCGTCTCCTTGGCCTCCAGCTCCCCTTCCTTTTCCGTCAACTTCCCTCGTATCTGCTTCAACTCATTGTCCCGCGTCGCCAGTAGGGCGATGCTCTGTTCAAACTCTTCGCGGACGTTTCTGAGCTGGTTTGCTACGATCTCCACCTCCTTTCGCGCCTCCTGGAGATTTGTCTCCTTCAGCTCTTTTTCCATCGCCATCTCATCGTACGAATCTTGAGTGAAGTAGATGCCATTCTTCTCTCGTGCGGCAAGAAGGTCCGCTTTCAGACGATCAATCACCGCCACATACTCCTTGAGGAGCGAATTGCGCGTCAGGCGCTGGTTGATTTCCGGTCGGTTCTGGATAGACTTCGCTCGCATGGCGTAGTCTAGAGTCGACAGGGTCTCCTCCATATTCGACCGCGCTGGCGAGATGGTAGCGATAATGCATGTCTTCGTTCTGCCGCCCAATGAATCTTGTAGAAGGCGCGTGAGCTTCGATTCCCTGGCGTAGAACTTGGTTCAGAACGATATCAATCCTAGAAGAAAGCAGTCTCACCGATAAGGCACATGAGGTGATTTGTCGACAAGGGCATTAATCACTCTGCCCAACGTCAGGAGGCTCTGGTTGATCAGTCCTGCCTCGCGCGCTCGTTTGTTCTCCGCGCCGGAACGTCCGATGTTCTCGGAGCCCGCCAGATCGACCAAATTCATCTTGCCAACCCTCAACAAGTCATCACCCATTGAAGACTTCTCCTTCGAATGCACGGTGATGGAGAAGACGGAATGTGAACGGCTGGAGTGATCATTGAACTTGGTGGCGGCAATCTGCCTGCGTTGGCTGCCTTTGTCGAGCAATGCCAGTGCATCGGTCGCGTCTTTAACAGAGAATTCCTCGAGTCCCTGGATGAGCACTCCTTTCTTAGTAGAGTCGTCGAAGATCTTCAGGTTTCCCTGTCCGGCATTCTCCTTCGGCACACCAAGTCCCATGGGCTGTATGGATCCCATGGGTGATGCCAGTTCAGGTGCCAGCAAATCGCGCAGCTCTTCATTGTAGAGCTCAACGAAAGATACCTTTACGGTATAGTCAGCCGCAGACGATTCAAGCTGGTGAAATAGGCTGAAGAGGACACGAGGAATCATGCCGGCATGTGGCGACGGGTTTCCCATTACAGTCATTCCCAGCTCGCCTTGCATGGTATATCTGAGAAACAATCAGACTCGACACAACACAAGACATCCAGCGCATCACCCACGTCTTCCCAGTACCAGTTTGCCCATAGGCAAATAGTGTACAGTTGTAACCTTTGATCACCTCGTCCAACATCGGGCGCACAACTTCCTGGTAAACCGTCGCCTGATCAGCCTCGGGACCAAACACGAGGTCGAAGCCGTATTTCTTTGTCGGTGGCAGCGTAGCAAGACCTAAGGCGGTCGATGGTATGGCGCTCTCGATGGTAATTTCACGCGGTTTGGCAGCATCAGTAGTGACGATGATGGGAGAATTCTCATGTTGTTCACGATCGGACCGCCGCCTGCAGCGTATGATTACTTGGATGTTGGTCTCGGTGTCATCCTTTAATCCAGTGTGTGAAACTGTTTTCGCTGCGTTTAGGGCGGGTGTCGGTGCAGGTGAGTCCTCCATCGGGGTGTTCAGGCGGGAGCGTTGGGAAGGATTTGGCTTGGCAATGATTGAGCGGTGCCGGCTGCTGCTCGCTGTCGGTGCAGACATAGATGTCTGCGCGGCGCTGCTTCGGGAGCGCGTGGTGGGGGGGCGGCGAGAGGCCATGCTGGATGGCGGGTGATGATGGCGAAAGCGGAAGGACACAAATTCAACACGACGCGCTCGGCTACGCGTGTCTGCTCACGTGAGCGAGACATCGTGGGAGCGTACTGCCATCGGCGGCACAGCTCACTTAATAGGCTTGCCAGTAACTTGAACTTGCTCCCTCATCTTTCACCATGGGCAAGCGCAAGAAATCATCCCGGAAACCGCAAGGTCCACGCAAGAGAGAACCTCTAGGTATGGTATTGTTCAACCGTGGGTTGCCCGACTCTCACCTATTTTTGTCGCAGAAACCTCCTTTACATGCCTTTTCTGCCACCATGATAAGTCTGTTTCTGTGAGGCTCGATCGTAAAGAGGGTATTGCACAGCTATTCTGTAAAGTATGCGACCAGCGGTATCAGAGTAAAGTCAACCGTGCGTCGACTATCCTTGCTACATCATACTGTGCTCATGTCAACCGTTGCCACACAGATCTCACTGAGCCCATCGACATCTACTCTGAGTGGATCGACGCGGCCGACGCTGCGGAGAAAGAGGCCGTATCGGGCCGTCGACCGAGTGCAACGTCAAGTCGACCTGCGCCGCCTGCGTCGCTTGGCAGTGACAACGAGTAGGACTGCGTCTTTGTGGCCATATTACGAATGCATCTTGTATCGTTTCTCTTTTCCCGTGTACACTCCGTATATTCCACTGTATCACCATATCACATACTTCTTTCCTGCAAAACCTGAGGTACATCACCAGCTGTGCACAACGTTGTAAAACAACTTGCACCCTTCGAAACTCGATCTTTAAGTATGCATCCGCTAGTGCGCGACGCGCTGTACGCGTTGACAACAGCCGTAAACAAGCGGCCGAGTCCTCGCGAGCACTCGTGTACACGTTAGGGAGTATTCTCGCCCTGCACTACTTTGCCCGGTCTCTCTGTCATTAGGATCTCTATCTACTGGAGGGAACGCCTTGCCAGCGTGTCCCATATACCTCTGGCATACACTTTAGGCGACATCGTCAACACTAGGTCACCTTCCGTTCGTTCACTCTCTGACAGCGGAGGATTGTAATGGCTTCCACGAACATCAAAGTTGTCTGCCGGTACACTCCCAATGTCCGTTGTACTACCGAATGCTTGGATTGATCCATGGCGTGATTGTCAGGTTTCGCCCACCGAACGCGATCGAGCAGCGCGAAGGAGGTGAAGTTGTCGTATCATTCAGTGACAACCTACAGACGGTCCATGTGCGATCGGCACAGCTCAGCTCTGGGCCGGAGAAAGATGGGTTCACATTCGACAGAGTCTTCCCTCCCGGCACTAAGCAGCATGAAGTGTTCGATTATGGTGTCAACGAGTGAGTCCCTCATTATATGCGCGTCCTTTAAACCAGCTCATCCCATTGAAGCATTGTAAAGGGTGAGTCTACCCGTTTCGACAACATGGACGTGCCACGCGCTCTCAGTCGCGAAAGGCCTTCCGACCAAAACAGTGTGTGTACAGTGGCCTGACTGTTGGATTCTGGCAGATGTCTTGGATGGCTACAATGGGACGGTGTTCGCGTATGGCCAGACCGGTAGTGGAAAGACGTTCACAATGATGGTGCGCAGAACCTCCTAAACATCCGACAACGAGGAAAGCTTACACTCCTTGCATGATCGCAGGGAGCCGACATAGATTCAGCCGATCTGAAGGGTCTGATCCCTCGCATTACAGAGCAGATTTTCCAGTCTATTGTGGAATCGGATGCCCATTTAGAATATCTTGTCAAGGTGTCTTACATGGAAATTTACCTAGAACGGATCCGAGATCTGTTAGCACGTACGTGTTGCACGGAGACTCTTCTCTGATGCATACAGCTATCTGAATATCAAATTTCCTACAGCTCAGAACGACAATCTTCAAGTACATGAAGAGAAATCGAAGGGAGTCTACGTCAAGAACCTTTCCGACTACTACGTTAGTAGTGCCCGCGAGGTATACGAAATTATGCGACAAGGAGGTAACACACGAGTTGTGTCATCAACAAGTGAGTGTTTGCGATACTGTCTCGACTGTCACTGGCCTGATCAGATGATGAGACATGAACGCTGAGAGTTCACGCTCTCACTCCATCTTCCTCATCACTATCCAGCAGCGCAATACAGAGACCGGCGCACAGAAGACTGGTAATTTATATCTTGTCGACTTGGCCGGTTCCGAGAAAGTGGGGAAGACCGGTGCGTCAGGCCAAACACTAGAGGAGGCGAAGAAGATCAACAAGTCCTTATCCGCCCTTGGAATGGTCATCAACGCCCTTACTGATGGCAAGGTCAGCGTATGCTCACATCGTGCACCATCAATATCTCTAACAAGCCAGCAATGTAGGCCAAGCATGTGCCTTACCGGGATTCAAAGCTCACCCGAATCCTGCAAGAGTCACTCGGAGGTAACTCGAGGACGACTCTTATCATCAATTGCTCTCCGTCTTCTTACAACGAGGCTGAGACGCTTTCCACCCTCCGCTTTGGTATCCGTGCTAAATCGATTAAGAACACCGCGCGTGTCAATGCGGAGCTTTCTCCCTTGGAGCTCAAGGGACTGCTCACCAAGGCTCAAGCAGCCAACACTTCATATCAGAAGTACATTGCTGCTCTCGAAGCGGAGCTGGCAATCTGGCGCACGGGTGGTCAGGTCGACCAAGCGGACTGGGTGACTGCTGAGAAGGCAGCTTCTTCTACGGCAGCGCCCAAGAGATCGCCCGCATCACCGACACCATCCTCGACACGTAGCATGACGCCTGTCAATCCTGCATTGGAGGGCTTGCGCAGCGATGGTGACAGTCGCCCACAGACCCCCACTGTAGTCGGACTCGACAAGGACGAGCGTGAAGAATTCCTCAAGCGCGAGAATGAGCTCAGTGACCAGTTAGCGGAGAAAGAGTCTGCTCTCAATGCTGCGCAGAAGCTTGTTAGCGAACTCCGGGAAGAGTTGGCATTCTTGAAGGAGCAGGAGGCGTCGTTATCGAAGGTGCGAGACTCGACAGTGTTTGGATTATACGCATTCTTGACATATGCATTGTGCAATAGGAGAACAAGACGATGTCTGGCCAACTCAACGAGCTTCGTCTGCAAGTAGAGCGCCTGGACTATGATAACAAGGAGAGTGTTATCACCATCGACATTTTGAAGGAACAGAACCAAGATGCGAAGACAGAACTGGAGGAGCTGAAGAAGACCATTCTGGAGCTCAAGGCTGCTCAGAAGGATGCGTCCGCCGAAGATAAAGAGAAGCGCAAACAGGAGAAGATGGCCTTGATGATGGCTAAGTTCGATGCGGTGCGTGGACAACAACATTCCCGCATCCTTCCGTCTGATTATAAACATATTACAGCAAGGTACTTTCTCGGAGAAGGACGAACAGCTGCGCCAGCTCCTCGCCAAGCTGGATGCCATTGATTCTGATGCTGCTGTGTCGACCCTCTCTCAAGAAGATGTTGTCACGCTTCGTCGGCAGCTGGTCGACGGGCAGAACCTCATCCGAGAGACTGTTGACCGCTTGAGGCAGAGCCAGGAGGAGAACGAGATGAATTCGCGCAGACGAGATGAATTGGAGGCTCGTATCTCTGCGCTTGAGACGGAGTACGAAGAGTTACTGGGTACGTCATCAATGGTTCAGGATTCAAACGTTTATAATGCGTTTTCATCTCAACAGAGAAGACGATCCGCGATGAGGAGGTCAGCAATGTCGACGTTGCCGAATCGATGGCCGAGCTCAAGGTATGTTTCCCTCAGTGCTTCTGCGCACAGTCGGCGGCATTGACTCGTTCATGCAGAACAAGCTGGAGGCGCAATACGCGGCGAAACGTGACGCGCATTTGAGCGAGGTACAGGATCTGAAGCAACAGCTGGAGATTCGCATCAGCGAAGTCCGCACCCTCAATGCCACCATCGATAGTTTGAAGAGCGTCAACGATGAACTTAAGGCATTTACTTTTTGTCGCCTCACGCGGTCATTCACGCTTACTGAACTTTTGCAGCGCGCATTCGCTGTGACCTCAGCCGGCATCGAAGGTGGTAAGAACCTTGCTGAGAGCGCCCAAGATCTCGAGAGGACACGGAAAGCCATCAGCGTGCAACTTGCAGAATTTGATGGAGTCAAGAAGTCCCTCATGCGAGATCTCCAGAACCGCTGCGAGAAGGTACTATACGGCTCATATTCTAGTGAAACCTCTGACCTACTTCAATGCGATATTCAGGTGGTTGAGTTGGAGATCCAGCTGGATGAGATCAAGGAGCAGTACAACAATGTCATCCGTAACAGCAACAGCAAAGCGCAGCAGAAGAAGATGGCTTTCTTAGAACGGAATCTAGAGCAACTGACTGTTGTCCAGAAGCAGGTTAGTCGGGAACGTTTCATGCTGCATGGAATCTTCCTCGACACTAATGCTTCCGGTTCAGTTAGTTGACCAGAATTCTGCCTTGAAGAAGGAAGCCGGCATCGCGGAGCGGAAATTGCTCGCGCGGAACGAGCGGATACAGAATCTCGAGGCTTTGCTGCGAGACGCCGATCGCCGACTGGCAACGCAGAACCAGAAGTTCGAGGCCCAACTGCAGGTGGTCAAGGAGCGCCTTGATCAAGCACGCGGTATGATCGGACACGTCATTATTGCTCCCACTGTCATGCCGTACTCAATGACAGCCCATTCTAGCTCAAAAGGTCGCTTCTTCGTCGCCTCTCAGCTTTGGCCGCATTGCCAAGCCGTTGCGGGGAGGAGGAGTTGCAGCCGCGAGCGCAGCTTCTGCGGCCACCAGCCCGTCAATAGGGTCGAGCGCCGCAAACCCGGTAACAAGGCTACAGAACGAAGAGTCAGGGTACGTGCATAAGTTTTGCTTGACGGGTGGCGTTGTTTTGAAATGACGTTTGTTATTTGCCTCAATCAGAACCGGATGTAAGCAAACTCGTATTTGTGTGTGGAATAGTACTCACTTAATATTTTGCATTAAGCCAAGCGGGCGTCGTGGTTCTTCAACTCAACAAGGTGATGCCGTGCTCAGTCCTCGCTGACCGCTCTGGCTGTATTTTCGTCCTTCTGCATACCCATCGCACAGTGGTTGTATACTCTGCATCGCATCTATTAGTGTTCTCAATAATGCATCATGGATTCTATCATCGGACCGAGCATGCGGTTCGCTTAAAATTTCTGGCACCAGTGACGATGCTAGCGAAGCGACCACCCCACTGAGCAGGTGATGGTCTCCTGAAGGTGCATGGCTTGTCTATGCTCGGAGCATGCTGACCATGGCCGCCTCGGCAGGATGTGCTGGTCGGAGAAGGGCGCGCATGAGGGCTGAGGGAGGATTTCCCCAGGGTCGGGAGCGGGATGATCTGATGAGACGATCGGATGGTTCCCAGAGTGGCAATCACAGAACATGGAACATTCTGATGGCGTACCGTTTTTGTGCTCGCCCGCGACGGGAGACTACACGTGGCACATCATGGGCGATAGTCCCGACGGCCCTCGGCGAATTTGGTCGTCAGTTTCAGCGGAATCAAAATATTAGCGTTAATGACAACCGTCACCTTTTCACCTTTCCCATCCTCGTTGGGCTGGTGAGCTATCCTCCGCTTTCTTCCATCCAATTAACTTTGGGTTGGAGAACCTAGGAGTTTGCCAGTCCGCTGCCAAGTGGGATCGTTCCGTCTGGTGAGTGTATAGACCACGTTATTCTGTGGTCGCGTTGTTGAGTCTTGAATACAGTGCGACGAGGACCTACGCGTGCCTTCCTCTACATACGCGTGACCATATAATTCCACTGCCGTCTCCACACTTATCTCCTTCCTACCTTGCCGGCCTTGCTGCTTACAGAGGCCAGCACCTTGTAACTGACCACGACTACACACGTTACGTCGTCGTGATATCTGTGTCATAACTGTACGAACGCTCTGCTGTGCGTTATAACAATGTTTGACAGCTCATACGCTAGCATGTCAACTAATGCTAATGTTTCGGGTCCCTCTGGCTCCTCAAGACGTTCTGCAGGACATTCCCCTTCAAACTCGCCTAGTCACGTACGTCCGCAGCTCATCAGCTTCCGTCGTATGGCATTTGATAAAACTCGTCAATAAGGCTCAGCCTCCGCGGAAGGTAGTCTCTCCTGCTAGTGGTATGCCTGGAGTAGCAATGGGTAGCACAGATGGAACGAAAGCTTTGGGCTCTGGGTGGCAGGTATGCGATGCGCACTGTATGCAGAATCACATGTTGACTCTTGTTTTAAGGTGTGGGGCAACCCTCCCACTTCGAGAAATGCGTCAACATTGTCGACTATTGCTGTCGCTGAGTCGTCAGTTTCTCAGGCAGACTCTCACTTCCGCTCGAGTTTAAGTGACACATGGGGTTCAAGATCAACTGGTGGTGCTTGGGATGAAATGACCGATAGTGCTCAGAGGATGGATTTGGTGTCATTCGTGAGCACAAGCTGGCAACTGGCTGCTCAGTTCAGATATCAATCTAACTCGAACGACCTTCAGGATGCTCAGAGCGGACTGCCTCTTCATCAGGGCAGGCAAAGGCATATTACGTCTTCGCAAAGCACTGCTGCTCTGTCGTCTCCATCAGCGACGGCTTCCAAACAAGGACAATTCTCTCCTCAGCCATACCCCACTTCTGCTGGCAGAGATCCGACGCACCCGGCGCGCTATTTACCAACGTCACCCGCGAAGCCAGGAAATTATGGTTATTCGACGTCTCCGTACGCTGGACAGCAGCCTCTCATGCATGGCGGTAGTCCGGCTGTCACTTATGACTCGCTACAACCGTCTTCTAACTCAGAGGATGAGCTCTCCGTAGCGCTGCGTGGCATGGCGGTAGCCGATGATTACAGTCTGTCTCAGCAAAGCCAAGCATTTCGCGAACAAACTGGTGTCACATCTCCATCTTCGGCATCTGTCCAGGCCACGCAGCCCTCCGCGAACCAGCTCCGTTCTCACCCCCAGGTTCAACAACATCGTATGGCGTATGGTGGATATCCTCAAACTGATTACCAAACTTACTATAATGGCACGTCAGCGGGATTAGACTGTTCGGATGCTTACGATGCTTATCATGCCGCCTCAGATCCCTCGTTGTACGCCCCTTCTCCCGCCTTGAGCGCCGCTACACCCGCGCCTAATATGTATCATGCAATGGGACCGCCGTCATTAATGCCGCACACCGCAATTGATTTGCATAATCCTCAATCTGGAGTATTCTACGATTATACCGGGTCGTCACGAACAATGGGGTCACAGTACTACTATCCGCCTCAACCCGTGATGTATCATCCACACCCCTCGCAATCGCCCGTGTTGTCTGCGGACAAGAAGCACAACGTTCATGTCAGCCCACAACACTTTCTTCTCGGCAGTGCTGACTCAAGTAATTCATCTTATAGTATAATCTACAGCAGCACCATCAGATGTCGCAAGGTATCATGTATGGCAACCTACGTTCTTCACCTTCTCCGCACCCTCAATCGTACCCTAACGCTATCGATTACCATGCTCAAATGGCCATGATGGTCCCGCCTACGCCTCTCTACGGACAAGGTAACGTCAATCCGGCATCGCTGCATTCCTATCAACACGCTGCACGACCCGGTCGTCGCGGTGCGTCTGGGGTCGATCATCGCGTTGCTATCCGCAGCCCTCTACTGGATGACTTCCGTGCGAACAAGACACGCAAATGGGAGCTGAAAGTAAGCCAAATGATGTAACACCCGGTGCTGCACTCCTAAGTGCTTAAATACAGGATATTTACGGATATGTCGTGGAATTCAGCGGTGATCAGCATGGATCACGCTTCATTCAACAGAAGATAGAGACGGCTTCAACGGAAGAAAAGCAGGTTATCTTCGATGAGATTGTTCCTCACAACGCACTGCAGCTCATACAGGACGTATTTGGCAACTATGTACACGACAAATGCTATTCACCTAGATGCCATGGCTAAAAGTTTCCCTTTCCCAGGTTATCCAAAAGCTGTTCGAGCACGGAACGCAAGTGCAGAAAACAATACTGGCGAACACTATGGAAGGCCATATCTTGCCCTTGTCCCTTCAAATGTATGGTTGTCGTGTGGTGCAAAAGGTATGTGGTACATCCCGCGGACGCCGCTTGCGTTGAATGACGAATACGCCGTTAGGCAATCGAATACGTTCTACCTGATCAGCAGAGTGTATTTGTGCAGGAACTTGAGGCAGACGTGCTGAGATGCGTGAAAGACGCGAACGGAAACCATGTATGCTAACGAGTTACTAATTCTCTCCGACCAAACGTGTCCCTGACGAGGTTACTGCAGGTCATCCAGAAGCTCATCGAACAAGTATCTCCTGAACGGCTGTCGTTCATCAAAGCTTTCAAAGGCAACGTGTACGAGCTTGCTACACACCCCTATGGCTGTCGCGTTCTTCAAAGGTGTTTTGAACATCTTCCAGAAGAGTACATTCGACCATTACTGGACGAGTTGCACAAGCACGTCAACCATCTGATGCAGGATCAGTTCGGTGTAATTGTTCATCTTTCGGAGGTTGTTAGAGCGCACTAATTTGTTGCACAGAACTACGTGGTGCAGTTTGTCCTGGAACACGGGAACCCGCATGACAGGGCAGTTGTCGTCTCTAAACTGCGTGGACAGATGCTGCACATGGCGCGCCACAAGTTCGCTTCGAACGTGTGCGAGAAGGCCTTGGTGACTGCCGACTCGGAGAGCCGCCGTCTCCTCATCGAGGAGATGATGACCCCCAAGCAGGACGGCCTGAGCCCTGTTCTCACCATGATGAAGGACCAGTACGCTAGTAAGTCTAACAGCTGTGCTCATATTTTGCTTTTCCTGACTGCGCTTTTGTCGTATCCTCCAACAGATTATGTCTTGCAGCGAGCATTATCGGTAGTGGAAGGAGAACAAAAGGCAACTTTGATCAGTAAGGTGAAGCCTCAGTTGATCAACATGCGGAGGTATTCTAGCGCCTACAGCAAACATCTTATGGCTAGTCAGTACCTTCTGTTTTATTTTCTCACCATGGACGGATATTCTGATGACTCCTAATCAGTCGAACGTCTTCTCGAGAAATGTGCACAGTCTTCGCCCGAAAACCCTACCTTAGAAGAAAATACCGCCGCTGGCGCTGTATCGGACAACCGACCTGCAGACTTTTCAAAATGATGACATCGCAACGGGACTACAACCGATCGACTCGGACTGCATACTGCTACATTCACGGTCTTTTACTGGAGGTCTGAATACCCTACTGATGGTTTCTATTTTCCCCTTACAACGATCGTTACATTCCTACCCATAATCGCAATCATTCGTTCTCAAGTGCATATTGGATCCCGGACTTAGCCTTGCGTTGCTTACTCTGATGATACCATACATCTGCATGATCGACTATTACCCGCCCCTCACAGACTATTTAGTGCATACTATCTGCTACTGCATATCATCGAATCACACACTATTACCTGCTGTTGAGACATTTTCCATGCGGAAATAGAGACATGCAAATTTATACGCGGGTCGTCGCGATCGAATATCACGACGCGTGAGCGCACCCCACGGGATCGTTCCACGCTCGGCGATACGCCTCACACTCATAAACGGCCACGTTATATACCCAGTCTCTCCAGCTCAGCTAGCTGCTCACACCATCATCCGTTCCACTTTTCGTCTGCTGGCAGGTCATCAGCATCATGGATTCAAGTGCCGGCGAGGCGGCTACTCTGTTCGGTGCGGCGGACCCTGCTACCGACCTGTTCGCAGCGACCCTGGGCAATGACGGTTCAGAAACGGCGACCGGGCCTGCCAGCAGCGGTGAGGCTCAGCCTCATGTACAAGCTTCGGATGCTGCGTCGGACCTATTCAAGTCTGAGCCCGACAGTGCGGACTTCTTCAGTGCATCGACGATGTCATCTACTACCACTGAGCCCTCCAATGCTTATAATTCATGGGATGACACTGTCCATCAGCCGACAACTGCATACAAATCTCATGCGCCTGCGCCTACTTCCGCAACATCGAATGGGTCTTATGCTCAGCAGTACGCACCTAGTAGTTGGTACGGGGGGCAAGCGGAGGCATCGGCTTACCAACAGACGCAGACCACTACTGGTTAGTCAGTTCATTCCATCTGTACGTCCTTTCTAAGCGTGGGTTTCCAGCCTATGGCGCGTACCAACCGGCCTCGTCGTATAGTTCGCATGGTTCATATGCACCTCCTGCCGCCGTTACCTCCATGCCCCATCTGAACGCGACGCACAACACTTCTGAGCGCACTTATGACCCTTACAAACCAACGTCGCAGACGGTCTCCCACACGTATGCTCAGCCCGCATCAGGCACACAATTCAGCCCATACGATCCATACAAGCCCGCGCAGCTGTCAAGCATGAGTCCTGTGGTCTCGCATCCGTACGCTGGTGTTGCACCTAGTGTGGGGAGTACGACAACAATCCCTGCGTCACGTCTTACCGCTCCTACTACTCCCTCTGCAGCCTCTGCAGCCCTTTATCGACCTAAGACAAGCAACGCTTACGATCCACCACTGCCTCCCCTACGCCAAATACGACATCCTCATGCACGACAACCACACTCGCTGACCTCCCCTGTACGCCAATCATTACACCTGGGAGAGCCTTCGCAATCTCCGCCGCGCAGGGCTGCTCCCCCCAAGCATGAACAGCATTCGCCTGTTACAGGCATGCAGAATGGTCACGCTCAGCAGAGCTACGTTTCACCTCCTTCAGAATACGTGAATTACGGCAGGGAAGTCGGTTCGGACGGAAACTATACTCAGCGTCCGAGCGATAACGCGGACGCCAGTTCTGGATACGGCCACGAGCCCTCTGGTCCACTGGAGAGTCCATATAGGGGTGTTGAATGGACACAGACATCCGGACCAACCACGTCATCACAGACGTCAATCGCTGTTATGACTCTGCCCTTGCCTACTATAGGTGGACAACCGGAGTCGCTCTCACAGTTTCATTATGTCAATCAGACACGGATGCAAGCAGAGCCCAATACCTCATCTCCGCGATTAGTCCCTGGAAATGATCTCTATGCGACGTCCGTACACGCGGACACAGGCAGGTCTACTTCGAATGCCTATATGGACGACACTCTGGAAGGTCGGAATGCGCGGCAGCCTCCCCGTGAGCGTGCAGCGTCGGTAAGTAATGTGGGTGCTGGCTGGAGTCCATCTCTTGCTGACTATCAGCAGAGTGCTGTCCCTGTCAATGGTTTTCCTGAGAAGACCAAGTCACCGGGCAGCGTCTCCGCACATTCTTCAATAAATAGCCCAGAGCAGTCCCTTGGACAGAAGCGAATCAGTTCTCCATCGATGCCCTCTCATTTGCCACCTGTTAGCAATGCGTATCAATCAGGATCTGCCAGTCCGGATGGTACACGACGGTCGACGAGCGCTGAACGAGCGGCTTCGCCTACATCTGTATCTTCCATTACTGGCTCGCTGAAAGGCGCGTATGATCCATATGTTCCTGTCAAGAACAATCGCGATCGGTCCATGTCAAATGGATCTGTACTGTCGTCAATATCTGCGGTGCTTGACGACCCATATGCTCCTGTTCAGCACTCGCGCTCCTCATTAACCGAGCAAACGAGCAGGGGAAGTCTGTCTGGTCCATATGCTGCTCCTTCTCTCAATGGAATGCACACTTTGCCTCGCGCAGTCCCGCAGGATCTTTCTGCGTCGCAGATCTTAAATGCTCCTGCTCAGATCATGGGGATATATGCTCCATCTCCTTCCCTTCTAGGGTTGAACGACCCACTGGGGCGAACGTCGGTTCGGGTTCCTGTGGTCAGCTTCGGGTTCGGAGGTAAACTGGTGACCTGTTTTCACGGAATGTCTTCGGACGTCGGGTTCGATGTTGCACTCTCTTCTCGTCAATCTACCGACATCAAGATTAATAAGCTGCACAAAGTCATCCCAGAATCGGCCTTGGATACATCGGCTGCGTCATATCCTGGGCCGCTCTTCTCAGATCCAGGGACACCAACGACCAGTCTTGTGCGTGCCGGAGCAGCAACGCAGGCGAAGACGAAGAAGGCTCGTGTCATCAAGTACCTCGAAGAGCGCTCGGAAGAGATTGGTCGAAGCCTTGGCTACTTCCACCAGGGCAGTTTGGAAGCAAGACGCGCCGAAGCGAAACACATACTCGTCAAGCTACTGAAGGTCATGGTGGAAAATGACGGCCACTTGTCTGGCAGGTAAGCGACATTTTATGCTTTGTGACCGCAATACCTGACTGTAACCATGCAGCCCTCATATAGATACAGCTGTACGAGCAGCCCTTGTGCCTCGTTTGGCACCTAATCCATCGCTGAAGACGGCGTCATCGCTGAGCCTTTCGCGCCCAGTGGACTTTCAGCCTCAGTCCCCGAACATTGCGCCAATGTATCCGGAGATTGCGTCGCCAGCTCAAGGCATGACCGAATCACCTATGGCGGTACATACATTGAAGCCATCCAACCTGGACAAAATTCAAGAATACCTCCTCCGAGGGGATCGTCGTGCAGCATGCCATTATGCATCAGACGAGAAGCTGTGGGCTCATGCGATGGTCATTGCAAGTAGTATTGATAAGGAGACGTGGAAGGAGGTAGTCACTGAATTCGTGAGAACCGAGCTGGCGAGCACGGACAGCCGAAGCGTTACTCAGACTTCAATACCCGGGGAGAAGGCAAGGCTGTCTGACGGTCGAGAATCACTCAGAGTTGCGTATAGTCTCTTTTCCGGGAAAGGACCGGCATCTAGTGAGTGAGCTTTCTGGTGTCTATATGTGAGATGCTTAGGCGTTATGATTCCCTCACACAGTTCAGGAGCTGCTCCCACCAAAACCCTTGATGCAAAGCGCACAGACGCTTCAGCTACCACCTTCTTCAGTATCATCACTGACACCCATATCAGCTAGCTTCTCGGCACCTGTGGAGCCAATGAACATCCCAGGCGAGATCCTAGTGAGATGGCCTGAGACGAGCGCTATGATGTTCGCCAGTCCTCTCACCTTGGAGACATCTTCGGCACTTACTGCTCTTGGCGACCAGCTGGCTGTGAACCAGTGGTATGAGGCAGCGCATGCTTGGTAAGTGATTTGTCGTTGTGAATATGTGGTGCATTGTCTTACATCACTGATCTCGACGACCAGCTATTTGCTGTCTCCGCAAACGTCTCCCATAGGCGGCGTTGGAAGCTCCAGTCGTGTTGTCCTCATTGGTGCTGAAAATCCTGCCACTTCTTCAATGTTTGTCAAAGATCCTGACCCCATCATCTTGTCGGAGATCGTCGAGTTTGCCATGTCACTTGCGGCACCTACAAAGGGGCAGGACGCCTTTGTTGGGTTACCTCACCTTCAACCATATCGTCTTGTTCGTGCGACATCATTAGCAGAAATGGGTCATATTCAGTTGGCGAATAGGTATACAACCTTCATGCATTCAGAGTTACTGTTTTGACGCTATCTACAGGTATTGTGAAGCCATCGCAACTTGCCTCAATCGGACATCACCCTACATGAATCCCACTTTCATCGAGCAGCTGAAAGGACTCTCCGATAGGCTCACTGCGGCGCCGCAGTTGGATAAGACAGCCTCATGGATTGGTTCGAAAGTGTCGAAGCCGAGCCTTGACAGTATAGGCAATTGGCTTGAGGGTCGACTCACGAAATTCATCGCGGGTGATGGTGACTCACTGCATGCGGAGGATCATGCTCATGCAGGGCATCAACAACCGTTCAGCGGGCCTTTCGCCCATTATAGCACAATTACATCAGCGAACAGCTCCGCGGTTCCGTCTCCCCAGCAGTCGCGGGTCGATCTCAATGAGATGCCTAACTCTCCGCCGCCGCCGTTCAGGACCGGATCCGCTATGGCCTACCGGCCCTCCGCTGCATCTTACGTCCCCATGAATCGTGCATCATCCGCGATGGATTACATCCGTCCATCGTTTCAGCGCAAGCCTTCACCGATTCCACGTGTTTCTTCGGCCAATGCGACAGCAAGCCCGTATGCAGACGGTTCCTTATATAGTCAAGCGTTGAATGGATATGCATTCGGCAGCAGCGTCAAACAAGATACGGATCATTTGAAGGCCGGCGAACAGAGGACAGGTCACACGGCGGAGAACGGAGGATCAACCGGTACAGAGACAGCCACATGGTGGGGAGTATCCGAGTCGGATGCTCCCACACCGACAGCATCTTCGTTCAGTCAAGTTCACGAGAACGAGGCATCAATGTCTTCGTCTAGATTTCTATCTCTCATGGATGACCCAGCGTACTCTACGATGACATCCGTGTCCCAGACGTCCACTGCGTACAGCAGGCACGAACCCACAGTTGCGGAGGAAGATGAGGATGACCTTGGTCTTGGCAACTCATCGACCCGGGCGAAACGGCCGCCAAGCGACGCTGATGAGAAGTCAAATACGCCACGACAGACCGAAGAACCAAAAGAGGAGGCAAACCCAACGCAAGACACAGAAAAGCCAGGTAAGCTTGCACCGTAAAGCAATGGCTGGCCTTAGTGTTGACGAACAGGACTATAGAACCAAAGCCTGCGTCATCTGGTTCTTGGCTGAGCCGTCTTTGGAGGCGTGACTCTGCTCCCGCTCCGATCAGGGCCAATCTCGGAGAGCAGACGACCTTCTACTATGACAAAGAGCTGAAACGTTGGGTCAATAAGAGCGTGAGCATTCTTACACGATCTTCGACTACTGTGTCTCATTGCTCCTCCCACTGTAGGCTGGACCCGAAGCTGCCAAGCCCGCTCCGCCACCGCCTCCGCCGAGAGCACAGACGGCATCGCCAGGTCGCTCGCATGCGTCCCTTCCTGCAGGCGTAAATCTGCCATTGCCTCCTGCTCGCCCTGCCACCGCTAATGCCGTCAGCTTTGGCAATGGTCCTCCGAGGCCTCCCATGCGAGTGCGCTCCAATCTTGTGCCAGCAGAGGCTGAGAACGGGTCCGCACCTCCGACACCAGCGTCTGCTACGATGCCGACCACTCCCGGGGTAGGCCCACCTCCAGGTGGCAGGTCAAGAGCACAGGCGAAACGCCCCGTGCGAAATCGATATGTGGACGTTTTCCAGCAGCAGGCTACTTCCAGTTAGACTAGTAGAATAATGTTCTGATGCATTCTTGTCTTCGCTACTTATAATTGTTGCCTGATCATCCGGGACACTGAATTATACTCACTTGTTTCTTGTCTTATGTGCTACTCGAACAGCGGGATCATGTGAAGGGATGAAGGGATGAAGCACCATATGGTGAGGAGTACGTCTTTCATACACGTCCGAACTACAGTAGCAGCCTGAATGGGTAGGCTGCAAAGTGATGAGACTCAGAACCAAAATATAGAAAGAAAGATTGCTCACATCTGTTTTTCTCCTTGAATAAGGAGATTAGGACGGAATACATCACAAAGATCACTCCCGTCCAAAGATATATCTGCATTCGCTGTCTCGACGGAGACATCTGATAGGGCACGATCAGTGTGAGCATCAGGAAGCCAGCTGACAGGGTTCCATCTGGTGAAGCAGTCAGCTTTGCATGGTCAAAGATTCAGTGGATAACACGCACAGATCATCGCAACGACTTGAATCTCCTGGCCGAACTGGTTTTGGTATCCAGGCGCAACCCATTGACCGTTTTGGCCGTTGTAGGGCATGTTGCGGATGCGAACGAACATGTATCCAGAGGTCATGACGAGCATGGTCAAAATGGTGCCGACAGCCCATGTCCAACGGTTCTGCAACACTGGGTACGCAAATCGAATAGCTGCCACTACAAAGAGCGTGCTGAGAAGGAATCCTCCTGCACGCGCGTAGTTGAAAGGTGGCTTATAAGGGATGGGTATCGGGGTATATTGCGAGAGCTGTTCCGCGAGAGGAGCAGCATCGAATCCCCTGACAAGCATGTACCATTTAGTATCTGAGGAGAATGACAGCGGTTACGGGGGAAATAATCACTGAGAGAAGTCGTATGATATTGCGGTAGTCCTCCCGCTCGGCGGACGACGAGGACCTTCAGCAGCAGGGAAGACCTGGACTACTGGTGCAGATTGAAGACCAAGCTGAGCGCGACAAATAAGCCTGCTGTGACAACAATGTCCCAGAAGGCAAAGCATACCTGCTGGAACACTGTCATCCCATTGTCAAAGTCGATGGTTGCGAAGAAGTGTTGGTCTCGTTCCGCAGCCGGCACCTTGGACCACGCTTTCGCGACAGCATTGAACGACGGGTCGAATTCCCTGGAATACCGGGATATTAGCTACCTCTTTGACAGCGAAGATGGCCTTCTTACTTGCATGGCGTGCATCTACGTTTCCTGTCCAAAGCAGTGAACTGAACCGTTGCAGACCACGTCCTCTTCGGATTGGTTAGGATGCTGTATGTGTGCTCGTCCAAGTTTACGACGCCATTGTTGGCAGCGGCCAGTTTGACGAGTCTAGTATGATTCTCTTCGACCGACGCAGCGAGGCAGAACGGCAGCAAGAGAAGGGCGAGCAGCGGCAGCAACATGGCTGCGGGGTGAGTGGTGACAGTGCGCAGGCGCGCAGACGCGACGTGGCCTCATGATCACAGAACCGGGGCGCGTTATAATGCGACGCGATCTGCGAATTGGAATTATACCCACTCGTCCTCCTCGATCTACGTCTCACTAGATCTCCCGCATGCAGGCGACGTAGACACTCATTTACAATGTCTCACGCTCTTCTGTTACGTCTCTTCCTATCGCCGTCATTCTTCACGGTGCATGTCGCGCTGCAATATCTCCAGATTTACGCAGGCAACATCGGCATTACATATTATTTGACGCGGAGGCTGCGGGAGCTTGATACAGAAGAGCTGCGCGAAGTATGGGGATTCATATGGTAGGTACGTTAGGAAGTGCTCCTATAGCTCTTTGACGCGATATGTCACAGCCATTTGCTTGTAACCAAACCGTCGGAGTCGCGAGCCCTAGAATGCTTTGTTGTCGAGATTGCTCATAAATCGACCCATATTGCCATGCTTGTGAGTCCATTGACAAGCTTCTGAGTCGCGCTCATACCGCTTCAGACTCTATGGTATATGCAAGCATATTTGAAGGACATTGGCCCTCCCAGCAATAATCCGCCATCTTTCATGATTTGCCAACGAGTCCTGCATGAGTGCCATGAACTCATATTTGGCGACATACCCCCTCAATCGACTGCTCCGTATTCGAGCATACACCTACCAACACGACTGGGCCCCATACGCAGGAAAGTCAGACCTCACGTTCAGCCGGCCCTGGTTGGCATCGGCATGATGTTGGCAGGGATTCCGGTGATGCCGCAGTTGACAGAGATCATGGGGGAGGTCGCGATTGAACAAGGTCGTGTTGACGAAGAAGGCCAAGATATAAAGAGCCTTGAACGAGCGGAGGACGATATCGTTCGAGGTGTATCGGTTGATACCTCTGCGGATGCCGAAGAGGGGAAGGATGGCTTAGACGGTTCAGACGAGGAAGCGGATACACAGCTTGTTGAAGAACCGCAGCCTCTTCGGGCTCATACCAAGTTCCTTGCCAGGGAGCTTGTACCGGGATCTCGTCGGCAAACAGTAGCTGCTCAAACAAGCCCAGCACTACCCATGCATTTAAAAGGTATTCGCAGGTATAGATTGTCAGAAGATCCCTTTGGTCAACAAGATACTTCGCCGCCTACTTCCACCCCCTTCCAGTCGACACCAACCTTTTCTGTTGCAAGACATCGTGCTAAGACCATGAGCATCCAAGTTGCGGATCTACTTCAGAAGTACGACTTTCTATCGCAAGTTCATCTCCTGCGCAGCCATTACTGCCGTTCAGAGGTCTGTTGAGCTCCTCATCATGTTGAGCGTAGTTGGTGTATCTCTTTCATGCAGATCAAGTTCCTACTAGCTCTCGAAAACATTTCCAACCGACTGTTGGTAGTTCCCAGACCAGCTCGTATCAGCGCGCTAAGGGCTGAGCTAACGGGTCTGAATCATGTGCTACCTGCAGAGGTATATCACACCATCTAACGCTGTCACTTGTATCCTCATTCATCTCTGTACAGGTCTGCATGCCGATGTGGTGCGGCTCCTCCGACACACCGGTTCCTCCGCAGGGCGTACCCCAACCACACCATCGGATTGTCCGTATACCCCCAGGTGAGAGCGTAGTGCTCAATTCAGCGGAGCGTGCGCCATACCTGCTACTCATCGAGATTCTGCACGGCGACCTGGATTTTGACCCTGCCAAGCGGAACAACAAAGAGATCCTGAAGAAGATCGTGTTGAAGGAGGCTGAACGGAAGGGTTCATCGAAAGATTTTGTGACCTTCACGGGCAATTTGTCTGCGGCGAAACGGTCAACAAACCCGCCAGAGTCGGCGACCGTGGTGGAGGAGACCATCGGTATAAACAATGAGGACGTCGTCGAGAGCCCCACAGTTCTTATTTCCACCTTCCCTCCAACGCCTGTATCTCCGACCCCGCCTGAGGACGATGAAGAAGAAATCGATCTCGTAGAGCAACTCTATGGTGAGGATAACTCCCTTCTTAACCGAGAGGCAGACCTCTCGGACTCAATCGTCCTTCCGCCGCCTCCCAAGAACAAGGAGCTGGATATGGCGACATGGTCACGCTCAAATTCTATCCCTCCAACCCCTGCAGTGGAGAGCGATTTGGCCAGCCATCACTATCCTACCCTTGATACGACCGGGGCTGGTCGTCTGCTGATGAGTTCCACGTCGCAACAGCCAAATCCCACAAATGGTCATACTTACAATGGTTCGCGAGCGCTCTCAATGGATGAATACTCGGAACGCATGCGGACGGCAGCTGTGATGCTCGCTCAGCTCAATGCCAACCTCATGCGCGAGGCTTCGCCTTTAGTGCAAACACCGTCATTGGAGTCGTCTTCCCTCGCAAGTCCATTCCGGTGGCTGACCGACACACCTATTCTCACTGTTACTCCTGGTAATGACGACGGCCCGAGCACACCTGCACCCTCATCTGCGCCTGTTCCGGCGCCGATGAAGCTGCAGCCGACGGAAGCAGCGGCTATCAGAGAGAGGATCATGGGCGAAATGTTGGCATTAGAAGAGGAGCGTATGGCTCGCATGCGAGAAGGAGAGAGTATGCTCGCGATGGGAGAGAGCAACGGGGGCATGAGGACAGCGGAGGATGAGCGAATTATCCGGAAGGAGCTCAGCAAAGCAGATCCATCCGCCGCAGTGTTTAGCGAGTCTTGGGCAGCAAAGAAGGTCAGCATTCCATTCCGATATTTTGAAGACTACATCTGGCCTAATCGCCGTCATAGAGTCGCATTCGGCAATCTTCGCCCTATGGCCACTTAGGTGAGTTCGTTTTGTTGAACAGGATTGCGCCTCAATTGACATCAGCTAGCTACCTGGGACTGCGCTTCTGTCATCGTCAAAACTGGAGGTGATCTGCGACAGGAACAATTGGCTGTCCAGCTCATTCAAGAGTTCGACAAGATTTGGAAAGAAGAGAACTGTCCGTGTTGGGTGCGATAGTACGTTAATCCGCAAGTGATGCAAGTTCGCACTCATCAACGCCGTCCATCGCCAGTTTCCGAATACTGATTACTGGGAGCACGTCTGGTTTGGTGGAGACCATTACCGATGCTGTCTCAATACATTCAATCAAGAAAGCGGAGTACGCCCGCAGACTGGCTCAAGGCCGGCTAGGTCATGTTAGTATCTTCGACCACTTCAGAGTGGTAAGTGTCGCTTTTGTCCCAGAAAACTGCATCTTGACGCAGGTCATAGACTTACGGTGACCCATCCTCTGCCAAGTTCGCTCGAGCACAGCGCAATTTCGCAAAGTCGTTAGCTGGTCCGTTAATCGATCAGAGATAGTCGCTTCGCGTGCTGATGCCATTATACAGGCTATTCTCTTGTTACCTACTTCCTGCAGATCAAGGATCGGCACAATGGCAATATCCTGCTTGATCGAGACGGACACCTTATTCACATCGACTTCGGCTTCATGTTGTCAAACTCGCCAGGAAACATCGGTTTTGAGGCAGCTCCTTTCAAGCTGCCTTTCGAGTACATCGAGGTGCTTGGTGGTATCAATAGCAAGCCGTTCATGGAGTTCAAGAGACTTTTCAGGGAAGGCTTCGAGGCTGCGCGGAAGCATTGCGATCGAATCGTCAGTGAGTATCACTCCGGTGGCGACAGAGGCTTCTGCTGATCTATCCGACAAAGCACTCGTTGAATTGATGCAGAAGGGTGAATGACATTCACAACTGCGCACTATTGTGCTCTGACATATCGTTGACAGACTCTACGCTACCCTGTTTTGTTGCCTTGGGAGAACAAACTTCCGTGCAGCTCCGGGAGCGATTTGTACAGGGTCTCACACAAATCGCCGTAGTAGAGCATGTCAATCGACTCATCGAGTCGTCTCTTGGGTCCAACTGGACACGCCTGTATGATTCGGTATGCAACGCTTCCACCCTGGTCCGTCAACGCTGCAAGCTGACCAACCATCTCCCATAGTACCAGTATTATTCTCAGTCTATATTCTAGGGACTCTGCAGGACAGGACAGTGCAGGTTATTCAGACGAAAAGACAGATGATCATGCATACGCTTGCTTGCTACCCCTAGTCACTGCGCAAGCCGCATCGATTTCCTTGCCATAATTTACCCATCGAGGATGATACAAGCTCTCAATTATATTGATCCAAATCAAGTGAATGACAGATTGTCCAGCTGACAGCGAATATAGCAAATAGATTATGGATATACAATGAACAATGTTCAGAACATGTCGTCGTAGCGCTTGGTGCAACTGTACCACTCGTAATCTGAACAGGGGGGGATGTGAGCGGGACTGGACAGAGCGTGAGGGGAGCAGCACTGACCGAAATTGTCCTTTGGATCGCACCAGCAGTGTCCCCGCTGGTGCAGTTCGCCCTGTGGGCAGTGTTGGAAGGGGTTGTGACGATATCCTGCCCGAAGAATCCGTTCAGCGACAAATGAGTAACGAGATGGCGGAGTGCAATTAATACCGACCGATCTCGTTGAAAAAGTGGATCTGCTCCTTCTTCGCAAAGAGTGCTGCGCCAATACTGTGCACGGGTGCGTCGCCCCATCGCTTGAAAAATTACTACCATGAGAATCCCGCTCGTTTGGATTACATGTGGACTGCGCACCTCGTAGTAGAACCCACCCTTCGAGTCGAGGAACTCGAAGAACTTGGAGTATGCTTCACTGCGCCAGAAGTCCATGTCTGCGATCTCGAAGTTGCTCCAGACTGCGCACGCATCGGCAATCGTAATCAGTGATGTTAGCTTGATAACGACAAGAGGGATGCGGCATACAATGGCAATTGTTGTAGCTCTCACCGCCATCGTCGGAAATGAAGGCCATCGCGTTGCCCTCAGGAAGGTACTCCGGGTGTTGTTGGGTGAATTCTGCGGATGCGGGATGTAGTGTCAAAGCGCAGATAACAGCGCAGGCGGTACAATGCACGCACCTTTCACCGCGTCCCAGAGAGTGGGAATGGTAGCGGGGTACTCATACAATGAGAGCGTGAAACCTGTTCCAAGTGATTCACTCATCCGTTCCTGCTGACAAAGTTCATAACTCACCGTAGACTTTGTTCTCCTCTTCCATCAGCAGGAACGGCTACAGAGAAAAATGCATGTCAACGTCGAGCCGTGCGTCAATTCTAGATATGAACGCACATCGTAGTCGAGATCACAGAAAAAAGTGACATCCGGCCTATAGCCAGCAACATAAGGCTGTCAGGGAACGTTAAGTTCAGATAAGCAGGCGACGCACTCTATCCGCCAGTAGTAGCGATACTTTTGAAGCAGCTCGTGACGGTAGAAGAACTAGAAAGATGATGAATGAGCATGGGTTCATGGAACATGCGCCTTCGGACGGTGCATACTCACTCCAGAATTGAAGCGGCACATGTTGCGGTAGCTAACATAAGTGTGAGCAGTTAAGAATGAGAATGAGAATGATCACACCATATACGCACGGTACGCTACCTGTAAGCAGGACATTGAGGCTAGTGACTTCGGACGAACGAGCAGGGCAACGTACCTCCATAGATCACCTTGTTGTTAATCATTTCCTTTCGCGCCGCCTCGGCCTTCGTCTCGTCAATCGAATCGGGCTGGTACCAGTCGTCGCGCGAGATAAGCCCGAACTCGACTTTGGCGTCCGTGAGGGCAAGGATACGACTACGTCAGACAGCTCGGTGAACACTGAATACACTAATTAACAGAAGTGCTCCACCTCTTGAACTCGTCGCTGAATGGCTCCTCGTTGAGGAATACATATGGATACTGGTACTGTTTGTTGAAGCGGTCCTCTATATATGCGCGGGTCTGAGGCTAATTCGACATCTGGACGGGATGTAGCACGCACCCATTTGCTTCACGCTGGTCACCATACCATTCAGGTCACTGTTCCGTGCCAACAGCACGAACGTAGCGTTCGCGCGCCGCCCGTCATATGCTGCGGTACCGTGTCCAGGGTAAGGATGCACAACGTCGTTCGTGGAGCCCTTGAACTGCTCGGCTATGTGAGAGATGGATGTCGCACGGCCGTAATCTTCGTGTGAGAAGCTGAGGATGAAATGCAGACTGATCTGTTCCGCCGCGTCAACGTGGGCCTCAGGTCAAGCAGCATCACGGTGGGCTCACAATGATGGCCAGCACCAGAGCCACGTATCGCATAGGCGTCATCATGTTGGGCGACAAGCTGCGAGCGCTGATGAGGCGCCTCGGAGAATGAGAGATGAATATTGAATGGAGAGGATGGCGGAAGCAAGCCAGCCGCTGTGGACACGATCACAGGAAACCGATCATAGCGCTCCTTTATATTGATGGCTGTAGGCGCCCGAGCAATACATGTAAAAACCGACGTAGGATACGTGCAGAATATTCATCAAACCAGTTGCAGGCCGCGACCCAACAACATACAGTATCAAGGAAAGTGGATATAGCGGCGAGGGGGACAGATTCAGATGTATCTCCCACTGGAGGATTGCTCGACGACGGCCAAAGCGCAGCTCCGCCCGTCCTCGAATGAGCACGGGCTTACGCACCATTCCCGGCAGTGCTCGGCACTGTATCCTCCAGGCTCCTATGCGCCTGCAGATCACGCAGGACCGTCGGGTCAACTGCGACAGCAGAATAACGAGTTAGAATCGTACACCATCAACTGAGCAACGCCGTACCGGGGAGGGCACTTTTCCGTCTGGAGTGCAGTCCGCCCATTCCTGTTGGTGAATGCTCGCCACCGCCCACCTCAGGGAAGGGACGCTAGATCACGTCTGCGTTCAATAATCCTGCCAGCCAACAGGACTAGCACCAGCAACCGCGCTTACATCTAGTCCTGGATCTGCCATCGGCACCCGCTCGATCCCGGATTCATCTAACTCGCTCATCGGCACCTCCGCATCAATCGACACCGCATTTAAGTCAAGTGACAGGTCCATAATGTCCTGGTCATCGACCGGTGGTGGCGGTGGCGTCGGCGGGTGATCCACGTACCCTTGAGGAAGCTTGCCGCCGCAGTTTTTGAGCGCCTTCTCACGCAGCTTTTGCCATTCATCGAATCGCTCCACTGCGTGTTGTCTCTCCCTATGTGTTACCGATCTCGGTTCTGAATCATTGTGGTATGAAGGAATGAGACGCACTCAAGCTTGTGCTGTTTATACTGCTGCATCGCTTCGTCAAAGAGATCGGGATTGATCTCCATGAAGAGCTTGAGCGCGTTGTACACCATCGCGTGAATCGTTCTCAAGGCCATAGCTTCAGAAGGTAGCCGATCATATACTACACATTACTCACCGGTTCCAGTGTGATCGCGAATTGGTATATAGCGCAGGGAAGACAATGGGCAAGATCACCGATAGATTGTCGCTCATCAGGTTCACGATGTATTCGTTGTTCCAGTACATCAATGCACGCTCGGCGACCTGGAAATGCTGGCTGTTGATACATCGCGCGAGTTGTTGGAACAGAGGCACCTGGATCTTCTGGAACTCGGCCGGATCGATGACATCCAGGACCTCCTCCATCTCGCTGAGAAACATCACCTCTTTTGGCGAGTTCACTTTCGGCCAGTACTTGAGCAGGCCAAGAACGACCTCCTCCGCTAGTGAAGCATCCTTCTCCAGAAACTGCACCACACAATATGCGAGCTGTGGATGGTACATTGATAGGCACTTCACCTTATGCAGGGGGATGAGTACCCGCATCAAGAAGGTCTTGTGCTCCTCCTTTAGTGGAAGTGCAAATCCATTGATGATAGACCCCAGGATCTCCAGCAGCTCGGCAATACCGTTGTGTCGTTCGGTTTCGTATATGAAGTGGAAGAATACGTTGTTGATGCTCCGCCGAATTGGCGCGCGGAGATTGAGGAACTTGCCATACATACGATGCAGAGTCGTCTTCAGGAAGTCGCGCTCCCGAGGATCCTCCGAGTCGAATAGCTCGAGCAGGTTCAACACAAAATTCTGGTCGATGTACCGCTTTGCAATGTTGGGGTTGAAGTCGGGGCTCTCGACAAATCGCAGGAAAAACTCGTACACGATCTTGAGATGAGGCCAAGCGAGCTCAAGGACGGGCTCATCCTCCTCAGGGTCGAAGGCGTCACCTGTTGGATTCACAGGAGGGGGTATAGAGCGAAAAAGGTTGGTGGCAAACTGAAGAGACTTCGGGTAAGCAGCATGGCACAGACATCGGGATAGATAGGACGCACCATCTTGACTACCTCTGGGTATACGGCTTCCGTGATGACACCGCGTTGAGTAGTGATATACTCCAGCATCTCATGTAGCGTCTGAGTCTTGATTTGTTTGCCCTTTAGCTCCGAGTTTGCGTCATTGAAATCAAATAGGACAGCACACTGGTGAAGCTTTTTGATGAACAACTGCGGTCGCTCGGCAGGAGGTGTCTCTGCACGCGATTGGTTGAGATGGACGGTAGGGCCGCGAATCGCCTCACTTACCCATGAAGGGCGGCAGCCTCTCGATCTCGACCTTCTCCGTGACGACGAAGCGGCTACTCCTCTGTTTCCTGGGCGGCTTGCCCACGATAGGGATTGTGTCCTTGGGTCCCGCAGGACGCAGTCGGTTCAAACTTGCGCGTGTTGGCGTGAGAGGGCCACCAGCAGAGTCCATGACCAATGAGTGTCTCGAGGTCTGGTCAGCTGAGGCGTCGGGGCTGACTACGACGATGGGCGGGGCGGGTGATGCCCTGTCGGGCGTGACATACCTCCGATCTACATTCGCGGAAGGGATGGAAGTGGCAGAGGACGAACGATTAACGGAACCGTTAGAGAGGGAATGAGTACTGGTGTTGTTGAGATGGTTTAAGCTGGCGACGGCCGACGTGGGCTGAGGTAACGGCTTTGTGCTGTTCGGCGGAGGAGGCGGTGGTGGGGAGGCATTGGCGACAGCGATTGCGGACGGCTTGGAGTCTTTGTTCTTGGACGAAGCCGAATCCTGGGACTTACTTCTAAGCTGGAGAACAACGGAGGCGTCAGAGCGCGCGGGGGATGCACGACAGAACAGATGTATTGACCAGTGTCTTCTTGAGGCCTTTCATGGCAGGAGGCGAGGCACGTCAGCCAAGTACGTCGTGCTGGTCGTGGCGTGGTCAAAATAAGAGCAGCGAGCGGCGATGGAGAGAGGACTGTGTACGGTGTTGAGGACAGTGCTCACAGCGAGCATCGATCAGCCGCAACACAGCGAAGTGTGCGTGACGGTATGTCTGACGTGTGACTACTACGGTCACGGTCGTTTCCATAGCCTGTTGTGGTAGCGCAGCAGCATCCGAGGCGGTAACTTTCCCTGCAACGAGGTCGCCCCGGTCGTCCGTCGCAAGGTCTCCGTTCACTCTCTTTTCTACCTCCCACCATGGCCGGTAGCGTACTCTTTATTTGAACGCGAGAGGCACCATTGGAGCTGATCCGTATTGTAGCTATATACACGGTCTATACCTCCCCGAACCACCCGCCTATTCCGAATCATCTGCCAACCCTCATCGTAACGCCACATGGTATGCACGAGTCCGCTCACCTGCTTGCCTACTCACAACTGCGTACGGGTGGTGAACAGGGCAGCCATCTAACATTCTGTACTCATACCTTCACACCAACTTTGTACGTGCCGCTCTGAGCCACGGTCTCGGACACTGCTCACGACTCACTACTAGAACACCGAGAACTACCTCTTGACACCGTCCCCACAAGGCGACCTCTGCGTAGCGAAGCTCTTTCCCCCGCGTCACAATGCCCCCGGCAAGGCCACCGCCTCCGATCCTGGCCACTCTGGCCCGTCCTCATCGCGCATCGTGCGTTGCGAGGCCTCGCGTAACCTCAAGTGGTCCATCACCAACACCGGCGTGCTAACGCCCATCTACAAGCTGGCTTTGCCCTCCCCCAACTCCGCCGACCTCCCTCTCTTTCAGATCTCTAAGCCCAACCCAAACGCGACGTTCTGGAGCATGTTCTACTTCGCCTATGCCGGGCACAACATCCCCCCGAAGCGAATCGAGTTCGGGAAGATCATGAAGAACCCGCCAGGCCCGAATGGGGGAGGCACGCGGATCAGCATCACAGGCAAGACGCCCGAAGAGAAGGCGGTGTGGCAGACGCTGGGCGAGGGCAACGAAGACTGCGTCGAGTGGGTCGTTCTCTGTGCCGCGCTCAATCTGCTCGAGTGCGTGTTCATAATAACATCTGCTTCCATTCGTGTCTGATAAAACGTACGCGCAGTGACGAGATCGTCAAGGCAGCAGAGAAGAACCCGCCGCCGCCCTCTTCGCCTGGTCCGGCCAACAGCCAACCTCCTGCAGGTCCAGGAGGCCGCCCCGCGCCTGTCGCGCTACGTGACCCTGGGCCCACCCCAGTCGGCACAGCGACGCCTCCAACACGTTCTGCCACTATGCCGCCCAATCCCCAGCAGCAGCCGCTCACGATGCGCGGACCCGGGCCCGTTGCTCACGGCCCCCCGTCCCACGGCGCGCCCGCACACGGGCCGCAATCTCACGCTGGCCAGCCTCCGCCGAGCCCGCACGCACCCCATCCCAACGGGCCTCCTCAGCCTGTCGGCCCTCCATCGCATGGTGCCGCCCCGCCGCCCAGCCTCATGCCCGGCGGGAGCAGAGGACCGCCCCCGCCGGGTCAGCAGTCCTACCCGCCCCAGGGACCTACGCAAGGATACCCACAGCCACAGCAGGGCTCCCCTCAAGGATACCCCCAGCCCCAGCAGGGCTCCCCTCAAGGATACCCCCAGCCCCAGCAGGGGCCCCCTCAAGGATTCCCCCAACAAGGCCCACCGCAAGGATTCCCGCCACAAAGCCATTCACCGCAGATCCTCCCTCCACAAGGTCACCCGCCCCAGGGCTTTCCCCCGCAAGGCCATCCGCCACAAGGATTCCCCCCGCAGAACCACATGCACCATGGGTTCCCGCCACAGGGCCCGCTGCCGCTGCAAGGATACGCGGGGCGTGGACCGGGATTCGCGGCGCCGCCCATGATGCAGCGTCCTGGTATACCTGGCCAGCCGGGCGCATACCCTCCAGGCGCGTACCCCCAGCCGGGCGCTGGACGACCTGGCATGCCGCAAACCGCGCCTGCGCGGCGATATTGATCGTGGGTGGTGTTTGCTAGCGGACCGAAGTACAGTCGGGCCAACACGATCTAAGGTGTTCACGTCCATCGTTTATATATTAGACCAGATACGTCATTCTCGGTCCTTGTTCTTTTCTTCTCTAAATTGGGTCACCTCAATCTTGATTTCATCTTCGTGTGCGTCGGTCGCGCTTCTCTTTCTATTCAGGGCGGACTTCTTGTGTCACTTGTTCCTTCCCTCTTCCTCCTTCCCTGTTGCTCCATCGACCTTGTGATTTGTTCATTATCACCTCCATGCTCACTTTACCTTTCCCTCTCTATCTGCAGAGAACTTTCTCCCGGCATCTGCATCCGAATCACAAACATTGCCACGGCGCAGAGAAGGCACACAATAACGCGGCTGTAATACATACACACATACATATGGTTCCGAGTGTTCACACCTTTTACGCTTACCCATGTTGCGAGCAGTGCATGCTCGACGCACGCGCCGCTCGCGGTAGACCTCGCAATACATAAAACAGACAAATTGTAGATTGCCGCTTATGAGCTCTTGATGATCGCCTCGATCGCATCCATAGAGAGCGCTGTAGAAATGTCAGTGACAAGTACGCTTTAAGAACAAGGTAGGCTATAGACTCACACTTGGGGCGCTCGATCGGGAGACCGAGGGCTAGATATGCTGTCAGAGGGGCTCTGCATCATCAGCAACCGCATTGGGAACGTACCGCGGGACCAAACGAGCTGTGTGAGACAACCGAGTGCTGGACAACCCTGATCAGATTATGCTGATGAACTCATTCGCGATGCGAACTCACCTCGGGAGACACCGAAGATGACGGTGTAATACTGCTCGGCAACATCAAGTCAGCCGCAGCCTCCGCGAGATATACAGCATCGCAACGCACCTTGAACTGCGTTAGCCCGTAGTGGTATAGCACGCAGCCAGACGCCGCATCGACGTTCGGGTAGGGGTTCTTCGTCTACATACCACACCCAGTCAGACCACATCGGACTCATACGTGACGATGATTCATAACTGACCTTGCCGTGCTCCTTCAGCACCGCCGGAGCAACGTCATACGTCTTCCTCACGAGCTGGATGACAGGGTCGTTGAGCAGCTTGGGGCGTGTCTCGCAGAACTGTTGGAGCGCGATGAAGCGCGGATCAGGGTTGCGTAGCACGCCGTGGCCGTAGCCGGGCACGACCTGTCCGCTTTTGAGCGTGCGCCAGAGGAATGCCTTGATGTCCTCGTGCGTGACGTTGTCACCGATCTCCTTCTGCATGTTCAATTGCCAGCGGAGCACCTCCTGGTTGGCAAGACTGCAGTGCGCGTGTCAGCATATGTGCTATCGTTTCGGCATGTGATTGGCGCACGCACCCATGGAGAGGGCCTGCGAGCGCATAGAGCGCGGCGGAGTATGCGAGGTACGGGTCCGAGAGCGTCGAGCCGACGAGGTCTGTGGCAGTATGTCAACAACCACCTTCCTGCGCAAGTGAGCACTCTACGCACGAGAAGTGTGAGCGGACGCATTTCCACCCTCGTGGTCACCGTGCAGGGCAATATACAGACGGAGATATTCCGTGAGGTCGTAGTTGTCCCCATACCCGAGCATGTTCACGTAGTTACCTAACGCGCCACATATGAGCATCAAGATGCGTAAAATTCGCTCAAGCACACTGACCGACAAGGTCAAGGTCTTTGTTGATCCCAGGAAGGGGCTTTCCGGGGTTGTACACATTACGGTATATGCGCGCAGCCAGGGCGGGCAGGCGCGCGAGGAGGTTTATGCTGTCCTCGAGCGCATAGTGCCAGTACTCTGTCTTCTTGATGCCGCGCTCATACGCTGCGGCAAATGCGCTCTCCTTATTCAGCGCGGCCACACCCATGCCGAGCTGCGTCATGGGGTGCAAGTCCTGCGGCAATCTGGGGAAGCTTGTCAACAACTTACGGGCGGCCGATATTTAGGAACGCGTACGAATCGATGAGCTTGACGATGTAGTCAGGCAGCTCGCCTTTTTCCGCGAGCTCGCGCGAGAGCTGGCGCGTTTCTGCCTCGGTGGGGACCTTGCCGGTGAGCAGAAGCCAGAGCATGCTCTCTGCGATTATCTCCTTGCCACCAGGTGCGGCCGGGAGCACCTTTTGGCAATCGGGAATGGACTTGCCGTGGAAACGAATACCCTATAGGAGAGTTACATTTTTTGTCGTTACGTTGAGCAAATTATCATGCCTCCATAGGATCAAGGACGGATGCTTCCCAGAGCATGGCCTTGACGCCTCGCATGCCGCCAATGACTTGCTCGACCTGAGGTAGAAGAGATCAGCGAAAATTCTATTTAAAGCTAGTCCTACAAGCGTACCTTGACATCGCCAATTACCGTAGCCCCATGTTGCGCTTTCTGTCGCAGGAATGAGCTATCGGCCTGAGTGTCGTACGAATGTAAGTTCGCTCACAAGCTGCTTGAGGCGTTCCTGCTTTGGAGGAATGACCTCCTCGAGCGCCTCCTTTATTGTCTGCGAGAAGACCGACGCGTCAGCGGTGCCTTCCAAAATGTACAGGGAGGATGCGAGCTTTTGTGGACGCGAATCGCTGTTGGCTGGCGACGCGCTTGGAGATAGACCTGGCGACGAAGGACCCACGGCTGAACATGGCGGACGAGGCAATATTTTAGGTGGTGGTGGGTGGAGATAGAAGGAGTTCGGGGGAGGCAGGGGCGGGAGGCAGGGGTTATATGCGGGGTAGTCTGGGGAAGAGTCCGATCATCCGGGTGCACCGGCAACCGCCTCGCCCGGAACATCCCCATTGGCTGACCCCGCACTCTTCTCCGGACGCAACGTCCCCGGCGACCGTACGGCGCATCACCGACGCCTGCCTTACATGGAAACTCTCCGTCCTCCGCTCCGTCTCGACCTCGCACTCGCAGCAGCAGAGCGTGATATTTCCCCTGGAAGATATTCTTGCTGAGCCAAGAACAACCGCCCAGTCTAAGCGCGCCATGGCAGGCACACATGCGTCTCGACTTGCTCACGTTACCGCTGGCGCTGAGCGCTAATGTGAGGGAAAAAAAGAGGGGAGAAGCGCCCATCCATTCTAGGAAAGCGCACGCGACGTGGCACGACGCGTCGAGCGTGCGCTGTCCGCGAGCTCGCTTCACCTCGGCAATCCTCCTCGTTACGACCATGGCGTCCGTCCTCGTCCCCGTCCTCTATCTTCTCCTCGTTTTCGGCAGTCTCCTCGTATTCAGCTCCTGGTACAGGCACCGCAACGCCCGTACGTCCCGTGCGCTCATCATGTAAGTCTGTTAGCCGAATGAATCTCTCCCCGCTGCAGATAAAGCCTACGAACCGTACTTCCCCCCGCACCGCGAGCGCGACGTCTATGTCTCGCTCATACAGAAGACCGACCCGCCCGCGTCCGATACGCTCCTTAAGGCCGCTCTCGTCCGCCGCGCTATGACCGACGTGAGCCGCATCCTCCGCATTCGCGAGGACAAGCCTGCCCTCCAGGTCCTCCTCCAGAAGGGCTCTATCGGAGACGACCTTTGGAACAGCCTCCTTGCCGCCGAGAAGGAGCTCGAGGCAGAGATCCTCGAGGTCGCCGCGGAGGCGAACACCTTCGTCGAGGGCTGGGGGCAGATCATCTTCCAGACCGCTACAGAGATGCTTCACAACGAGCGCATGCGTGCTCTCCTCGAGCAGCTCCCGACAATGCGCGCGGCCAAAGGTTCGTGTCACGTTGAGCAGTTCGCGACGTACATCTCATTTCGGTCACAGAGCGAAAATACGGGCGAACGTCCGTACCGAAGGTTGACAACGTCCCATCTTCATCGGCAGCTGTCCCATCTTCAGTATCCACTGCTTCCAAAACTCCTGTTTCTCCTGTGCCTCCAGACACGTCTCTCCCTGCCAGCACGACAAACGGTTCGACACCTCCAGGCGCGGGCGCCGAGAGTGTCATGAGCGACGGCGAGGGATCGATCTCGCCCACCTCACCTCGCACGCCGTCCAAGTCCGTGAGTGTGCTCCGCATGACCCGTGATAACTCACGCTCATTTCCCACTTGCCGCAGTCCGCAAAAAAGGCGAAGAAGCGAAAATAAATATACAGTTATAATTCCAGTCGACGTTCACAGTAGTCGTATCGCATATATGACTGAGAACGCTGTTGTCTCTCGTCTATGCGGGCATATACAGTTTAGAGAATGGCAACAGACAGAGAAAGTATACATGATGAGAGAAAGCAAAGCCGATCGAACAACCGTCCTATCCACCACATTGATGTCGAGGCAAGCGCAAAGCATTCTCAGCCTCTAATCACAATCGCCTTCTCTCCCGCACCTGTCCTCGTCCTGCCCGACTTGTCGACGTGGTCCAAACCGAGAACATCTTCCGGAGCGAATTTGTGATCGTAGATTGTATCGTCTGCCAGGAGTGAACGGTCAGTGACACAAACGTGTACATCAACGTTCGTACTCACCGTCCTCGATGTACGACGGCTGCTTGAATGTCGCGACCTGGATGAGCGCGAAGCGGTACTTCGCAAAGTCCTTGTCGGACACGCCTATCCGCACTTGTAGACGCTTCTTCGTTTCCGAGAATTTTTCGCCCTGCGTAAAATAGACCGTCAGGAACGGTCTGCCTGCCGATGCGTAACATACGTACAGGTTTGACCACAAAGCGGAACGGCACACCATGCGTCCGTGAGACATCTTTCGAGAAGTGGAACACGCTGATGACCTTGTCCGCGTCGTCTGCCTCGAGCTCTTCCCTCGGGATTTCCTATAATCCCACTCAGCAAACGCGTTCGCGAGCACGAGCAGCTGCACTGACCTCCGCATACAGCTCCACCGGATCCGGGATATTTCCTATCATCTCCGAGCCTGTGAACTCCTTCTGCGTCTTGCCGTCCTTCGACACCTCAAATACGCGGATCCTGCCCGTCCCACCCGGGGGGAGCTTGACCTGCTTCGAAAGACTTTCCGCGAGATCGTGCACCATGCTCGTCTTCGGCAGTAGGAATGAATGTGTCGACTCCTCCTTGTTGTGGATGCCAGTCCAGATGACCTTCAAACTACGCTTCGTCTCGAGCTCGACGATGCTCACGTCGAGCTTCTCGTACAAGATCACTGTCGTCTGCGGACTGACATAGCTCGGCGAGATGATCTCCGCGACGCTCTGGTTCAGCGAACGCTTGAGGATTGCTTTCGGAGTTTCTTTCGTAGCGTGCGTCGTTGTAAACCGCAGCTTGATTGGGTCATGTCGAAGGTGCTCTCCCACCTTAGCGGACATCTATACAAACAATGCGTGAACGCATGCTTAATGACTTGAACGAGTGAATCACATACAATATCATAGTTCTGCTTCTTGCTCAGAACCAGCTTAAACTCCGGATTATCCTGTGTTGGCTCCTCAAACTTGGGACGGAACATAACCATGACACGGTTCTGCAAGAAGTCGTAGTATTGCATCGGATTCGAGTAGAGGCCCTGGCTCTCGAGATCGTGCACTCTTAAATTTATTATCAGACAAAGGCACCGTTCGGCAACGAGATTTCCACTCACTCTTTCTCACTTATGTCGACCTGGAAGCAAATGATATCACCATCTTGGATCTCGCTTTGAGTGAAGGTCAGCTTGGGCTTCATGACCTCAATCATGCCCGGCTTGATTTCCTGTTCATCATTCCTAAGCGATCGATCACTCAAACGAATCGGTTGAAATTACCTCATACAGCTTCAGTGGCGTCCCCGGTGTCCAACGCATCCGCTCATTTATTATGGGAGCGAGGTCGCCGACTTTGCTGCCTCGCTGTACGTATACTTTACCGACACCGTACAAGTTCTGCTTCGACGTATCGAAGTGCTTGAGGAAGATCATGATAGCACCTGGAGGCACCTCCGGCTGTGGCACCGACGAATTAGCTTAAAGAGGGATTATGAGCGACATATGCGTGCCTTAGCAGGGTCGGGGATGACGTCCAAATAGAGTCGGAGATCATTCTGCTGTCGAACGGCCATGTTGTTTCGGATGACCTCAACCGCTGAACAAGGCATTAGCAGGACGAATGAACAGGTAGCTATACTTCCTCACTGAGACCAGGTTCGTTCTCCGGTATGTGAGTATCTGGACGGACCGTCTTGTTCTGTCGATTTACGAGCACCCAAAGACGGATCTGGTTCTCAGGGTAATTGAAGTGCTGAGCGACTCTCGTCTTGAAAGTACTGTATGTCTCGTTCTTGAGGACACGGAACGTGGGGAGGTCAGATGGAGGCCAGTTCCTCTCATCAAACGTCGCCAAGTCAAAGCCTTCGTGGTGAGCGAATGTATCATCCGTGATGACCTGGTTCAATTCGATAGCTATGAGTAACTCGTCTGACGCACGGAAGAGCAGCTCACCTTGGCAGTGAGGTATAGATGCTGCTCCTCCCTCTCACGCTTCTTGGCTTCAAGCTGCAGTCGCTCTTCGTCAAGACGTTTCTCTATGCGCTGATAAGCATGCAACGTTCAGATATTGACCGGAAAAAAGCTGCTTACTGAGATGTGCGGGCGTGTCCTCTTCTTTGAAAGGAGCGAGCACCTCGTCGATAGCCGACTCGCGGATATAGACCAACATATATGCATTCGTGAACCGTTTCATCGCTCGGACTTGGTTGCGCTGCATCGGCGGCACTAGACCATTCAACGGCTCGCCACCATAGTTCTCCTCCATGACCTCCCGGTCGGTCACGGGTGTTACGCGGTCATCATCGAACTTGAGCCATCTTGTCTCGCGGTCAGGCTTGATGAGCGCGAAGTAGTGTCCGCCGTGCAGGTCGCCCGAGTGCACGAGTACGCCGTGGAGTTTGTACACCCACGGCTGCGACCTGTCTGCACCCTCGTCGAGGAACTCATCGAGATCGATCTCAAATGGGAACTCATGGCGGTCGTTGATCTATTTGGAGAATCGGTTACCATATCTCAGTTTGAAGAATCGATGGCATCTACCTTCACCATCGCATCACGCTGGATGTCGTACTCGAAGCGCTTCAGCTGCAAATGGAGGACCGGAGGGAACGATAGGAAGACGATGCCTTTCTTCGCCTCCTGCAGACCATACCCTTCCGCTTGGTACTTGTTCTCGCCCTCCAGGGTTTCTACCGCTACATAATCTCTGAATGACTCGTACAAATTCTTCATCCCCTTCACGTTCAGTTGGAGGTCTTTGCTAATCGTGAGAGTTGATTCTATTGCAGAGAGTATCACATTACCGTTGAACTCCTCAATCCTGGATGACTCAAAGTCGACATTGACACACTTGATGTAGCTCTTCATCTTCCCGACAAACAACTTCTGGATGGCTCCTTCCGCGGCTGTGCCCTGGGGAGGACATTCAGAATATCCGTCACTATATTTGCACTTTTAATGCTTGCTTGCCTTCATTTTCGTCTCTAACTTATCCTGCAATACACGATTGAACTCTTGTACGTCGTGCTGCAGGAAAGAATCCAGTGATTTCCATCCAAACGACTTTGTCAATTCCGTGGTTCCTGCAACGATCCCGTGATTTAAAATCACTAAAGGTCAGGAATTCTGTGCCTCAGCTCACCGACGGGTTGGTCAGATGTCTGCAGATGGTAGAATACACGCTGCAAAGCTAACGGGACACTTTCAGTAGGGTGTTCATCCTCGGTTGGGATCTGATATACAGCCTAGACAGGGGTTAACGAGGGTACGAATAGGGGGATTGACAAGGCAAGCTCACTTTGCGGAAATATCGTGTGCAGAATAGAGATTGCAGTAAGGAGTTCATGTAACACGTTGCACCTTGATTCTTCAGACCAACGTAACCAGTCTCCTTTTTGGAGTCATAGCTGATGCATAACGGTTAACGACGGTCGCACGGCAGATAGCAACGGCACTGACTTGACGAAATTGTGCCACAGGACTCCGGTAGGATCCTCAAGTACGCGCACGAAGACACTGACGTCAGCGGCCTCATCTTCGATCGTTGGTCGGTTTTGGCCTTCTTGGACATTGAACAACTTGCGCAATTCGCTGAAGCGCGTGAATCCCCAGTCACATTCTTCCGCGATGAAACGGTGATGTGCGTCTGCTTTCCATAGGGATATAAGCAATGGGCAACGTACGGCATGAATAACGTACGGCTAACGGTGTATATCGTAGGATCATGGGGATTAGAGATAACAAGCGCGAACTGTGCACAAGCATGCCATCCCTCGGGCGCGCGCTTGGGGTCCGCATAGTCAAGGTACACCGAAACGGTATCATTTGGTGGCGCATTGGAATTGCCGAACGGGAAGAGCAGTATTCGCCTTTTGAACACGGCATGAGCTACAGATTGACCGTATCGGGGTTTCAAAAACACACCATCGATGTCCTCCACACTCGAATTCCGGACTGGTCAACTTCTTATCCAACTTCTTCCAGTTGGTGAGGTGCCATGTGTACACTTTGAACTCCTTTACATCGTGGCCCAAGTCGGGCATGTGCTTTGCAGCAAATGCCTCGTCTGCGTAGATAGACATGGCGAGGACGTCAACCAAAGGCTACGCCAATGTCAGCTTCAATACTCACGGTCGAAGACCGACACGGGCTCCTCGATGTCCATAGGCGGTCCTCCGTTGACCTTCTCGTCAAGCACATCCATTGTGTCGCTCTATGACGCATCCCCGAGTCAGTATCGACCATTACGGAGCGACTGCAACGAACCATGTCAAGCTAAGCCTTGATGAAAGACAGCGAATGTAGACCGGATGCGCAGCCCGCCGAAGATAGCCAAAAGTTGATACAGACACGAATGGTATGCAAGACGATGAGCAGCGGTCGCAGCTGCCTGTCCGGGCAGGGCCGTCCTCAGCAAGGCCGTGGGTAAATTTCCCGCCTTATTAGTCAGGTGCGCGTCTCTGCGCGCGCAGTCTGCTCACAATTCTTCGCGCTCTCTTTCCTTCACCTTCACACTCAGCGGCTTGTTGAAAACACGTCTAAATGCTCCTCAGACCATTTCGGCCTTTTTCAAACAGACTCTCTGCTGAAGGATGCTGGATTTGTGGCGGTAGCTAGGGGCTGTGAGTGTTTTCGAGTTAACCACACGATCCTTAAATTGTCTCGACAGGGAAGCTCTGCTTCCACCAGCTTTTCCGCTGTTCACTGTCGGTAATGAGTCAAAATCGTGTAAGAGAAAGCTCTCGGGTTTGGATGTTGCTTGGTTCTGTATTGGGATCGAGCAAGTTCCTTCCGGGCCTGAAAGCATCGCTGAAGTGCCAAAGACAGTGCCTTGCCTCAGTAGCTCTGTCATGTCCCACTGTTAGCTTACATTCTGTCTACTGCTATCTGTCTTTTGTTTATTGCATTCCTTGTGCATGTAGGTGTGGTTTATGAGAATGCATTGTTGCAATGACCATCAAGCTACCAACGTTCTTTCGCTCGACGGTGTCTACCAACTGGATGGCTGAGTGGTGTCAACGCGTGTCCTACTGCTAGTTTTCCACAGGTAGCTTTCTATGGCCTTGCGCGCTTCGCATTCGATTCCACCATTTGGCAAGTCGGCCTCCATTCCTCGCTCGCAGACATATAGCTTCGATGCACTAGGCGTGTCTAGCGTTAGAACACGTTTCGGCCCTATAAAATCTCCGAGGTAAGGTTTCGTCGCGAACCTTGCAATCTGAAGAAACCTCGTATGGTCCTTATATCTCCGCAGCTTTGGCTCTCAGTTGACGTAATTGAGTTCGTGTGATTCCCCCGACATTCCCAATGCAGGCCGCAGCGAGACGCGCGCCGCGAGCACGACGCCCGCGCCTGTCCCTGTCTTTCTCTCCGTCCTCTTCTTCCTCCTCCTCGTCGCCGTCGTTGCCCACGCTCTGGCTGCAATACGTTCAGCCTGCGAGGAGCGCACGTTATTCCCGTCAGCCACTGTTTCCAGCGGTCAGGCACGGTAATCATTGTCAAATAATAGCCATCATGCCGGCCTTCGATCCTGTTCGCGATGCCGTCCTCAACTCACCCTCCATCCCCCCTTCTCTCCACTCAACGCCCCGTATGCATATCGACCTTCCGCTGAGCTCGTACCCGTCCTCTTCTTCGGCCACGAGCAACACACCATCCAGCTCAGGTGCAGGTTATGCGCCTTCAAGCTCCAGTGCGTCCACACCACTGACCCGCCGTGCAACCGACCTCTCCGTCCTCCTCAACTCGGATCCACCTTCACAGGATACACCGCTCTTCACCCCAGTCACTCCCAGACCACCCATCAAGCTATCACATCTCCTTCTCCCCACGGATAGTCCTGCAAGCATGAGCGTTTCTGATGAGCAAGATGAGCTCTCCAACCTCGCTCCACTTCGCAGGCGGTCCGAGTCCAGTAGTAGCTCTAGCATTCAGGAAGGCTCATACTTTACCTGGCACGGTTCGAGCTCCTCGAAAGCGCCAGTGCTAGCCGGGTCACCCAGACTTGCGCTGCCGGGCTCACTTCCCACTCATCAGGCGCACAGCGGTCCTAGCACGCTTAACAACTCTGTGCCAGTGATCCGTTCTCCCGTGGCGCCCACACTCTCCAACATCGTTTCACCGACGAACTCCTACCCCGCATCTAGTACTTCGCGCCCGTCGTCCTCGCATTCTGTTTCCTCCGATACATCTGCTGTGTCCATGCCTGTGCTGGGAGGTTTGAACGCCCCACGACGTCCCAGCTACGATCAACCCACTGTGCATAGTAGAACACCTGCAATGCCACCACCACCCCAGCCGCGGTCGTCTACGCCACCTTCTATGACGCCTGTACAGCTTCCGGAAGCTAAATCGATGGCACACATCGGAAGGTCCTCCATTCAAAATGCGTTCGCCCAGGAGACTGATATCATGAATCCGCCCCCTGCATTTACATCTGCTGCGAGTCAGAATAGCCAGCACACTGCCTCGCCAGCTTCATCAGAGTTGAAGCAGCGTGCAAAGCCTTCTTCATCTCCTATTTCAGCACCTCGTACCCCGATCCTTCCTCCGAAGCCCTCGCTTAATCCGTCGTCAAGCATGTCTTTCAACTCGTCCCTGCCTTCCGCTTCGTCACTACCGCCCAAACCGGACCGCCCAGAAGGTACAGACGCAGGCCCACCATCGTCCAACATGTTCACCATCAAGCGAAGCAAGGTGCCGTATAATCCCATTAACCGGCGGACGCCCGCTGGGTCGGTGCTCGTGCCACTCTCTTCGACGGAGATGGAGCGATACAGAAATTTCCCTGGTGGCGTGGGCACGATGATTCTGAGGAAGAGGAAGCGGGAGGACGCAGAGAAGGGTACGAGTCCGGGTGTGAAGAAGGACCATGCCGACGTCGATTGGGCCCGGGGAAGGGGTGAGATGACTAGCCAAAAGAGAGACAGCGAGGACATGGAAGACGATGGAAGGAAGAAAAGGAGGAGAACGGGTGATGTAGGGCTTGTAGTCGAACACTGTGAGTCTGCCTTGCTGTATCATGTAGTCTTCGTGAATCTGGCGTACCTCTCCAACTTCCCATCCTATCCCTTGCGCATCGCTTCTTAATCAATTTCATGATCTTAGATGCTGACCATGATGCACAGACAACGCTCGCCCAGACGTTGGCGTGTCTCAGAGGCAGGAGTCGCCTATAATTGGCCTCAAAAGCTTCAACAATTGGGTGAAGAGCGTGCTCATCACGCGCTTCGCGCATCCAGCGCTGGTCGCTGATAGTGAAGCTCGGGGCTCACTTAGGGGACGTGTGTTGGATATAGGCTGCGGAAAGGGAGGCGATTTGACAAAATGGAGTAAGGCAAGAATTAGGGAATATGTCGGAATCGGTACGTCGTCGTCCTTTGTCGTTCATTAGCCATACTCAATGTATGGCAATATGCCCGCGCAGATATTGCGGCGATCTCTGTAGAACAGGCCCGCCTGCGACACATGTCACTGCGTGGTGGACCGCGCTTCGCGGCGTCGTTCTTCGCTCTTGACTGCTATGAGCACGACCTGCACGATGGATTGCCTCCGGCTCTCCTTGCGCGCCCCTTTGACGTGGTGTCTATGCAGTTCTGCATGCATTATGCGTTCGAGAGTGAGAAGAAGGCTCGATGTATGCTGAAGAACGTTGCGGATAATCTGAGATCAGGCGGCATATTCATTGGGACGATACCTGACTCAACTCAGTTGATGTACGTTGCGTACTCACGCCTTCTGGAAGTGCTCATGAATACTCTGCAGGGATCGGCTGGACTCGTTACCGCCAAATGCTGAAGAGCTATCTTGGGGCAATAGCGTGTACAAGGTCCGGTTTGAAGATCGTGCACATCGACCTCTTTTCGGGCACCGGTACTGGTTCTTCCTCAGGGATGCAGTCGATGACGTGCCAGAATACGTTGTCCAGTGGGACAATTTCATTAAGTGCGTGACATCCATTGTATAACCATGTCATATCTAACATATTTGAGTAGGCTGGCGGCCGAATATGGTTTACGGTGTGTATACAAGAAGGAGTTCCACCAAGTGTTCGAGGAACACCATACGCATCCGGAGTTTGGCCCGCTACTGGAGCGGATGAAGGTTGTCGATGCGGACGGGGAGAGTCAAATGGATGAAGATCAGTGGGAGGCAGCCAGTACGTGATGTTTACCTCCGGAATTTCAAAATACTGATGTCCTGCGATGATCTAGATATCTACGTAGCCTTTGCCTTCGAGAAGCGATAGTCGGAGGCATTTCGATATTGATGCGATTGAAATCAGACGGGGCTTTTTCCGCCTGGTATACGATTCATCACGAATGGCCCAAACCTTGCCTCGATCCTGGATGAGCGGAACTGGTTCTTCTTGAAAGTACTATGAGACATTTGCTTCATGTATGATTGAGTGTGGCCTGGTATGACATGGGCTCGGGGAGACGAGCGAAACATACGAAGCGCGGCATGATCGTAAACGTGAGTTTTGAATGGGCGAGCATGCAATATTTGATGATTAAGAGAATAATGAAGTCGGAGTCGCCACAGGACCGACGGCGCGTAGACACAACCTTATGACTATCATATACACTGCATTGGCGATCTTTCGCGGACGTTTCGTCGCACTCATCTCAAACCTCCTTCATGCTGCGCCGATTGTTAGCGCGCCTGCAAAACCGATATGCGATTACTGTTCTCAAACATTTATCGCCAAGTTCACGCATTGAACATCAGTTCACTAACAAAAGATATCATTAATGAAAACATGCACATGCAATACAGGGTTTAGCGAAACAGGAGGAAGGATGAGAGTAGCGAGTCTGCGGATAGTCTGTCCTTTAGACAATGAGGTCCAGGAGTAAAGAAGGCGGAAGCCATCCCGCAGCCGATATTGCACAACATGTTTGGCACGGCACAACAGAGAGGTAGCTGACAGACGATGACGATCAAGGAAAACAGAAGATTGAAGAGAAAGCATATGAGATGAACAGGATGTTAAGCTACCATTCTGTAGCGTTCACAATGTTCAATGCGGAAGATAGCGGAGTAGTGATTGATTGCTGGATGGACAGCACTTGAATGCGCGCGGAATTGTTGAATTGTCTTGAGAAAGTCAACGAACGAGGACGATGGACGGTCAAGAAGTCATGCTTCGATAGGGGTAGAAGCCGGAATCAAAATCGTACGATGGATAGTATACGTTGAGATAATTCTTGATGAACTGACTTGATAATAGATGGTGTGCTTGCGCGACGACGTAGATCGTTGAGGTTAGCGATGGTGAACATTCTGGCAGCGGATGGAGTGAACCGGAATCCATACGTTTGGCGAGGGAAAAAGCTGAAAGTCATGAACTGTAGAAAGTAGGACGGCTGGCGAAATGGAAAACTGGACGAGATCTTCTGATCTTACGTTGCTTGAAGGGACTTGACGATATTCAAACACTGGAAGGCGAAAGACGATGAACAGCCTGTGAATTATGGTGTCATCATTTGGACAAGCGACCGCCATCAAAGGTCTCCGCCCTAACAAGACGGCCGAGTCTCTTGCCCCTGAACGGCACGCCCTTGTTTGGAGGAGGACACGGACTATCCCCGACGTCGACGTCGTCATCGCTCTGCAGACCAACGGCTGGATCCTCAGCAAGCACGTGCAGCCCACTTGCGAGTCCTCCGCGCTTCGAGCGAGCAGCGTTGGCATTGGCGAACCGAGGAGCCGCGTTGGTGATCGGAGCGCTGTTCCTTTTGACGTACTGCGACAAGTGGCTCACAAGCTTGCCTTCGCCGTACGCATACGACTTCGTTCTGCCGAACTTGCCCCTGCGGAATTGGCCCAAGTCCTCCCGGCGTGATTGCGCATAGCGTGGATCATCCATTCTAACGTAGCCGCAGGGCTGGCAGCGAGCTGTGGAGTTCTGGTAGTATCGACTGTAGCCGCCCTCCAAAACATAGACTTCAGGGTAGTGTATCTTGGGATAGACGTGGTTGTTCAACGCGCGATCCTTGGAACGAAGATGTTTAGCGCTGGAGAACGTAATGCGTCAGTATCGAGTGTGCGCATGATAAGACTTGCGGGCTCACAAAGTAGGCGCTCTCTTAACACTGAACTCACAGTGGAAAATCAAGACTGTCTTCTTGTTGGGGTCGCCGCTGATGGAAGGGATGGGTTTGGAGGAATCATCCCTGAAAAAGAATTCTTCAATTCCTGCAGTAGTGTTGATATTGATGGCGCCAAGAATGTGTCCGCCATTGTATTCATAATCGAAACGGCAGTCGATGATGCGGTGAGAAGCAAGCTGAGAGTCGTAAGCACCGTCTAGAAGATCATCCAACTGCAATCATGCGATGAGCATAAAAAGACGCTACGGACAGCGACACTCATACGCACAGTCTTACTTGTAATGCGCATCAATCCGTCTTCTCGGACGCGGTGGCAAGGCAAGATCTTGCCAGAAGCCTCATTGTCGCCGAAGCCGCCAATCTTAGAACCAGAGTTCAAATACTTACTCCTTGGCGTCTCCCTTTCCGCTGCAAACAGTAAGTCGCTATCTTCCCCGAGCTTCCCAGTCTTCAATAACGGCTGGAAATCGTCCTTCCGGACGGCCTTGCCGCGCTGCCGTCTCGCATACGACTGAGCAGGAGAGCTCACATCCGGGCCCTCACTGTCGAATATCCCGTCTTCAGAGTCTAATGACGATTCCATAGTCGGCGGCGGCAGCATGGCAGAGTACGCCCGACGTACTGCGGGCAGCCTTTTCTGAGGATGCACAGGAGCGGGTTCCTCTTCTGGCTCCGTATCGTCGCCCGTCGTGGGATATGCGGAACGGGCTTGCAGGATCGGCTTCTCACCAGGCAGACCAATGATGCTAAGAGTGGGACGCCTCATCCTCCTGTCCTTCGAACCCAGTTGCAGCGGCGCGCCGAGGCTTCCGAGCATAGGCTTCAAAGGCGGAAGTTTGGCGATGCGCTCAGCCTTCCGCGCCATTGGCGACGAGGGAGCAGGCGAAGATTCCAGAGTGGCTGCTTCTTCGAGGAGCCTTTGTTGGACTCGGCGGGCCAATGAAAGACCAAGCTCGCCGGAGTTCTGCCTCTTCGGCTGCGGCGGGCACGGAGTGTCGTTCATGTCGGATAGATCACTCTCGTTGACTTGGGGAAGGTCATGTTCATGGGGCAGGCTCGCAATTCCTGCTGGCCTATCGCTCGATGGAGTTTCCGCATCGTAGAAGAAGTCCTGGAACGTAGATGCTGTTTTATGTGGGACAATAGGTATGGTGGACAGCAGGTTGTCTTCATCGCGGAACGAGGTGATGGTCGGTTCGGTCGCGAGCGGGCTCTCGTCCTGCGGAGCGGACGATGCCATCGGGATGTTGAAGGACGAATCAACGTCGAATGAGTTGTCGATATCCATTACATCCGAGGTCGCTGGGGAAGATGGCATATTCTGCAAGTAGGAAATGCATCAGCAGATTATACGACTATTTCACGGAATGATATTGTGTTTCAGCAATTGCCTCATCGAACGTGAAACTGACCTCAAGGGCACGTTCGTTATGACCAGGGCTCGTCCACTCCATTGGGAGCGCAGGGCGTTGAGGCGGCTTGCCTACACCACTCGTATCCAGAGATTTTCCCAATGAATGCACACTGGAGGCGGAGTTATTGCTCATGTCCTTCCCAAAAAGTCTGGCATTCGTGGTGAATGCGTGCGGACGGATGAAGACAGGCTGTCGAATTGGCTTTGCGGTGGAGGGCACAGCGAGTGGCAGCGCGGGAGACACGTCCATTGGAGTATATGTAGACATGTCCTCCTCATCAGCAAGCTCGAGCGGGTCGCGAACGGGCGAGTTGAGTGACATAGAGGAGGCGAAGGATAGTTCAAGGTCAAGGTCCACATCAACCTCGGATGTCAGAAAGTCGTCCAGTTCATTACGTGTGTTTGATTTGGCGAGCAAGTTGAATCTACGGGTAGGAGCAGGAGGTGGGGCGAGTACGCTCATGTTGCTCAAAGTCCGGCTGCTGGGAAGGTGTGATGGCTGTTCTTCGTCGATGGGTTGGAGGTGTCTCTTGTGCGTAGTGTTCTTGCTATAGGGATGAGGAGCCTCTGTTCTATGGGCGAGTTTCAGCATGGCAGTGGGCAGACACATGATGGAGGAGAGCGAAGAAGGGACCTTAGAGGTGAGGAGGAGAGACAAGTATGAACGGCGACACACAGTGCCAGGCCAAGGAATACACAAATGTCACGGTCGTTCAAATAGAGCGACGTTGGTGGTAGTGTGGCGAGGGAGAGAGGTTATATCGACACGAACCAAACGACCGTGGCCAATGTCAACACGTCGCAGCGTGAGTGGCCTGAGACTCGTGTTCGTATAGCCGGCTGCAGATTTGGGAATCAGCCATCACGATCGGAGCCAGATAAACTATTTGGGCTGGAAAAGGAACACGTTCATGGGCACTGTCCGATGCAACATCGAGTGGCAGTGACAGCACGATTTCGTTGGAATGGTTCAGAGGCTCTGTCTCTTTTCTACTATGAACAATACATAAAGGAGTGGGTTTCACCTTGCATGCAAGCGTCTACGTCAGCGAAATGGCCGGATCCTGACGAGGAAGAAAGTCAGCAAACAGAGGGCTCGGTGGATAGCACACTGGTCTGAGCGGGATGAGACAAAGATCGAGGTCTTCAGCGGAGACGGTCAAGTACCAATATAACAAATACGATGTAGCAGAGAAAGTGACTCCGGGACCTTCTCTTCTATCGCAATATGTGATATTTAGTCGGGTTCGGAATGTGGCGATTCCGGACCAGACCACCGCACGACCATATCTGCATCCGCGCAAGAATCTAATGACAATACTCACGACGCACAGGAGGACGGGGGTCGCGAGGGGAGCGGGTGTGTCGCCGTGTCGGGAGGGTCGCTCGCTTGAAGGAGAGAGGACAATGGCGAGGACTTGTTTGTGTGCTATTTGGCCCTCGTTCGACTTTTGTCGACACGCGCCGGGACTCAGCGAATAGGCGCCCGCCATCACGCGTCGCTCGTTACGATCATGTGACCGCGTTATACACAGCTGGAACTTCCCCACGCGTCTCAAGATCCTCGTGTTTGCCGACGTGTCTTCTTTCCAGCTCGCGCGGACATCTTTGACTTATCATACACGGCCGCAGGCATTGTCCTCAATTACCTCTCCTGCGCACGTTCGATCTCCATGTGATCGCGTCACGATAAACTTTGATCCTTCAGTCTTTTCACAGCCGACTTCGGGAGCTCGGGGGGCCCTTGATGCGAAGGGAGGAGGACCGTGCCACATCCGCCGCCACATTTCAGCCACCTTTCAGCCACATGTTTGTACTCCGACTTATTTGGCCCCCCGATGGGCGAATAAGGGATTGTGGAGTTTGTGATCGCATCATGATCGGGCACATGGTGAATTCGGATCGAAATGTGGCATATATGTAGTCTCGACTCTCATGATCCTACATACCTTTCAGCAGACGAATTTCACTCTGACTATCCTGTGCATATGGCCGGTGGCCTCGCGCAGTATGCTTCATGCTGCCAGTTGCACAATCATCAAAACCATCATGGCATCAGGAAAACTCAAATCGACTTGTCGGACTCGAGAACCTCCTTTTTGACTTGTTCTTGCCGGTACTGGCTTGTACAAGCTGACAAATGCACAATAAGAAGCTTCCAGCCCAGAAAAAAGTTCAAAACAAGAAGGTCCTGAGACTTTCTCGAACTTACTGTCTTTTTTTGGTCACGGCAAGCGGATAAAAGTGTCCTAAAGCGGGTTTGAGTTTTCCTGATGCATTCGTTGATCGTGCCTGTTGTCCATCTGTCCCGATGCTGATTCCTGTGATGCGCTTATTTGACTTGGACCGGAGAAAGACAGGCAGGAAATGCCCAGCTTACCCCTTGACCACCAGGCTCAATGCCACCCTCCTTCGGCTTCCTGATACCCACACTTGCTGCGGTCCTCCTCTCCACGAGCATATCCTCATCCGCACAACAGAATGTGGCAGTGGACGCGGATAGCCCTTTCATTGACTTTCAGGGCATTTGGTTCGACGAATTTGGAGATAACGGTCCGGGACACACAGTGTATGCCGCCAGCACAGGCTCCTCATTTACATTCACTTTTATTGGTAAGGGTTTTCGAACATGCAGCAGGGTCAGAGTCTGCGAAGCGGATCATTTACCATGATGCGTGCAGGTTCGGCAATATACTACCATTCCGTTATAAACCCGAACGCAGGGCAAGCCAGCATCACACTTGATAGCGGGGATGCGACTATTGTGGATGAGTCAGTTGATGCACACAAGGGCGAGGAATCGACGCCTGCCATCCTATGGTACAAAACGGGCTTGAACCCCAGCGAGAGCCATACTATGAGTTTGTCATATGTCGGCTCCGGGGAGCTCGGAGGAGGCTACGTCGAGCTGTATTACTTAGAGTGTGTCCGCTCCGCTTACTATACCATAAAGCAAATTCTGACTTGAATGCAGATATACGGAAGGTGGGACGTCATCTGCGAGTGTGCCAGCGGGCTCCGTCACAAGCACAATTTAAGGTGGACAGGTTTTGACGGCTATCACAGCGGTGCCTTCGAGCACGGGCGAGGCAAACGCAACCGCATCGGTCGCTATCGCTACAGGTACTCTCAGTACCGAGCTTGCGAGCGGGCACTCAAGGTCAAACACGGTTCTGGTTGCTGGACTCGCAGGAGGACTTGGCGGCCTCTTCCTGCTGAGTACGTTCGTCTATCTTGCGCTCTATTGCGAGCCAGGAAGCTTAGCGATGTTCCCGGACGCCGCCGAGAGAATCGGCCTCGCAAAGCGGACGTGTTAGGTGAGCTGATACGAACTGTCATTCAGCCTCGGTCACAGCTAACCGCTTCGTTTTCGTTCATAGCATTACCATACACAATCTCTGCGGTCACGACATTTCCCACGTCAACTAAATCAGCTCAGGCAACCAACCCCCGTATCCCCTCTCCTCACGTTGGACCGTCGACGTCATCCGTCCATTCATTCGTTGAAGACCAGCATACGTCCCTTGCCACTGATTCGCCAGCTGACACATCCCGAGTGGCCCATGACCTGCAAGACCACAGGATCGCTAAGCTCAGAACACTTTTGTCATTGGAGCGTCAGCCCACAGACAATACCACGATGTCTGCCCCGGTGCCGTCCCCTCGTGCTCCTGATGCTACATTCTCTGTGAGTTCAGAAATTGCGGATGACCCTCCTCCGGAGTATGACGGTCCGAGGGAATAATGAAATCAGTGTTACCCGACCATGCATGCATTTGACTCATATGCTAGACATGTTATTTGTGTACTTTCAGCATCATATTTATACCACTGTAACGTCTATGCCTAGCGGCAAATCGCAGACTTTGCATTAGTTTGTGCTGGCAGTCGAATATCCCACGTCGACCATTGCTCTCATCCGTCCACCGTACCGAATGACTGTCCACAAGAGACTGCAGCCGCGCAGATTGCAGTCATGAGCAACATGGCAGTCCACACTTCGGCAATGAATGCTCACCCGAAGCCAGCATATGCGATGAGCGTCACGATCGCGTCTGTACCTGCGACTCCGATACTGGCGATCAGCGGCAGAAACACTGTTGTAGCCAATGCGACCAACAAATTTCGTATTGCGCTGTAGGTTGATCAGGTCCTCACTTAAGAAATTATTTAAGAGTACGAGAAGAAGAACATACTCATGTACCGCTATGAGCTCAGCACTTCGGTCATGGACCAAATCCACCAAGTATGCGCTGACGGGGCTGAGTGCAAGGTCCGCCTAAAACCAGGCGTAAGTCAGCATGCCAAAACTACTCGACTGATTCCTAACCAACCCCGATGCCGTTCATGAAAAGGCAAGCCAAATTCAGTGCAATACCCAGCTTGCCATCAATGAATCGTGTCGTCAAACCTGAGAAGAGCACGGAGAGCGGGACCAAAGTGGCTGCGGGCCACAGGGTAGCTCGGAGCCTGTCTTCTGGAACCCATTCTCCGGCGCGATGCGCGCGCCATTTGACCACGTTTCTATCGGAGATTGGCCCAGCGAGAAGCGAACCAACTAGGGGCGATGTTTGAGGTAGGCATATACTGATATATTGGCCGACCTACGAATGTTCCCAACTCCAGAGGCCATGAATAATGCGCCGATCAGCGCTTCGTTTGTTATGTGGTATCGCACGCCCTATCACGGTTCAGTAAAACCGCATTATTACGGAAGTTTCAGCCTACCACATACAACAGTGTAGGACAGCGGGATGAGGAGGACTACGGACAACTAATCAGTGTGGGTAAAATTCGGCAGGAGAGGTAGTTTACCATAATCGGTGAGTAGCCCAGACGCCGATATCAGAGTCTGACAGAACCATCAAGCCAATTGCAAGGTACGAGGTGACTCGCCTACCATTGCTAGAATATTTGGGCTTCGGAGCAATGCCATGCTGCTGAACGGGTTCAGCCACACCCAGCCGACCCGCTTTGATGAGCACTCAGACGCCGAAGCCAGTTTGTCGACACCTCGAGTCCCGGGGTGGCTTGTCTCAGGAAGATACCGAAACATCAGAGCAATTGCAATCAGGCCGGTGACAAATAATGCATATTGCATGTCTCGCCACGACGTGTAGTGTGTCGCAAGGCCACCGACGAGAGGTGCCAAAGCAGCGCCCAACAGAGATGCCTTCAGCATTTTCACCATCAGTCCGAAGTCGAACGCAAGATGCTGAATGCGTAGTGGTTGCTTACGCCGAAGAACAGACCCATAGCTGTGCCACGCTCTTCCACCTTGTAGATGTCGCCGAGCACAGCCGCGCCAACTGACATGATGCTCGACGTCCCGAACGCTTGTATCACTCTCCACAGCATTAGGGAAGGCACTGATCTGGCAAGAGCGACTCCTAACGAGCCGATGCACAAGCATGGCAGGGAAGCCAGGTAAACTGGCCGACGACCATCTACCTCAGAAAATGCGGGTCACTGATCAATAAAGACGGGTATGTACTTTGATACGCACAATGCCCTGAGTAGGTCGCCCAGACGAGACTGCTTACGGACACAGAAGTGAGGGACAGGCTAACTGCCAAACTGTGGCAAAGCTCATAATTAGGCAGAAAGCGGAGGTCTAGCTGCTAACCGTACTTAATGATGGCACCGGTCGAGCCGAATTCCCTTGCTATCTCAGGCACGGACGGTATGAATGACGATGACACAAATACTGGATATCTCCTTTCACCGAGCCGTTATGAAAGGACAAGCAAGAAAAAGAGCGTACGCGGGATTATAGCTGCCCACGAAACTACGGACACAATCGTCCGCTTTTGCGTAGGGGAGAATCGATCATACACTTTGTCATGTTCGTCTTGTATGGAACAAGTTGAGCTGCAATCCAGCAGCGGGGTCTCTTCAGACGACATGGGGCAGCCCGCTTGACTTCTAAACCGGGATTCGTCACTGAACACCTGCTATGAAGTAACACACCGAAATGATGTCGTCTGTCCACTTTGAGTTGGATTGTAAACTCACCAGAGAAAAACATTCCCGGAACCTCAAGTGCGCAGATGGACGCGTAAGCCTGAGTGGTGGATGATACGGGGCGATACTCATCGAGCTATAACTTCCGGGCCGATCTGACTCGACTCAGGGCCGGCCCGCAAGTCTGGAGTACAGAACAATACGGTATGTTTAATTCATAGCACCGCAGACATGCGACCGTTTCGCCCCGTGGTAAATGCTTACTAAACGTCACCGCAAATGGTGACCTATAGCTGCAGTGTTCAATGTCATGACATGGCAAACCACAAATTTACGATACATAACTGAGTAGATGGCCATCGCAAATTGTAAACCATAGACTAGGGGACGTTACCTTTCCAAATTTGGAAGTATGCATGCCAGATTTGGGAAGAAATCAGTCACGGTCGCATAGTCCAAACACGTGTCGGCATACAGCACGGCCGTAAATAACTTTATAGAGTTAGCCTTTGCGGTGACATTTAGGTACATCATTCCGTAAGATTTTGAGATACCTGGCAAATCAAGATTTGAGAACCGGTTCAATTTATAAAATCTGCATTGTGCATAGAACGTGTCCAAAAAAAGTCGCAATATAACAAAATTTCGTACAGCACAAAAGTGCAGGGATCTAAATCACCCCGCCGAGTACCCTGCCAAGTGGGCCAATGCAATAAGCTATCGCCATCGCAGTTCAGACAACCTCCTCTACGTTGGCTGTCCAGCACAACTCGCTTCCGCCCGACCAAATGAATATTTCACTCAACGTCTTGCAACTCGAACGGACACGTGACAAGTCTTCACTTCGGTCCATAGCAGCATCCTCCCATAGTTGCAGAGCGTTCAGCATGGGAAATTGCTGAAGCCAGTAAGGAAGACTCTTCTGTCGAGCGCGGATGAGCAAGAAAATGATATCAATGCAGTCAGACCCACCAATAACGACGGGCTGAACGCATCTTCCCGGAGTGCTCTTGTTTGAGAAGCCTGTTCCAGAATAACGGCCCTCACCTCCATGAGGTGAACACCTGGATCCTGCATAATAAATCCGAAGCCTCCGTATATGACGTCCTCGCTTGCAGCAGCAAGTTGCGGAGGAACCATTAATTTCAGGGACCAAAGATACTCGCAGTCGACGACGGCTGCTAATATTCTGGAGAGATTGCAGAGGAAATGAGCCGGATCATCATGTTGGACGTCCGGCAGAACCGTGAGCTTCGCAAGGATAATGATCTTGGACCGCGAGTCGCCGAGAAGACGAAGAAGATAGGGGATAGGTGCACTCAGGGTGTGCAGGCACGGGAGTTCCGGAGGGGGGCACTGGAGTTGAGTGACCGTATGGCAATCTGAGTGGTAGCCGATGTGCAGCTCCTGTAGCTCGCGATGTCGAAAGAGGAATCGATTCAGGACCGCCTGCGAGAGTTCACCCTCTACACGAAGGATATGGAGGCTGGGGACATTCAACCGTCCAAGTACATTGTTCCAGGATGGGGATATGAGGCCAGGGGTTACAAGCGACAGCTCTGAAATCTTGGAGCAGTTAATCGTTTCTAGTGTCCACCGAGCATATGGCATATTGAACAGCAGGGCGGCATGAGGCTGAAAAGCTCTAAGGTTAGGGAGTAAGGTTGGGCGTCGCTTGATCTTGGAGGGCATCACTGTTTTGCAGATATTGTTGCTGCGATGATCAATAGTGAGGCTGACGACGTTAGTGACGCACAGAGCGTCAAGAACGTCAACAAATGCAGGATCTGGTATCTCATCCAAACGGACTTCGATAGAATGAATTCCGTTCACGCCCTGCAAAGAGGTGAAGAATCGAGAGAGTAGTCGGCAAGCCTTCGTATCATCCACCTGCAAATGAATGGAGAGGAGCCGTGGACATTCAAACACTAAGGACCTTCGCCAGAGATTGAGTGCGAGGATCGCCTTATGCTTTGAAATGTATAATGAGCCTCCTTTTTCAGGAGAATGAAGATCGTATCGAGACAGTAGCAATGTAATTGCCAAGCAGTGGAGACGGCGAGAAAGGATGATGATGCTGAAGAGATCTTCTGTTGGCAGGAGGTCCACGATGTTGATAAGGAGCTCGTTCGGGAGATCCAATATCGTGAGGGATAGATGATGGAACTCTGGTCCAACATCAGATGACTGCTGGCATATTGTCAAGGCAACACCGAAAATGATTGGATTTCCTGACTCACCAGTGGCATGCCTTGAAGCGAGGCAGTATGTGAAAGGTGTAGGAATTGGGGACATACTGGCGTATCTATGCCTTCAACATCAGAGGTGGCCTAGGAAAGAACAAATTAGCTCGTAACGTAGGTAATATGAGTGCTCCAGTAGATGCCAACCTGAACACTATACGCAAAGACATTCCTGTTGCTCCGCTCTGCACCTGTAGCAAAGACAGCCCCCTCACGCTCAAAGGCCAGACTAGCACTATCGTCGATGCGCTGTGCGACTAGATCAGTGTTTTGAGGAAAGCAAACGAGAGCCTAAACATACTACATGCTTTATGGGTCCAGCATCTATCGATGATATCATGCGCCGTCGTCGTCGTCCACAGCAACAGGAGTTGGTGCTCAGAAAGTTGCCCATCGTGAATGGGTGTCGCACAACTTCAAAGGCTCTGTATTAATACTCGGCAGTGTTTTTCCAAAGTTATGAGGTCGCAATTCTGACCCACTTTAAAAATCAGTGACCTATCGCATCTCCCATGCACCTCTGATGTGAATCTGATCCCCAAAGGCCAAGACCGCACTCAGAAACTATCATCGCACTCAGAAAAGTGCTCCAAACGTGAAATCATGCTCAATTGTCCATGCGATCAGGAACATCCATGGCACATTGCGGAGATTGTATGATGGACATGTGGTTCGATGCGTCATACCAGAAGCGAGGATTCTTGCTTCGCGGATCGCGGATCAGTATTAATGCAGATCAAGAATGTCAGGCACGATTGTGAAGCGGACCTCGACAACACTAGGCGGGGATGCGCTTATCAGTGGAGTAATGCAGCGGGACCTCAATGATCGTTGCTGGCATCCTTGCAGCAAGAGGCACTAGGCGGGGATGCGCCGACCAGTGGAGTAATGCAGCGGACCTCGATTTTCGTTGCTTGCATCCTTGAGGCGGTAGATACTAGGCGGGGATGCACCGATCCAGTAGTAATGCAGGACCTCGATATTTTACTTGCATCCTAGGTACTATAGGCGGGGATGCGCCAATAGTGCGCTGTCCCATCGTTTGTTTGGAATGAATTGACTCTGGGACCCGCCAGAGTGACCCGGCGGGTCCCATTACACGGTATCAATGACTGTTCTAATCTACCTACAAGGGAGGGACGAGAAGATGAAAGTAAGAAAAGAAGAAGAGAGCGAAAGCGCCGTGGTGCGTCTATAACCCGTGCCTCAGCGCCAGCCTGCCCTACAGTGGCTGATCTCAAAACGCGTCATCGGGCCACAATAATTTCTCTTTCGCGTCCTACAACGAGGACACATATGATTGGGGTTTTGAACTCAGAAAAGTGGATCCGGTCGTATTTTAGATCAGTCTCCGATAGCAGACACGTTTGAGGATCCGAGGAGGTGGGCCCGCACTCGCACCTGTCAGCGGACGAAGAATTGTGATTGCGCAAAGGTCACACTAGCACCTGTCAGTGGACAAGTCCTCTCCGCCGTTATCACGGAAATGGAACCTATTTCCTATGAACCAATATCTAATGGACGAGTTGCCACTTCGCCAAAAGGCTGGCAATGATAAGCTTGGCTTATCACTTGGTTCTGACTATATATGCAGATCTATTGCAGGTTTTACATGTCACGTGTGGTTTATTCTGTGACATTACCCCCTGTTTTAGGGATCCTCGTCCTGAGGGTATATAGTACCACCCCAATCCTAGCTTAGACTGGCTAATCTGGCATTATTGGATTGAAAGTCAGGGGTTCGAATTTTGTTGGTTGCGCACACTTCAACCAATTCTGAGAGATCTTTGTGACTAACTTGCACAATTCGGCATCTTTAGCCTATTCGTGACTAACTTGCACGGCCTTTATAACCATGTCTAACTTGCACAAAGTATTGCCAGTTCTCAGATTCGAACCGGTGACCCCGCAAAGCTTATCATTTTATCACGAAAATGGAACCTATTTCCTATGAACCAATACCTAATGGACGAGTAACCACTTTGCCAAAAGGCTGGCAATGATAAGCTTGGCTTATCACTTGGTTCTGACTATATATGCAGATCTATTGCAGGTTTTACATGTCACATGTGGTTTATTCTGTGACAGCCATCAACTCCGCATCGATAGCTTCACGAATGGGCATGCTAGTACATCTCCACTCGTATTTGATATGGCAATCTGCTCATCTCTCCTCCGCGCATGCGACGTGAATTTCTTTGCTTGCGAACACCCCCATCTCGTCTTGAAATTCGCATTGATGTCTTCAATACTTCGGCAAGAAAAAGTTGAGGCTGCATCGCTTCAAGGCTTCACAATTGCTATCCTATGTGAGTTGTGCAAGACACGCGATGTGCCCGTTCTTCCGACTGGAAGGCGATCCAGCAAAACTCAGAAATGTCATTGTTTGAAGGATGATTACATCCGGGCTCTCATTGCGAATGTAAGTACCTACAACAACAAACGCTAGCCATGCATTAGTGAGCTGTATAGCAGACAACTGCTTTGTCATCGCTACCAGAGGAGTCTGGTGCACCACCCATGAGAAAGCGACATGCAACAGGCGACATACCTGGCTCTGTCACCAAGCGTTCTCGTCTAGGAATCCATGTCACCACCAATGCACCATCTCAAAGTCGCAGGTCGCAGTATTTGATCTCGAGCCGTCCACATTCGGTAAGGCAGTATGTTTGCAACACGCGCATTCATATTTACAATGTTGAGGGCTAGGCGGAGTCAGAGGTCGCCTCACCTTCTGTCATTCAGATGAAGCGTCCGCGCACTGATAACATATCTGAAGTCAATGACTCCAGAAAGCGGATTCGCTTTTATGACAGGAACAGCGGACATGATATGCTGAAGTCCATCAATGTCGACACGGAAGGTATGACGAAGATGTTCAGTGAGAAGCTCAATATTGTTCTGCCCTCTGTAAATCTGCCAACGGCTGCTTCGACAAAGGCCAGCAAGCCTCATCAACCACGGCAGCTCCGAATCCGGTTATACCAACATGCAAAAGACTGGACTTGCGTCAAAGAGGCTGGCTTTCGATGCCTTCCTAATGGCAATTTGGATCTTCATGCATTGAGCGCACATTTAGGTATTCGAGGTCCTTGTCAGGTTTGTTCATTCCTGATACCATGGTACGCTGACCCATTGATTATGCCATTGCCGGGGCCCAGATTATCGACCCCACTAATTTCAAGCCTTTCTACACATACATGGAAGGAATCCTGGACCGCGATGACATACATAGCTTGATGAGAGACGATTACTTGCGAGTGATAGGTAAATTGCTCAAGCGATGTCTTGGGCAATACTAGTGTGGCTTACGCTGCTTAGCACCGAAAGGATCAGTCCAAGCAAGCAGCTCAATGTTGCATTAGCCTGTCGGGTCAATTATCGTCTATAAGGAGTACCCAACTTATTTACACACACCGTTCATCTCCATGAGTGTAGCATGACTGTCCTTTTTGAACGAACGGTGGCGTCTGAGAGAGAAGCTAGGATCTGTGAGCTCAAGCGGTGGGTTGACGAGATCCGGAGATATGACATCGCTTCCGTATCAAACCCAGTAGTAATCATGCTTAGAAGTTCATATGTTAACATCGGGTGCTCGTTTTGAATGACGCAGCGTGCTTTCGCATTTTCTTCGATATTCGTGTAGCTGCCGAACTGAAGGCCCATCCAGTTGCGTAGGTGCGCCTACTGGTATTTTTCTGCTTCGTCGTCATCCAAGCTGGCTTCAGATCGGGAACGCCGTGAAGAGCAGGGAGCCAGGAATGACGCAGGAGCCTCAGTCTCCCATCTGATGACTATGTAAGCCAAATCATTCATTTCTTCATCTTTGACTCGGGGAGGAAGCCGTGAAGATGGAAAGGTCCAGATGGTCGTATGGGGCATCGTAGCGGTGGGAAGAGCTGAGCGTCTGGCTGTGCAGTGGGACGTCGAGTCCGGTAGGAACCAGCTCGTACTCGTACAATCTATCTTCGTCAAGCTAGCAAAGCTCATATCAAGCCATGGATGCGTTATTTAAAGACATCGCCAACGTGCTGGGTAGCTGCTCTGACGACGATCATCGCCATGCCAATCACGCCAGGAATAATTGTGCTTGGACATGTCGATGATGGAGTCGATGGCACTGC